AGAGAAGAGGGGGATTCCCCAGCTCAGTGACCAGATCCCACGATGAGGCCAAGGTAGCGGTTGCTAGTCCCCCAACAGGGATCTGCCTCACTCGGCCCAAACTGCCTTACCAGGAGGGGCACAGGGTGGAGAGGAAGAGGGGCTCCTACAGGTGCCTCAGCAAAACAAATGTCCTGTTGTGGAGCCACTAACACCATCTTTGTATATGGGCATGGGGACAGACCAAGACCAACCAAAGGAGAGAAGCAGGGGCTGCTTGTTCAGAGCTTGCTATGTAGCAAGGGAGGCAGCCGTCATCCCTGAGGTGTGGGTGGAAACCCCAAGTCAGAAAGAGGAGTGGGAAAGCTTTCTGGTGGGGAAAGGGGAAGGTCCAGGTTTGCGCTGAGGGGTGGTTATGGCCCTGGGGGAGTTCTAGGCGGCCAACTGGAAGTGGGTAGCCTATGTGACTGTTTAGAGGTACATATTGGGCTTTCTCTCATTGGTCCTAAGTTGGAAGCAGGGACAAAAATTAGGGATGTGCCCTGGCCAGTGTGGCTCAGTTGGTTAGAGTGTTGTCCCATGCAGCAAAAGATTGCAGGTTCAATCCCAGGTGAGGGTACGTACTGAGGTTGTGGGTTTGATTCCCAGTCGGGGTGTGGACAGAGCAACCAGTTGATGTTTCTCTCTCACACTGATTTTTCTCTCTTTCTCTCTCCCTTTCCTTTCTCTCTAAAAGAAGGAATGAAAAAAATGTCCTCAGGTAAAGATACAAAAAATAGGGAAGAGAGCCAGTCCAGCCCTCCCCACACATCTGCTTTCTTTGGGGTTTTTTTTGCAGGGAGCGGTGGTGGCTGGTTCTGACTTTTCAGGGCAGTTGTGGATATGATGCATTCTTTCCTGGAGTCCCTTAGCACCAGGGGGTTATTTCAAAGCTGAGGCCAAAGGAACATTTTGGGCTAGAAGGAAATGGGTGTTCCCCATTTTCTGATTTGAGAAGAAGAAGAAGGCTCAAGGAATTGTCCTTAAGTGGAAATAAGATTGAATAGAGGAAGAATTATTATATGGGTTTGGCTGCCATTAACTCTTGACATAAAAATATACCTCTGAAAAGGGATTTAAATTTGGAGATTGGGAGATTCTTTCTGGCTGCACAATCCTGAATAAATTACTGATCTTTCTGAGGTGTCATAAATAAAGGAAAGGCAATGATGGTAGCCCTCATTGATTTCACAGATTTGCAGCCCTCCCGGAGGTTTCATGTGTTCAAGAAGTATCCCGAACCACCCCCAATGGTGGCAATGTCTTCATTGTGCAAATGTCTCCTTGGCCCAGCTGCCTGCTCTGCAGACCGCCTATCAAAGTCTGCTAGGAAAGCAAGGGTGGACTCCTGTTGGCTCTTAACCTATGGCATGTGCTGTGCCTAATTTTAACCATGCAGGGCCTACAAAATAAGTTTTAACCCTTGGAGTGGTATCAAGACCCTCCAAATCTGATTACAGCCTCAGTCTGCCCTTAGTCCTCTACACAAGCCATCTCTCCGCCCAAACTGATCTGTTCATTGCCCCCTGAGCATACCAGGTATGGTCCCACCTTGGCTCCTGTGGTTTCCTGTTGCCTGGAATCTGCACCTCTCCTCTTCTCTCCCCCCTCACCCTTGACCCTACTTTGCTTTAGTTTTCATCCTTGAAAAGTCAGTTGAGGTCTCAGCTCCTACAAGGAGCTTTCTCCCACTACCTCGGTGATCCCTCCATTTCTAAACAACCCTCCAAGAGCACACCCAACTTTCTTATACGTTTGGTACATGAGTAAACCTAGACATGATGTTTTGTGTTGTTATTCTCTAATTACATTGTATTCTGCATCTTCCACTAGACGGGAAGCTTCCGTATGGCAGTGATGGTATTTTACCACCTTTAACCTCACTGTTGAGGATTGCATTGTAAGTGTCAATGCTTGATGAAGATTGGTTGAGTAAAATGATGAACAAGGTGCCCCGCTGATTCATGTGTTAAACATACTGGAAATCCAAAGAAAGTAGCCCTTGCTCAGTCTCAATAAATAGTTCCTTGAAAGCACTTCCAATTTAAAGGTGGGGGGAGGTTGGTGGTTTTGCCTTTGTTAGAGCTGCAGCTGCAGTAATTCAAGGGGAAAAGGACAGCTTTTAGAATTGTATTCTAAAGGAAGCACAGTGACACTCATGCTCAGTGCAGGGTTTCAAGTCTTAGAAGACGATGGGCCAAGACCAGCCCACTGCTATTGGGAAGATGCAGTCAGATAAACTGGACAGGTGTGTGTGTGTGTGAGGGGGCAGATTGGCCTCATCCTGGTGCAGAGAAGTCATGCTGAGCGGGAACCCAGCTGGGAAGCTACAGTTGATGACTGGGATTCTGGGCAGAATAGTGGGTGGGGAGCAAGACTTAATAATGGTGAGTATAACCCATAGGTTGGGCCAAAACCAGCAACACTGAGCTTAGAAGTGGGAGTTGTTGAGAGGCCCAGGCAGACAGGGAGCCCTCCACCATTGTGGAACCTGCCAGCAGTGGCTACCCTGAGCCTGGGGCTCAGAGGCTGGGTTTCAGGTCCTTACAGGGTCCCTGGCAGGGTAAGACAAGCCCTGTCCTAGAGAGCCCACTGTTCTATTTATGGCTCCAGCATGGGGAATAAGATAAAGCTTCTGGGGCAGAGGCAGAGGCTGTTGTTCTCCAGGCCCGAGGTAAGTGTTGGCCTCTGAGGATGTAAGTGAGGAGGACTCCGTAGATACAAAGGATGTGGAGGTTGGTGATGTTGAACATCTGTGATGCGAGAAACCAAGGGCCAGAGAAATGTGACTATTTCAATGTCCATTCATATTCCTTGTGAGCAGTAGATCTAAGCTTAGAGCCAGTTCCTGTGATGCCCCAGGTCCAAGGGTAGATTGCTTGTGCCAACTTACCAGGGTTTTCATAGTCTTTGTGGGAGCCCCCGTTTCTGGGGTGGTACCCTGAGGATAGGTATAGGGGTGTGCTCTGAGAGGGAACAATTAAAGAGGGGCATTCATTGTGGACAGATGTGCATTTTTCTGTTTATTGTTGAGGTATTCTTATGTAAGATTTTGATTGAAAAATCCACAGCTAAAAGAAGCTTGAGAGTAAGTATGGCAATGACAGTTACAATTTCTATCCCTCTCTGGAGAGCTGAAAGCTAGAAAAAATAGGTGCCTGGAGTTCAACAGCATGATAATGAAAAAAAAAATTCATCAGGACAGGAAAAATTCTCCACAGAGGTGACAACACAACATGCAGAAAAAAATATGCCTTCAGAAAGGGATTTTGTAAGAAGCCGTGACATTTTAGATTCTCAGGAAGTTGCAATAGTTGTGTCTCCATTGTGATATGACCTTTAGGAAATCAATAAAATTTATTGTACCTCTTCAGGGTCTATTTTATATACTTTGAACTCTAGGGGTGAGAATAAAGGAATAGAAACCCACTTGAGCTAGCTCAAATAATAGACGGCTATGTTATGTTTTTAGAATATGAAGACAGAAAATGCAGAGCTTATCGGTGGAACCAGAAGCTCAGGAGCCAAGGCTGTTCTCTTTGTCTTGCAAGGGCTTTTGTGCCCTCTCAGGAGCTGCATGATCACCCTTATCTCTGCTTCTCTCCTACTTCTCTTTATCTCTTTCTTCTACTCATCTACACTCCAAAATGACTAGCAGGCCACTTATATATCATCACATGTGGACTACACTCTACGTGAAAATCCTTGGGTTGAATTTTTAAGAGACAGACATTAACTCAGAACAGACTACAGAATGATTTTTGCATAAGTCAGATCTCTACCCCAGGTCCAATCAACTTGGATGGAGGAAGAGGTGATATTATATAGGTCATGCAGAAGCAGGCAGCAAGGCTATGGTGGGCTCCTGACTTTGGATGGAGTGCAGGTGGAGAGACAACAGTTGGTTTATCTATAATAGACTTCCAGACAGACAACAAAGAGACTGTGATTCAGGGGTTCCCTAGACTGCCACACCGTGTACCCTTTATTGCTGTGCATGGCTGAGAAGATTTTTGAGGCTACACACACATCTTACTATTTTAGTGGTTGCAGTCCCTCAGCAATCCTGAGATAGCAAAGCCTTCCTGGACATTCAATCTTACAGCTTCTTAACACAAGAAACGATATTCCTACAAATGGGGTTGGCCAGTCAAATGAAATTGGCCAAAGAAGGCCTCAGAGAATCCATTCATTTGGCCTTGTATTTGACATAAACTTCCTCATATAGTGGTTGAGAGATAGGCTCTGGAGTTGCTCTCCAAATTCAAATCCTGGTCCCACTAGGCAATACTCACCTAGCCTGGAGCAAGTTACTTAGCCTCTCCAAGTCTCCCTTTCCCTGTTTGCAAAAAGTACATAATAAAACTACGTGGTGGAAAAGAAATCCTCAGGGGTTAGTGAGGAATATGCCCTAAGAACAGTTTTGATCCCTAGAAAGTACTCAGTAAGTATCTCCCATGATTGTCATCATTTTTGTTAATTTCCCTTTCATGTCTTATGAACCCACATGAATTCAAGTCTCCACACCAATGACATCTCCGCCTTCCTGACAGCTCTGGCCCTAACTTCTTCCCCAGACCTTTGCAAGCACTAAGTGTTAACAAGGGCTTGCTGGTTAACCAGTTGAGTTTTACAATGTTGTGCTTTGTGCTCTGCATTTAAAATGTTCTCACAATCAAAGATGGAAGAGGGTGCACAAGGGGTACAATCTTGACCTGATTTTGTGCAATTTGATGCATATGGAAAGTATGTCTTTTACATCCTCATTTTAGGTGATTTAAGTGTGTGTCTTTCCCATGAAATAAAGAGAAGACATCAGATGACCTCCAGTTTCTTTGATCTGTGTCAATATGATCTAAAATCATCATCCTCTATGCTGACAAACATGCAGTCTATTCCTTGAGACTGTGGACAAATCAGAGAGCTGGAAAACCACATGAGAAACCTTGAGTCAGATTCATTCTTGTTCTTCTCTCCTGCAGGAACCAAGTTGCCCTGAAGATCATGAACTTGTCTTCTGAGCACTGCAACATCTCAGATTGGCTGAGGCTTGAAGCAACAGTGAAGGCCTCTGTGTACATGGTCACTTTCTCTTTTGTCACATTCATCACAATTGTCATCATTGCAATAGTGTCGCAGAATTCCAAACTGAGGAAAGAGGTCCGATACATCCTCCTTTGCCATCATCTGATGTGCATCTCCTCCTACTGTGGCCTGGGGGTGGTCTTCCAAGGGATGCGGGCCCTGCTGGCCAACAGTCCAGTGGTGCTGTGCTGGGTGGTGTTTGGGGCCCAGCTAAGTTTTGGAGAAGGTATCCTCTTCACTCTGGCCTTGATGGCTGTCAACACTTACCTGGCCATTTGCTGGCCATTGAAATCTCTGTTTTTTGCAGAGTCAGTTAAATATAAGATTCTGGCTGGGACTTGGATAATCATTGTATTCAAGAATGTTTGCTTATTCATCATAGAGGGCACCAAGTCCACTTTGGTTGCTGTTTTAAGATCTGAACCCCTCTGCCCTGTGACTTTGAACAGTACTCCTTCCAGAGCCATTGGCATGGTTTTCCTTCTCCTTCTTCTATCTATTATCCTTATAAGTTACTATCTAATATATAAAGAAGGCAAACGTGCTGGCCATTTTAATAGGTCGAATATCAAAGCAAGAAAAACCGTCCTTATTCATTTACTGCAGATAAGCTTACATGTAATACCAACCTTGATATTCATAGGTTTGGGAAAGATGTGCGGGGAGTTTTTCTTTGCTTTAAATCTGGTGCTTTTTGGAGTCTTTGCATTTGCCCAGTGTTTTAACCCTCTGATCTATGGGCTGTGGAATAGAGAGCTGAGAAGCAGATTATATTATTGGATGCACTGTCAATTTTGGTGTAATCATACAGTGAATGGCAGAGGGCCAGTTTAAACAAAAACTCAGCCCTTTTTTTTCATTTTTAGTTCTCAGAATATGTTTATTGATTTTAAAGGGGAAGGAGAGAATGGGAGAAAGAGAGAGAGAGAGAAACATCGATGTAAGAGAAACATTGATTGATTGCCTCCTACATGGGCCCCAACCAGGGATTGAACCTGCAACCTAGGTATGTACCCTGACTGGGAATTGAGCCCACAGCCTTTTGGGATATAGGGCAATGCTCCAACCAACTGAGCCACCCAGTCAGGGCAAAACTCAGCCATTTTGAATCAATAAGTCTAGTCCTAATGGACCATTGGCTAGGGTTAAGAACTTGACTTTTACTCAACCTAAATTTGGTATACCAATTTGATTTTTAAAACAATATTAGCAAGTCAAAGTTATTTATCTGGGTTACATACTTTGCTGCTGCGTATACTTATATGTCCTCAGTGAAATTATTTTATGTCTTTAATTCTAAACCTAGATCAATATTTTTGGCAGTATGCCTTACTGTGTTTCAACAGTTGGTCAGCTTTTGAGAATACTCCTATTTTTAGAAACTGAGAAACAGTCCCTGGTTGGTGTGAAAGGAAGAAGTTTGGCTGTTTCCCTTATGTTAATTAAGGGTAGGTTTAGGTATATATCATAACATAGTAGAAATAAAATAGCAGTGACTTTAAAAGGTTAGAGATTGATTTATTTTATGTGAAAGAAATCAGGAGGTACTCAACCCAAATGGATGTGGCAGCTCTGTAGGCAAGAGGCTCATTCTCTTTTCCTTTGCCATAATTTGTGCACTACCTCATGACCCAAGATGGCTGTTAGTGCTCCTGTCATCACATTCACAGTCCAACCAACAGGAAGGAGCAACAGGCAAAGAAGGGTCTGTACTCTGCTTCTGTAGACACTTGCTAGAAGTTACACAAAAACACTTTTTCTTACATCTAACTGGCCAAAATTTACTCAAATGGCTCTGCTTGGCTTTAAGGGAAAGTGAGAATAAATTTTAGTTCAGTAGTAGTTTCCCCAGTTAAAAATTAGGGCTTTTAACGCTAAGAAGAAAAGAAGGGGGCAATATTATCTCGGGTCATTTTCTCAATAAAATAAAGTATGAAGAAATACAATGGATGTATTATGATTGTCACATAGAAATATATTCTGCATTTCAACATAATACACAAATACAGCATTTACTATTCAGGATCCCAGAAAACCTTAACTGTGTCATGTCAACAGTGCTCAGAGAGAGCGGCATCAATAAGGAGAACTCCAAACTGGTTTAAACATGAGAATTAGCTCGTTATTTAAATCTGAGGAAGTTTGGGGCAACAGTATGAAATACGTTCTTTTGCAGAAGTTTGTATGTGAGATGTCCTTACATGAGCCATCCGTTTGTGAATCAGTCAGGATTCATTTCTAAAGACAGGAATTCCTGCTCTAGATATTTTAAACAGGAAGGAGTCCATACAGGAATTAGATGCTTACAAAGTCATGGGCAGGGCTGGAAGAGTGGAAATCAGGGCCACCACTACTTGATGTTGGGAGTGAGCCACTGCAGCTGTGATTGCTTGGAGGTCAAGCAGCTGTGATGGGACGTGAAGCAGCTGCTTCCACCAGGGACCCCCTGGAAACAGCAATAGGAAGATGGTCTATCCCCCAGTTTTACGTGATTGGCTCTACCTGAGGGGACACAGTTGGCACTCAGACCCTGAGAACCAAGTGGTCTGGGAAATGCAGTTCTTAGTTTTAAAGACTTGGCAGTACAGGAAGTTACCCCAAAAGCAGTGTGACAAGGGGGTTGAATGAACCAATCCATGAGATCCAATGCAGGTACTACTATTCCTGATTTATATATGGGAGAAGCTGAGGCTTAGAAAGGCCTTGCAGGAGCTTAGGAGGTCAGGACTTTCCCTTTAAGATTTGCCAAATGCACAGCTTGGCCCGAGGTGACCTACTCATCATTACTGAGAGCTGGACCAATGGCTTGGGAAATCTGGGCCTTGGTTCTTCACTTTGCTTTGGGTGTGGACACCTGGCTTGCAGAAAAGAGCCTTTTCCTATCCTTTGCCTTGACTATACTCTCCCAACCTTAGGCCTCCATTGCTTTTTATTTATTTATTTGGTAAAAAAAGTTATGTTTTTAATTAAATTTATTGGGGTGACATTGGTTAATAAAATTATATGTTTCAAGTGTACGATTCTACAATACATCATCTGTATATTACATTAATTGTTCATCACCCAAAGTCAAGTCTCCCTCCATCACCATTTATCCTCTCTATATCCTCTTCAACCTCCCCTCACCCCTTTTCCTTCTGGTAATCTCCATACCGTTGTCTATGTCTGTGAGTTTGGGGGATTTTTTTTCTTTGTCCCTTCATCTTTTTTACCAGCCTCTCAACCCAGCTCTCCTCTGACAGCTGTCAGTCTGTTCTCTGTATCTATGAGTCTGTTCCTGTTTTGTTTGTTAGTTTATTTTGTTCATTAGAGTCCACATATACGTGAAATCAAATGGTGTTTGTCTTTCTCTGACTGGTTTATTTCACTTAACATAATACTCTCCAGGTCCATCCATGTTGTTGCAAAAGGTAAGGTTTCCTTCTTTTTTTTTCACGACTGAATAGTATTCCATTGTGTAAATGTACCATAGCTTTTTTATCCATTCATCTACTGGTGGTCACTTGTGTTGTTTCCATATCTTGGCTATTGTAAATAGTGCTGCAATGAACATAGGTGGGCAAGGCTCCTATTGTTTTTAGTTTCTACTGGCTTCTGTGTCATGCCTGGCTTCTATTTTGGCTTCAAGTCCTGCTTATCTCCTCCCTAGATGTTCTGTCTAAGGCTTCCCTCTTCCTTCAACCCCAACTCTGAGAATTCAAAGCACCACCTTCTCTTTTCAAATTCGCAAATCTCACTCCAGGATGGACACCAGGGCTCCTTAACCTTTGTCTTCTGGTACCCAACACAATACCTGGCAGATGCCAGGCACTTGAGAAAAGTTGGAAAGGACTCATTAATCAGTAAGACATGCCTTTCTACAAACTCCCTCCCCAACAAAAACTCAAACTGTCTTTGTTTTTGTTGAAATTTTAAGCAATCTGAGAAAAGAGAGTGGAAGAAAAATCTCAAAAAAAACTACCAAGTTTAACTTAGTTATAAGTCCTAAATCTAATATACACAATTTAATTTATCCTTAAAAATTTTAAAGCTCTATTTTCTGACATCAAAAGTAACTTCTACTCATAACATTAATTGAGTGTTACAGTGGCAGTTTTTATTTTCACATTTGAAGGCTGTAGAAAAACAGGCAGTGGGCCAGACTCGGTCTGTGAGCCACAGTTTGCCCAACCCTGGTCTTTGCCATTGTCTTTGAGCAGCACATTTCACAAATGTAGATGCCGGGAATATTCATCAGGATAAGACAGGGTTACGCCACAGTAACCAAATCTCAGCGGCGTCCCTTCTCAGTTTTTTGGCTTAGATCAAGTGGAGTGTCAGTTCCTATCAGTTTCGTATCTGATTTGTCTCCTGCCTGAGGACAATATATTAAATGGATTTTTCGATCAGGAGGAAGGAATAGGAGCTTGCTCCATCCACTCTGCTCACCAATCCTGCACTGCAGTACCTCCAAGAGTGGTGCAAAAAAGGAAAAAATCTAGGTGGCTTAAAACAACAGAGGTTTATTTCTCACTCAGGCAAGGTCCCCTGAAGGTCAGGGCTGCTCCCCAGGGCAGCTGCCCTTGTGCAGTGACTCACCTTTTCTCCTCTATATGGACACATGGCCCCCTCAATATTGGCAAAGGACAAGAATGTGAAAAATTGCACACCAGCTCTTGAAGGATTTCAGATTTCTGGGTCCATAAAGATTTTTTTGAATGCACCCATGCCCATTCATTTCAGTATTGTCCACATGGCTGCTTCTGCATCACAGAAGAGTTGAGTGGGTGCACGCCCCGCAAAGCCTAAATTATTTACTATCTGGCCCTTGGCAGAAAAATTTGCCTTAATGCAATATACAGGTAATGTATTAAATAATTGTGTAATTTTATTAACCAATGTCACCTAATACATTCAACTTAAAAAGATGCTAATGCATTAAAAAAACATTTGCCAATCCTGGCCTACAAGACAGTTGTATCACAAAACATGAAATTTGACGACTGATTTAAAATGTGTTTCAGAAAACAAGACTGAATAAATTTAAGGAACATGCTAACTGATTAATTTTTCTGTACATTTATATTTTTATGGGTGATATAGGATTAAAAAATCTGTCTAAATAAGTTTAAAAGCTCTTTGAATAAGTACACAGTGCAACTCCTAGGAAGTAAGAAAGCATTGTGGTGTAGTTACATTTGTAGGTTTTCTCCTTCTTCAGAGTCTATGGTCTCTTAGACTGAATAAAATATGGTAGTATATGAGGTCTGTCCAGAAAGTATCCAGCTATATAATATGAAAAATAGAGACATGTATTGAAGAAGATACAAGATACAAGAAACATTGTACAATGGACAATGACATCTTAGTCCCCTTCAAGTGTACAGAGGACAATGATGCCTCACACACCTTCAAAGTAGGTGTCATGGGACCTCACACAGTTCTCCCAATCACCATCAGCTGCCCTGTTATAGTTTCCTGAATCTCATCAACAGTCTGAAATCTCTTCCCTTTCAAAGGTGACTTTAGTTTGGAGAAAAACCAGAAGTCACAGGGCGCCAAATCTGGGCTGTAGTGGAGCTGAGTCTCCCGAGCGATTTGATGTTTTGTCAAAAAAACTGTGCCAAAGACATTATGCATAAGTGGGCACATTGTTGTGATGAAGCTGCCAATCACCAGTTGCCCATAGCTGTAGCCTTCTGACTCATCTGAGTAGATGTTCAAGATTAATGAAAAATTTGATGCAGATTCATTGGTCTACTCAGTCATTTTGAATGTGACAGCCACACAGTACACATGCTCATTCAAGAGTGTTTACCGCCCCCACTGACTAGTACAATGAAGTTGTCATTGTTCACACATGTGCATTCCAGTCCACTTTCACTGGCTGCCAGGTTACATCGATGTTGAGCAAACCATTCTTGTTATATTAACAATGGCTGGACTTTTTCTGGACAGACCTCATAAAAGACAAAAAGCAAAAAGACACAACTCTCTCGAAGAGCCTGTGAAAGGCTAGTTACAACTAGCAGGTTTCTGAATCAGCTGTGCTCTCTTGCATAGACTCTGCCTGTGGCAGCTGGCAGCATATACAACCCGGTGGGCTGTGACTTCTTACAGAAACAACACCTGCCTGAGACATCAGGATGGCAGAGTCTTCCATTAGGGTCTTCCCTGGATTTCATTCGGCCACACAGGGGACCTGGACGGTAAATGGAAGTGGGAATGCCCCAGGCAGGTGTTGTTTCTCTTGCTGAAAAGTGATCATCTTTGCACCAAGCATGGTAAGTGGTGCCAACGGAGTCTGTGATGAGTTAGTTTGTTTTCTGCCGTCTCCATTGTCAGCATTTCTGAGGGTAGCAGCCGGTGGTGCCCTCACTTTAGAGAATTCAATCATCACTTTTCAGTAAAAGGAAGGAAAACAAGTGCTCTAAGATGAGATAAGCTGCGCTTTTTTTTTTTGCAATCCTTACTTTGACAATGAAATATTAGTCTGGATAGGAGGCAGGAAAGTAGGCAATTTATTCTAAATCATTCTACTTGGTTAAAGGGGGAAGGGCTTATCCATGGACTTCTTGTTCTTTTAAATGGGCCCTTCCCTACAAAGGTACTTGCAGAAAACTTCTACGAGACACATTGGAGAGTGCAAAACACAAGAATTATCATTTTAGGAGACCATGTGGGCCAGGTGGGACCAAAATGTGGGGTCTGATTCTGGGTGAGGGTGGGGGTTGGACCAATCATGTAGTCTTGTTTTTTTTTTTAACTTTAATTCTTATTTTTCAATTACAGTTGACTTTCAACAGATCATGTAGCCTTTTTGAAGTCAGGTTTATTAAGGTATACTTTGTATACAATAACATTCACTCCCTTTAAACATAGGCTCATGAGTTTTGACAGATGTATAGAGCCATGTGACACCAACGATTGAGACAGAACTGTTCTACCTCCCCAGAAAGCTCCCGTGAGCCCTTTGGCAGTCAGTTCACCACCCTCATCCAGCCACTGGCAACCACCTATCTGTGCTTTGTCTCCATGGTTTTCCTGTCTCTAAAATGTCAAATAATTAGCATCATGTAAATGAAATAATATTCACCATCAGCATATTCAGTCCACCATCAGGGGACTGAATTGTGTCCCCTCAAATTCATATATTGAAGTCCTAACCCCAGCACCTTTGAATGTGATTATATTTGGAGAGAGGGCCTTAACAAAATAAATATGGTTAAATGAGATAGTTAATATGGGTGGGGACCCAATCCAATATGACAGGTGTCCCATTGGGCTGAAGAGGAAGAGGCATCAAGGGTGCACATACAGCATGTGATGATACAGCCAGAAGGTGGCATCAGCAAGCCAGGAAAAGAATGTTCTTAACAGAAACCAACTCTGCTGATACCTTGAACTTGGGCTTTTAGCCTCCAGCACTGTGAAGTATAAATTTCTGTTGTTGAAGCCACCCAGTCTGTGGTATTTTGTTACGACAACCCGGCAGACCAATACACCAGTTTTCTGAGTCTCACTCTTTTCAGTTGGTACTATGTTCTTGGGACTCCTCCATGTTGTTGCCTTCATCAGTAGTTTGTTCTTTATTGCTGAGTAGTATTCCATTGCATGAATGTACTGTAGTTCGTTTACTTACTCACCTGTTGATGCACATGTGGGCTATTTTCAGTTTTTAGCCATTACAAATAAAGCAACTATGACCACCCCATGCAGGTCTTTGTGTGGTCCTATGTTGTTCATTCCAATACCCAGGAGGGGGTTGCTGGATCAGTTGATAAGCATATGTTTATTTTTATAAACACTACCAAGCTATTTTTCAATATGGCTATACCATTTGCATTTCCATTAGGCATGCATAAGATATCTAGTTGCTCAGTATCCTTGGTTACCCTTAATATTGTCAATCTTTTAAATTTTAGCCATGGCAGTAGGTATTTAATGCTATCTCATTGGGGCTTTACTTTGTATTTCCCTGATGACTAGTGATATTAAACACCTTTTTATGTGCTTAATTTGCCATCTGGATATCTTTTTTTGATGAAGTATCTGTTCAAATCTTCTTTCTCACCAATTAAAAAAAATTGAGTGTTTTGTCTTCCTACTATTTGAGTTGTAAGATTTAAAAATATATATATTCTGGATTCAAGTCTTTATTCAGGTATGTGTTTTGTAGATATTTTCTTCTGGTCTTGGCTTGGTTTTTAAAGTTTTTATTTTCTTAAAAGTATCTTCAAAGGACAGATGGTTTTGATTTTAATGAAGTTCAATTTATCCAAATTTTTCCCTTGTGGCTCATGTTTTTTATGTCCTATCTTAGACATCTTTGCCTAACCCAAGGTCTCCTTATGAGTTTTTTTGTTACTCCCATAGCAAATTAGCACCAGTTCAGTGGCATGAGACAACATAAGTTTATCTAACAGTTCTGAAGGTCAGAAGTCTGGGTTTCTTTGCTCTGGTTTCTGACAAGGGCCAAAACAAAGTGTTAGCTGGCTGGGTTGTAACTGAGAATTTCAAGTAGAATCCACTTCCAAGTTCATTCAGGTTGTCAGTATCCTGTTCCTTGAGGTTGCAGGACTGTGGTCCCCATTTCCTTGCTATGTCAGCTGGGGCTGTCCAAGGCTCCTGGGGGCCTCTCTCTGATAACTGAATATGGGTCCCTAACTCTCACAGCTAGTAAAAGCATATGAAATCCTTCTCATGCTTGGAAGCTCTAAGTTTGCCTCTGCCACAGATGGAGAAAGTTCTCTGTTTTTAAGGGGCCTTAGGGTTAGATTAGGCCCACTTCAATAATCTGGGATGCTCTTCGTATTTCAAACTCTATACTCTTGATTACATCTGCAAAGTCCCTTTTGCCATATCACGTAACATGGTCACAGGTCCTAGGGGTTATGGGGTAGACATCTTCGGGAACTTTTTGCATCCGGATATCCAGTTTTCCTGGAATGACTTGTTGAACAAGTTAGGTGTTTAATTTCTATTATGGTGAGAAACTGTGATTTTTACAGTTTTAGAACAAACAGAACCATAGCTCATGTTTCATAATGGTTATTGCTGATTTCATGGAAGTTCCTACCATATTTTTGGCATTCCCAAAGCATATTTTTCTCTGGGAATTTTTAGGAGTGGAGCCCATGAGATTCTGTTTCGCTCCCCACCTTCCACACACACCCGGCACTCCATATGGCCACGGAACCCGTAGCTTGGTGGCCAAGTCTATGCTTATGCTACTTAAAGACAGAGCCAGCAAATCATGGGCCAGCTCTTTGGCTGTTTACAATTTCTTGCTTCTTTTCTAAGTTGTCACTGGTGCTGGTCCTTGGGATAGGTCAGGAATTTTCACCCTGGGAGCTGGGGGAGGGGTGGGGTGGGAATTGAGGCAGAGATGACACCTTTCTGTGAATGTCTTTGAGAAACCTCACCCCCCACTTTTTAAAAAAGGTTTCCCACAGTTAAAACTATGTTCAGAAAACTGTAGAACAGAAGGTGGTTAGTTTCAGAAATTCCGCCCTCACAGATTCCCTCAGTCCCCAGTCATTTCACTCCCTGAGCAGATAAGTCTCCCCTGAGCTAGGTTGGGTCCCCTTGCTTGACCTTAGCCTGGGTCATTGACTCTCATCAGCCTGTTAGAAGGTAGTCACCTGTTCTGTACCTGGGCTGAAGCATATAGAATTATGGGACCTCAATTCCAAGGGCACAGATGGGCAGGACCTGGATAAGGAAGGACCTGGGACAACTCAGGTCAAGGGCAGGGGACTATCACTTATCTCAGGCAATGGCGCCTTAGCTCGGCTTTGTTGAGCTGTGTGACAGGCACTTTGCATATGTGGTTAGATGACATGACATCTCTTCTGAGAAATTAGGATAATTAGTTTTGGGCTGGGAACCCTCCATTATCTGTCAGTGAAAGAAAACTTTACGTACTCCAGGGAGGAAGGCAGGTGTTCTTTTAGCAGAAGACAGCCCAAGCCAGGCTTAGTAGTTCTCATGAAATGACTTTTATAAAATAGACCATGTTAAATAATTAAATAGAAGAAAGTTTGGCAGCAGGACTCTACTGGCTAAATAGAACTATGAATCTTCCCTGGAGATCAGGAGCAGGAGTCAGAAGGAAATGAATTCTTCAGGGTAAGGTGTACGTTTTTTTTAATCCTCACCCTGAGGACATTTTTTCATTGCTTTTTAGAGAGAGGAAGGGAGAGAAAGAAGCACTGATGTGAGAGAGACACATCCATCGGTTGCCTCCCACGGGCCCCAACAGGGATCGCATGGGCAACCTAGGTCTGTGCCCTGACTAGGAATTGGACCTGAACCATTTTGGTTACAGGATAAAGCTCAAACCAGCTGAGTCACACCGGACAGGGCAGGTAAGGTGTGCTTTGGTCTTTAGGTATTTCAGGACAGAAGGTGGAGCCCACCCCTATACATCCTCTCCCCCCTCCCATGGGTAAACCGGCCCTTCTCCCCCACCCCCACTCTATCCCCCCGGAAAGCCGGACAGTGAGAACTGATCCTTTGAAGCACTCAGAGGGAAGGGCGTTGTTAGACTAGGAGTGTCCCTTTCCCATATTATCTCTAGTCTTTCTTCCTCACCGGGTCCCTAGAAGGTGGGTGTCCCCAATTTTCTCTCAAGGTGTCACTGCATCACTGCCACTTGCAGCCTCTGGTCCTCATCTCTGGGTCCCCCGTCTTCACTTTTTGTTTCTCCATGTGGCCACTGCAGGAAAGCATTTCAATCTGGATCTGTCAATAATCTGCTTACAACTGCCTGTAGCCCCAATATCATGGGGGTTCCTGGCAGCCAGCTCAGGGCAAGTTCACATTCATGTATAATACCAGCCCACCATCCAAAAAAGCTTCAGAACGTATCTCAAGGACACAGCTCATGTCTATCAAGACTGATCCACAGCATAGCATCTCGAAGGGTCCTTCACCCATCTGTGAAGTCCTGTTGACAGCTGCTCAGTAATAGTCTTTCTTCTTTTCTCATATGATCTCTCCCCTCCCCACAAGTGTGGTCCACTCTGCTGCTTTTTCTATTAGTCCTCTCTCTCTCCTTAACGCAACTCCTTTTTCTTCTTGGTTTTTTTTCTCCTGCAAATGGTTTCATTCTTTTCTTATTATTGTTTCTCAAACTGGTTCTACTTAAATAGACTATAAACCATTAAACATCCAAATAACACAACCACAAAAATCAATCAAACCTCATCCATGGGGCTGTCTTACCCCACAGGGCAGGGCTTGCAGAAGCTCAATGACCCCTTAGTTAGATTTGTTCTTTTGCCGAAAGTTTAATTCAGACGAAAGACCAATCTTGTCTTAGCGCAATGGATGTCAAACCTAACTGTGCCAAAAAAGGGCTACCTGGCAAACTTGGCAAACTTGTTAAAGACACCACTTCCCAGGCATCAAACACAGATTCTCGGCCAGAGTCAGGAACCCCAGAATCTGCATTTTTACAAGCTCCTTGGTGATTTGGAAGTGAGTGACCATATAGTAGGAAAGCAGGATTTTTCCACCCCAAAACATGTCTCTTTGTCATGAGGATTATTTAGGCTGATTATTTTTAAGAAGCATACTTTTTATCTCCATAACCGCCTAAAACAACCTTAGACGGAGGGCCTGTTCCAGGAAGAGCGCTGTCACCAGAAATAACTACGAAGAATGTGGGCCCGGTGTGGTGGGCTCGGGGGTCACCTGGCAGGGCCTGGGGATCGAATTCCTTCCTGTGTCCCGTGGCATCTGCAGAGTACGGCAAACATTCACTTACCAGACATTTTCTCTCCCCACCTTCCTGTGAATTGCCTTCCTCTCCTTTGAAGTCCCAGACTTTTGCCATTTTCTCCTTAGTTCAGAATGGCATATAGGGCCCAATCACCTGACCACCCGTGGGCCCCCATATTGCGATGAAGCTCCCATATGGACAAAATTAAATTTGGTTTTCCTCTTGTGTTAATTTAATTCTTCTAGCCAGAAGAATCTGGAAAGGTAGAGGAGAAATTTTTCCTCCTCAGCGAGCTCAGTGGGAAGCAGACGGATGTACAACCCTCTCAGAGGACCTCTCTCTCAACACCACTTGGTCGGATTTACTTCATCAGGACCAAAGACCGCTCTGGTTGTGAGGACCTGATCCTTGGCCTGCCGCGTCTTAGAGAACAGGTCATGTTCTTGCAAATGGGAGGACCAGCTATCCAGGTCTGAGTCAAGGGGAGATGCTACAACCCCGGTCTGAGGGAGCTGTTGGCCATCTCCTGGCTGGCCTACCACGAGACCACAACCTGTTCAATGAAAAACTGGACCACACTGCCTTCTGTCCCGTTCACATTGTCTAGTGCACCTCAGCTGCTGCATTACGCTTGCTGGGAGGTTTCAAGTTTGTGGTCGAGAAGGGACCTCTGACCTCTGTCACAGTAAGAAAATCCTCATTTAAATTTTCTCCGGGCATACACATACGCCTAACCACACCTGTCCACTGGTTATTCTTAGCCAGCCTAATCTGGAGAAGATCTGGCTGATGTTCTTGGCTAGTGCTCCTGTTACCAGATGTTCAATCACAGAAACATTGAGAGCATCTTTGCCCCCTTAAGAGTCCCAGTTTCTAGTTCCCCCAGGAGTTTTACTACCTCATTTTCTTTCCATCTCTGGAGAGGGTCTGCTTTGCCCTCTGGTGGTGGAACAGCATTGTATTCAATACAGCTGCCTGTGGAAGTCCAGCAGGTGGGAGCTCAGGAAGCCCCTGAGGAAGGTAATATGCCTCCCAGATGCTGATTGCCAATGAAGATCAAGTACATCCCGAGGGCAGATGTACTTGATCAGGAGACCATGGCTTTCCAGCTCTTAAAAATGAGTTTTCCAAGCTTGAATTCTGGTGTCAGCTGGAGGGGGGAAGACATTTTTCCACTGGATTCCTCCAGTCACTCTTCGGCAAAGCTTTTGTCTCATTTTTGCAGCGTCAGCGTTGCCAAGCTTTAGGGAACCCTTTTAGAGTCTTTTATAACCGCCTGTATCACAGCTTGGGTAGAAGCAGTCCTGAGTTGACCTGGGTTCTTGGCAGCCCTGGCCAGTGCAGGAGGGAAGCAATGAAACTGGGCTGGACCAAGAAGAGAGAAAGAGTCCTTGGGACAGGGCTCAAAGGGATTCCTGGGGAGAGGCAACTGGCGCTGTCACAGGCAGGGTGGTCACCGGCACTGGTTTCATTAGGAGCCTTTAATGTCTGAGGAGCTGTGTGCCAAAACTGGGCGGGCTCGGGCAGCAGGACACCAGGATGGCCGGAGCCTGCAGCTCATAGGGATGGGGAAAGCCAGCTGAGCTAAGCAGAATAAACCAAACCCTGCTCCTGTGGGTGGGGAGAGTGTGAGAACCAGGAGAGCGGTCCAGCGACAAAAGGGGGCCAGTGGAAGATACAGTCCCAGAGATGGGGTCTTAATCGTCATGGCAACCAGACTGCTAGTGGTTGAAACTTTTCAAAAGAAATAAATGACTCCTTAATGTGTTTTTGTTTGTTTATTTGTGTGTGTGTGTGTGTGTGTGTGTGTGTGTGTGTGTGTAAGTAATAGAGCAACCAAGACTGATGTTGGGGTGGGGAAGAGAGAGACTTCATTCAGCTTACCCATGCCAGAATGAAAAAAAGGGTCACAAATGGATGCAAGATTATTTAAATCACTGCAATTCTGCCCACTGGCAACCAGTGGGGAGGCGAATCTTTTATCATAATGTGTTAAGATTATGCTAGGAAGAGAAAGGTTTAGTGGTCGCCTTAGAAGGATCTGGAAATCCAAACACTGTACCAATAAGATTTTTCCTCTCTGGGACCCACTGTTCCCTCCCGGAATGGCATCAGGAGTGGCAGTCTTTAGGGCCATACTTGTCATTTTGCCATACAGTAAAAGAAATTCTATTTCATTCCATGCTTTTCTTAAGTGTTCCAACTGCCTCCGCCTTTTTCTGGATCGTGGGTGAAGCCGGTCCATTCCATAGTTCACATTACCGTGGAAACACTGGGAGCTAGAAAGTAAGGAGAGTTCTACAGTTCTGTTTGTCGGTGTGCGGCACTAGGTACCTCCGCGGAAACTGCAACACACTCTTGTCGCGGTGCCGCACTGAGGACCCGGGAGGTCCTGTTGGAGGGTTTCGGCCTTGCCCTGGGGCAGAGGACAGGGCTCCGATGGGGCCACTCACTCTGTGTTAGTCAACTCGGGCTGCCCTGAGGAACCCCGCAGACCCCGGTGGCTTGAACAGCACAAGCGCCCGCTGATTCGGTGCCGGGTGAGCGCTCTCCCACCCTGCAGATGGCCACCCTCTTGCCATGTCCTCACGTGGCCTTTCCCGTGTCCGTGTCCGTGTGGAGAGTGATCTCTGCTGTCTCTTCCTCCTCGTATAAGGGCACTACTTCGATCTGATGAAAGCCTTACTGTTTTGACCTCATTTAACCTTTAACTGTCTCCTTAGAGGCCCCCTCTCCAAATACAGTCATATTGGGGTAGTTAGGTCTCCAACCTATGAACGGACACAGGTGCGGGGGTTGGGGGCAATTCAGTTCATAACGACCCTCCACTGACGGTAAAGAAAATGAAAAATCAGAGGCAGATCAGGAAAACTTTGTAAGTTGCAATGACTTTTTCTATTTTTGTGTTGAGGAAAGTACTGTGATAAAAATTTATATCCTTTGAGGCTTCGTCAATAGACAGCAATCTGCATTAATAAAATGCTAAACAATCATTCAGTTTAGAAATATTGGCCATAAAATTACAATTGTTTTAAGTTAATATATATCAGTCTCATACTAATGACCTAAGAGGAGGAATGCTTTCTGGAACTTTCTTCTTCATTTTTTTAATGATAAGTAGGGAGATGGAGAACAGAGAATCAGCATATAGATAATAGATGTTCTTGAAAGTGAGCCCAGAATAAATGGATCAGAAAGACTTAATGGAGCTGAAAAAAAAACAAAAAACAAAAACAAAACAAACCCAGTATGTACATTGAAAGGGCTCAGGGTGGCAGGCAAGATCAATGATAAGAACATTATGTCAAATCCTATCCTGTTAAAAACCACTAAATACACAGCTCCACAGGTAAAGGTGGAAATTTCATCTGTGTCCTCACACCAACACAGAAACAGAATTTTGGCTGAACTCAGACTTCAGGGTACAGACAAAATGCCCCCCAGTGGAACAAAGTTTAGTTGATCGTGAAGGTGAGAAGTTCTGTTAAGACAGATGTTGTAGCACAGTTTGCGGTTAATTTATGAAAAGAATGGAGGATGCTCTGAGAAATGCAAAGACTCAAAGCATAGCACCCATCTACTCCTAAAATTACTTCGACTCCAGTTGACTAAGAGATAGGGCAGAAACAAGATATGAAGAAGTCATGCAAGCAAAGGCCAGTGGGGAAACCCAAACAGTAAGAACAGCAATATAGCAACGTCATTTTCAAGACTGTGGATTACCATATAACACAAAATTTTAGTTTTCGTTTTTCAGTTGTGTAACATGATAATTGACTGAACAAATACTTGATGTAAAAATAACAAAATAATGACTTACGTAATGAGGTAAAATTAAAGTAATTAGAGTAGAAGATAAAATTTTAATAATAATAGTGAATATCGACATTATAAAACAGCAGATAGACTGGAATCAGGGAGCTGAGGGCTACAAAATGGACAGTTTGGCTTAAACATGTGGCACAGTAAAGACATTTCATTTTTGTCTCTGATATTTGAAAAAATAAGTTAAAGTGAAATTATAAAACTTTCAGGTAAGTATTAGAAGAATTAAAAACTGTTATTGCGCCTGCAGAATAGAAGAAAAACAAAGAAACATAGACAAAAATAATACAAAAGTATTCAAAAGGGAAAGGATGAAATAAGATGGAAATCAGGCCAACTATAAAAAAACAAGTGCAATGGATTACTTCTTAGAAAAACATAAAAGTGGAACTCATTAAAAAAGCAATAGGTGCCCTGGCTGGTGTAGCTCAGTGGATTGAGTGCGGGCCTGCGAACCACACAATCGCGGTTCGATTCCCAGTCAGGGCACATGCCTGGGTTGCAGGCCGGTTCCCTGCAGGCCAGTTCCCAGCAGGGGACACACAAAAGGCAACCATACATTGATGTTTCTCTCCCTCTCTCCTTCCCCCACTTCCGCTCTAAAGATAAATAAATAATAAAATATTAAAAAAAAAGCAATAGGTATCTGAATAGTCTAATTACCATGAAAAAGCAGAGAAAACAGTCAGTACTACCTACCTAAAGAACTCTTGGCTATATAATTTTATGAATTTAAAGCACTATAAACTATTCCAGAATGTATGCAATGGTAGAAAATTTTATGTTATTTTCCCAAGTGGAGACAATCCTGTACTTGACTATGGCATTATACAAAAATTTATGGACCAATCTCATTTATAAATACAAATGCAAAATCCTAAAAATACCCTATCTGCAATGATATATTAAGTACGCAACAGGAACAAATAAGCCCCACACAAATTAGATCAACTTAATGAATATTTCATAGTGGTATGGGTGTAGGAAAGTCCAGAATATGAAGAATTTTATGGGACAGGGGCCCCAGATTCTCCAATGAATAGATGGCAAGGAAAAAAGTTGGCAAACTTATAGCATAAAAGGGACTTAAGAGACAGATAAACCAAAAACAACCAACTGTAAAAAGATTTATAAGAAATGAGAAGGAGGTGAACTATGATGGGTATTGAATGCTATTAAGGAAGTCCTCAATTTTGTAGGTGTGAGGTAAGACTTTTTTAGCTGCACAAAGCCGGAGGGTGTGATGATGCTGTGAAGGGCCTGGACTGGAGTGAAGAGGACATCTGGTCACATTTCTAGACCCACGGGCAATCTGAGGATGACTAGGGTCACATCGTCTGGATCCTGAAGTTGGGGAGCCTCAGTCCTTCCAGAATGGGGTCAAGGAGGAGCCTGGGACCTCTTCTCCTTGGCTTCATGAAAAATAAACATCTCTTTGAGAGCCTTTTCAAATTCTGTCTCTAAATCCAGTCCTACTTGACCAAAGGCAGAAGCCTAAAAGAGAAAAAAGCAAACACACAGATGTCTAAGGACCAAGGATTAGGACCATTGAGTCACGTGTCTATTTTAGGAGCCCCGCCCTCCCTCTTCCAGCACTCAGACAGCATGGTGGGAGATGCTGCTGCTTCCCTGACGTCGATGAGGCTCTGTCCGGTTGTTAGCTTCGACCTGACAGGTGGTCTGCCCTGAAGAGCTGATTCTGATCACTGCAAAGCCTGAAACTGCTGTGAAATGGGTAATGTGAAATCACTTCTTGAGAGCCCACTTTTTGAAGCAAGGATGACCCTCCTGTTCTCCAAGGCTAAGACTGAGTCAGGTGTGGAGGGGCTCCCTGGGTAGATCCCACCACCTCCAGCTCCACACGTGGACAAAATTTGTGGCTTGTGAACATGCCGCCTTGTGGCATGGAGGAGGGAGGGAGGCTGGGTGCAGATGAGCATCTTCCTTAGCTACCTCCCCGAAAAAGTCAGGACAAGTGAGAGTAAATATCAGGAGAAACTCAAGACACTAAAGTTAAGAATGCCTTGGATTGCAAAGTGGCTCAACTAATTGTCTCTCCCTTTCAAGGAAAGTGGAAGACAAGATCTGCGGACAGTTTCAGATGGTGCCTGAATCCACTGGGAACCTTAGGTTACGAAGACCAAGCAGGAGCATCCTGGAAGTTTATTTCATTTTGTTTAATTAACTCATTCATTTCTATATTTCTGGGGCATGAAGAACAATGGAAGCATAAATGGCCCTTCTCAGTTTGAACGAGGAGGTTGGGTGAAATGGACTGTCTCAGTTGGAGCAGCCCACCAACCTGGAGACTCAGGGTAGATTTTTTCAGGCACCGTGTCCTGCTTGTGGCTCTTTTTGACATCCACCCCTGGAATGCGGACATTCTGTTTTGTTTTTGTTTTTGTTTTTCCTAAAATCTTTGTCTTTTTAGCCATCTCCAGATAGAGAATGGGTACAGTTCTTGCACAGTTCTGTCATCCAGAAGTTAGGGGAAAGTGGAAAGGCCATGAGAAGGAAGTAGGACATGTCCTTTACCTTGTGAAATGTTTTATGGTTGTGGAAGATCAGGCGCATGTCCCGTATGAACCATGCCACTGTGTATACTTTCGCAGTCAGCCTTTCCTTCACCAGGTCCAGCCACATGGGTTCCTTAAAGGGCTCACCGTAGTCTAGAATCTAGGGACAAAGCCACCAAAGGCATGATGTCAGCCCCAGTCATCAGGATTGGATGGATCCAACTTAAATCTGAGTCTGTATTTTTAGGATAATAATAATAATACCATCTGACACCTAAATGCCAGGCTTTTTTCTAAACACTGCCATTACAATGACACATAATCTCCACAATGACCCTGTGACATAGACACTAAAATTACACCCATTTCGGATGAGGAAACCGAGGGATGGAGAGGGTAAGTAACCCACCTGAGATGTCTCAGCAACAAAGTGGTAGAGCTGGGACTTGAACCCACCACAGTTTGGCTCTGAGTTTGAGCTCCTAATCCATAAGCTATCCTTGAGAAAGACATTTCCCCCACAGAGAGGGTGAGACCAGCACCCAAGGCAGGCGAAGCTGGCACCTGCAGACAGTAGCGTCTGCAGGACTTGTCCTCCAAGTTTCTAGGGTGAGTTTGACACCAGAGAGGTGACTGGAGGGTGAGAGGCATTGAATGTGACTTACATTATGTGGGGTCTTCGCAAAAAAGGCGCTTTGTGGATGACAGTAGGTCTTCAAGAGGATGAACTCGCATTTCTGTAAGATGTCAAGAGGGTTTGAAAGGGAAATGCAGCCCCTGGGCCGTGCAGCCCGGCTCGTGTCCAGACCTGCACGTGGGAGCGGCCAGATACACTGGCCCTCTGTCTGCCTTTGTCTAAGGGCCCTGAACAGAGTTGAATTCTATTCAGACTCCATTTTGGTGCGCCGAATGACCATCTTCGGAAGCAAGCCACACTTAGGTGCCCTTTCCCTGAGCCTGTGACTGACTTGTCACGTGTGAAGAGGAACAAGGAGGCCTGGGGTTTGAATCTGACTCACCAGCTGCTCCTCAGGCCCCATTGGCCTTGCCCGGACCTCAGATTCCCCGGGACACTGCTGACTTCCTGAAGACTCCTTTACCCTGCAGAAGGTGCAACTCCACGGGCTCCTGAGAGGTCGGGCAAAGTGAGTGAGGCAGAGCCCAGAAACAGGCACCGTTCCTACGGCTGCCACTGTTCTTCTTCCAGGAATGACTGATGGACACAGCAATGGCATGAAGGGGACACTTCCCAGAGTCTCCAAGATCCCCTGGAGGGTCTGACGGTAGGACTCTCCTCCCACTGAGGGTAGCAGCTGGAGGTCAGTGGGTGGGGGGCCGTGTCAGGGTGAGTGCGGGGGCCTCCTCTCCCTGTTTGAGCTGCTGGGGGCACAAGGAACTCAAACTACCTTTACCTGCCTACCAGGCCTGAGTGTCACACTGGACCTTAACCTGTGAGGCCCTTGGTCCCCATCAGCCCGTTGAAAATGCAGCAAAGCAGGGGGGCCAGGCCTTTTCTGAATAAGCACAGAACACAGACAGCTGGCATTTCCTGTCCCCTTTCCCCTTGGACAGGAATCAATGCTGCAGACCTAAGACAGGACATCTCCATGGTACAGTGGCAGGCTGGGGCCAAGGTGGCCCAGCTGCAGACTCACAGACACAAGGCTGTCACTGACCCCAGAGGGAACTTAGGCTACGCCCCACCAGGCTGCTCTGAGCACAGCTACGCCCACCATGCTCACAGGTCCTGCTCTTCCTGCTGGGGCTGAGAGGCCAGAGGCCGAGCTGGGGTGTGGGCTGCACGAGGTGGCTGTGTCTCACTAACCTCTCAGCCTCCACAGGCGGGATGTGGCAGTCCTCATGAAAGGCTCGTGGACAAGTGTCACAGCAGAGCAGCTGTCCCCCTTTGCAGCACACCTCACATTCCTCCACTTTTTGCCGCTGGAAGAGGAGATAACGTGGGCACCGCTGGGATCAGCAGGGCCCACTGAGCACGGCCACTGTGGGGCTCTGGGACACCCTGCCCTTGCCTGTCCCAGAGTGGATGCTCTCAACTCCACTGACCAGGGTGTTTGGGCCGAATGGTGACGGAGCACCAGTCTGGCCTTTCAGTCCCGGAAGAGCCAAGTGTCAAAAGCAGTCCTATTGCCACCCGAACCACAGACTGTCAGAGCCAGAAGGGGCTGGACTAGATGGTCATGTAAGCCCATTCCACTCACACAGTCCAATGACTGGTGGCTTCAGTGTCGTCAGGGAGATGGTTAGACTGAAACAAAATCTGCATTCTAACAGGATCCCAGGCAGTCTGTCTGCAATTCGAGAAAACATGGCTGTAGGCAACTTCCTCATGTGACAACCTGGAAAGACGAAATGTGTTTTTCTGCAGAGTCAGAGTATCTTAGTACCTGACCCAGGCTGTCCCTGGGTCGGAGCTGGCTGAGTGCCAGCTTGGACAAGTGTATGGGCAACTCAGAGAACGCCCCCTAATGCTATGGTTGACCAACAGGACACAAACACCAAGACAGAGCTGCTGTGAAATGGGGCATTTGTGGCCTTATTTATGTGATCCAGTAAATTCTGTCAGTGTTTCGCCTGAGAAACAACATCTCTACTGCTGGGTGAGGTACTGGCTGTGCTCCCAGCCCCCAAGGCCAGACAGTGTGGGCTCAACCTGGAGAAGAGATCAATTTCTCTATGCTCAAGGTAGGAGTCAGGAGGAGGTGTTCTTTCTCTGTGCTTGTGTGCGGCACTCTCCCCCCACCCCCCGACAGACCATGGCGGGTGAAAAGGCAGGAAATAGATCATTAGGAGCTGGAGCAAAGGATCTGAGGGGCTGGGACAGGCCAACCCCTCCATTACCCTCAACTGTCCATAACCCAGGCATGAGGATCTGGCCAAAGGCTCAGAGAGGGAAATGTTTTTCCATCCCCAACACTGGCCACTCAGCAAGAGCAAAAATTCCCTTTTAAAAAAAAGTATATTTTATTGATTATGCTATTTTGGTTGTCCCATTTTTTCTCCCTTTTATTCCCCTCTGCCCTATACCCTCCCTCCCACCAGCATCCCCTCACCCTTAGTTTGTGTCCATGGGTTGTACATATAAGTTCTTTGGCTTTTCCATTTCCTACACTGTTCTTAACCTTCCCCTGTTTATTTTGCACATTCCTGTTCTAGTTGTTTTCTTTTTAAGGCTTAGTTGTTGATAGTTGTGATTTTGTTGTCATTTGACTGTTCATAGTTTTGATCACCTTCATTTTTTTAGATAAGTCCCTTTAACATTGCATATAGTAAGGGCTTGGTGAGGGTGAACTCCTTCAACTTTACGTTATCTGGGAAGCACTTTATCTGTCCTTCCATTCTAAATGAAAGCTTTACTGGGTAGAGCAATCTTGGAGGTAGGTCCTTGTCTTTCATGACTTTGAATACTTCTTTCCAGCCCCTTCTTGCTTGCAAGGCTTCTTTTGAGAAATCAGCTGACTCAAAATGGGAACTCCTGAATAGGTAACTGTCCTTTTCTTCTGCTGCTTTTAAGATTCTCTCTTCTTTAATCTTGGGTAATGTAATTATGATTTGCATTGGTGTGTGCTTCCTTGGGTCCAACTTCTTTGGGACTCTGTGAGCTTCCTGGACTTCCTAGAAGTCTATTTCTTTTTTTTTTTTTGTATCTTTAAAAAAAATTTTTATTGATTATGCCATTACAGTTGTTCTATTCCCCCCTTCATTCCCCCACCCTGCACCCCCTCACCCCACGATTCCCCCCTTTAGTTTATGACCATGTGTCTCAAGTTCTTTAGATTCTATATTTCCCATATTATTCTTGCCCTCCCCCTATCTATTTTCTACCTACCATCTATGCTACTTATTTTCTGTGTCTTCTCCCCCCTTCTCCTCCTCCAACTCCCCTATTGCTAACCCTCCATGAGATCTTCATTTCTATGTTTCTGCTCCTGATCTAGCTGTCCTTTTAGTTTGCTTTTGTTTTAGGTGTGTTTGTTAATAACTGAGTTTGCTGTCCTTTTACTGTTTATATTTTTTATCTTCTTTTTCTTAGATAAGTCCCTTTAACATTTCATATAATAAGAGCCGAGTGATGATGAACTCCTTGAATTTGATCTTATCTGAGAAGCACTTTATCTGTCCTTCCATTCTAAATGAAAGTTTTGCTGGATAGAGTAATCTTGGTTGTAGGTCTTTGGATTTCATGACTTGGAATACCTCTTTCCAGCCCCTTCTTGCCTGCAAGGTCTCTTTTGAGAAATCCGCTGACAGTCTGAAGGGAACTTTTTTGTAGGTGACTGTCCCCTTATCTCTTGATGCTTCTAGGATTCTCTCCTTCATTTTAATCTTGGCTAATGTAATTATGATGTGCCTTGGTGTGTTTCTTCTTGGGTCCAACTTCTTTGGGACTCTCTGAGCTTCCTGGATTTCCTGGAAGTCTATTGCCTTTGCCGGACTGGGGAAATTCTCCTTTATTATTTGTTCAAATAAGTTTTCCACTGGTGGCTGTTCCTTTCCCCCTTCTGGTACCCCTATAATTTGGATGTTGGAGCGTTTAAAGATGTCCTGGAGGTTCCCAAGTCTCTTCTCATTTTTTTGAATTCTTGTTTCTTCATATTTTCCTGTTTGGCCATTATTTTCTTCCTTCTGGTTCACTCCCTTGATTTGAGTCCCAGTTTCCTCTTCATCACTATTGGTTTCCGGTGCAATTCCCTTAATTTCAATTAATTTAGCTTTCATATGTTCCTCTAATTTGTGACTAAAATCAACCAGTTCTCTGAGCATCCTGATCACCAGTGTTTTGAACTGTGCATCTGAAAGTTTGGCTATTTCTTCGCCGCTTAGATTTATGGGCTCTGGGGCTTTGAGATCTTTCTTGAGCCATTTTTGGTCTGTTCGTGCCTGTTAATTATGATGAACAGAGCCTTAGGTGTTCACCAGGGCAGGGCCACCCAGGTCACTGGGTTGTGACGCTGTATGTGGGGGCGGGGTCAGAGCGGGGAAATGGCGGCCCCCTCTGCTGCCTCTCGCCGCTGGGGCCTGCTCGGTCCTGTCTCACTGCCCACCCTCTGGCTGGTCTATCTGCGCACAAATGTGGGACCACAGTCAACCCGCCACCCTGCACCCTCGCTGGGTACGCTGGTCGCTCACTGGGTCACTCACTGGGTCCGCCCATTGCAACCCCACGCCTGGTATCCGTGTACCTGAGTCCATCTGACCGAGTTTTCCTGTGCAACCTCACTCCGCCAACTGCTGGCTTCGCCCCTCTTACTGGTCAGGCTGAAGAATTTGTTGTTGTCAGACTTCCGAAAAGTTCAATTTTCTGTGTTCTGGCTGTGTTTTCTGTTGCTAACATTTTGTTGTCTCTAAACTTGGTTGTGGGAGAAAGCATGACGTCTCCACCTATGCCTCCATCTTGGTGGAAGTCCTAGAAGTCTATTTCTTTAGCCAGATTAGGGAAGCTCTCCTTCCTTATGTTTTCAAATAAGTTTTCAATTTCTTGCCCTTCCTCTTCTACTTCTCACACCTCTATGATTCAGATATTGGAATGTTTATTTGTCCCAGAGGTTCCTAAGCCTCTCCTAATTATTTTGAAGGAGGTAAAAGACCTATATGCAGAAAACTACACAGCCCTGAAGAAAGAAATCAAGGAAGACACAAACAAATGGAAACATATACCTTGTTCATGGATTGGAAGAATTAACATCATCAAAATGTTCATACTACCCAAAGCAATTTACAGATTCAATGCAATACCTATTAAAGTACCAATGGCATATTTCACAGACATAGAATGAACACTTCAAAAATTTATATGGAACCATAAACGAGCCTGAATAGCAGCTTCTAGTTTGAGAAAGAAGAACAAAGTAGGAGGAATCACAATACCTGATATCAAATTGTATTACAAGGCCACTGTAATCAAAACAGCCTGGTACTGGCATAAAAACAGGCACATAGACCAATGGAACAGAATGGAGAGCCCAGAAATAAACCCAACTCTCCACAGTCAATTAATATTCAACAAAGGGGGCAGTAACATAAAATGGAGTAAAGATAGCCTCTTCAACAAATGGTATTGGGAGAACTGGACAGCTACGTGCCAAAAAATGAAACTTGAGCACCAACTTACACCATACACCAAAATAAATTCAAGGTGGATAAAAGACTTAAATATAAGCCTTGAAACCATTAAAGTCCTAGAGGAGAACATTGGCAGGAAAATCTCAGATATTTCACACAGCAACATTTTTACTGATATGTCCCCTAGAGAAAGGAATATAAAGGAAAGAATAAACAAATGGGATCTCATCAAAATAAAAAGCTTCTACATGGCTAAAGAAAACAGTATTAAATTAAAAAGACAACCAACTGTATGGGAAAACATATTTGCCAATGATACCTCAGACAAAAGTTTAATCTCCAAAATATACAAAGAACTTAGATGACTCCACTCTAAGAAGACAACCAACCCAATTAAAAAATGGGAAAAGGACTTGAACAAACACTTCCCCAAGGAGGACATACAGAAGATCCAGAGACACATGAAGAAATGCTCAATATTGCTAGCTATCAGAGAGATGCAAATTAAAACCACAATGAGATACCACTTTACACCAGTCAGAATGGCTATCATAAACAAAGCAACCAACAACAAATGTTGGAGAGGTTGTGGGGAAAAGGGGACCTTAGTTCACTGTTGGTGGGATTGCAGACTGGTACAACCATTATGGAAAACAGTATGGAATTTTCTCAGAAAAATAAAAATCGACCTCCCTTTTGATCCAGCAATTCCACTGCTAGGATTATATCCTAAGAACTCCAAAACATCAATTTCAAAGAACCTATGCAGCACAATGTTCATAGCAGCACAATTTAAATAGCCAAGAGCTGGAAGCAACCTAGGTGCCTGTCAGTAAATGAATGGATCAAAAAATTGTGGTACATATACACAATGGAATTCTATGCAGCAGAGAGAAAAAAGGAACTACTATCCTTTGCAACAACATGGATGGAACTGGAAAGCATTAAGCTGAGTGAAATAAGCCAGGGGTTGAAAGACAAATACCATATGATGTCACCTTTAACAGGAAGCTAAACGACAAAACAGACAAGCAAGCAAAATAAAAACAAATACACTGAAATAGAGAACAAGGGGACAGCAACCAGGGGGGAGAGGGGAGGGAATTTAAGGGGAAAAAATGGGAGGGATTTAGAGGAGCAAGTATAAAGGACACAGGGACAAGAACTAAGGGGGGTGGAAATGGGAGGGAGGTGGGGTGCATGGGGGATGGGTGGTCTGGGATGGGAGAAATAAACAGAAAATTGTACTTGAAAAATAACTAAATAAAAATTAAAAAAAACCAAAAAGAAACAAAAAATTCTGTTCTGGCTGAATGTTTATTTCTTCCTTCTGCTCCAAATCATTGATTTGAGTCCTGGTTTCCTTTCCATCACTGTTGGTTCCCTGTAGATTTTTCTTTATTTCACTTTGCATAGCCTTCACTTTTTCCTCTATTTTGTGGCCATACTCAACCATTTCTGTGAACATCCTGATTACTAGTGTTTTGAACCCTGCAAATGATAGTTTGGCTATCTCTTCATCACTTAGTTCTATATTTAGAGTTTTGACCTGTTTTCATTTGGGCCATACTTCTTTCTCTTGGAACAGCTGTTACATTGTAAGGGGAAGAGCCTTAGGTATTCGCCAGGGCAGGGCAACCCATACTGCTGGTTGTAGAGCTGTATGTGGGGGAGGGGTCAGAGAGGGAACAGTGGCACTTGCCTGGCTCTTGATCAACTGTCAGTCGCTTCCTCCACTACCCCCAAGCAAATTGGGCTCTTCTGGTGCTGATTCTTGGGTGGGTAGGTTTGTGTACATTCTAGGACCCTGTGGGTTTCTCCGACGAACTCTCCTGTGAGGCTGGGAGTTTCTCCGGCAATCTCAACCTCCATTAAGTTTTTCTAGTTAGAGGTTTTAAGGCTTTATTTTTCCACACCGGAACCCTGGGTTGTGCAGTCTGTCTTGCTCCCCAGTTTTTCCTCTTGTTTATACGCATGCAAATGTGGGACTGCCAGGTCCACCAGCTGCTGCCTTTCTGTGCATCTTCTCTGCCCCTGCTACCCATCTCTGCCCCTCCTACCAGGCTGAATGAATGTTTCTTCTTTAACTCCTTGGTGAGACTTCCATACAATTAAATTTTCTGGTAGTTCTGGTTATTTTTTGTTTTTAAATTTATTGTTGTCCTTCTTTGTGAGGAGGCGAAGTTATTTACCTATGCTTCCATCTTGGCTGGAAATCCAACAATTCTCTTTGATTTGGGGATGGTGTTCATCTTTCTCTTAACTGGGGAGACCTCTTAGCAGCTCTCTCCATTTCCTGGGCCCTAGGACTTCCTAAAAGAGAGATCCCTCCACCATGAAGTTTGGTGGATCTGTCTGGCCTTCCCACCTTGAACTCTCCATTCTTCTTTCTTTTGTCTTTGGGGTTGATATTCTATGGCCTTTCTTGTCCTCTGACTGGACAGCCACCCTGCCTTACCCCAGGGTGCAGATGCCAGTTCTCCAAGGAGCCCAGACCTACCCGCTCTCCCTAGTTGAGACTCTAGTTGAGTCTAGAGTCCTGAGCCCAACCCCAGGCACCAGCAACCCTATGCTCTGGAGTGAAACTGTTTCCAGCACACATGATATGACAGAGAAATGACAGAGACAGGACATACAGCTCCACAATCATGTTCTGTAATAAAGGGCGTGACTCTGGTTTTTAGAAATACTGCTGACAGCTTCAAACCCCACCACCTCCTCTTCCCCACTTGCCACATCTGGGCCAGTTGATAAAAAAGCTATGGATTTCTTCCCTCAGCTCTAGTAGAAAGTTCAAGCCAGACAGGCACTGGCCCAGCAAGAGAATCCTCACCCTATTTATAACTGTCTTTGACAGCCCCACACTATACTCCCATAGACAGGAAGTAGTGCCTGCATGCTGGCCCCTTGGAAATGGAGGTTCTCACAAGCCCTGAGGCCGGGACTCTGCACCAGTCACCCATTTGCCTTGGGTCTTGGGACCCACACCCTGCAGGGAAGCCACAAAACACGTTTATGGTGTCAGCATCTGACGTCTTGATGGTACCCATGTACAGAGGTACACGCCAGTGGGGACTGGGTATAGTGCAGTACAGCAGTGACACAGGGGATGATGAGGCTCAGGGAAGGGCCCGAGTTAGTCCGTTTGTAGTCAGAACTAGACTTGATTCTCATTACCCAGATGGGGTCCCTGACAGGGGGACCGCCAGGTTGGGTCATGTGTGCCCCAGGCTATCATGTGCTGACACGTGGCATTACGAGTAAGAAGAAACTATTATGTTGGGGCCATTCATGAATGATCTGATTTTAAATATCTTTATTGTTTTTTTTCTGGTTACAAACGTAGTAGATGGTCATCATAAAAATTCCACATGTATGTAAATGTATAATTTGAAAGGCAATTTCCCTTGTAACCCCATCCCAGCATAGCCAATTCTTTCAGATTTTTAAAAAGTCATAGACTTACACAGTCACATAAATAAAAATGGGCTTGTTCCACACATATTATCAGCAGTTTGAGCTTCCAAAAGCTTTCCTGACCTCAACGCCCGTGTGGTTTCCCATTGACTGCGGATGAATCTTTACCCATGAACCCATTCGTTAAGAAAAATACCATTCTGTAGATGTCTTAGGTTGTTTTAAAATACTGATGGACATTTGTAGTTTCTGATTTTTTGCTATTATAAACATCTCTTGTATCAAGGTGTTTCAAATCATGGAAAAGATAGTTTATACAAGAAGTGGCATGGGGGGGGACCATTGCCTGACAAACTTTGAATGGATCCAACCGAGGGTCAGGTGAGCCTACAGGGCAAGATGGGACAGGAGCTATTATTGCATCTGCTGGGGGTTCATATCCAATGGGAAGCCCATGAATGGGACTTGAGTTTGGAAGGTGCATCTAAGCAAGCAAAGAAGGCTGAGAAAAAGCTCATGGTACAGCCAGTGGACTGTCATTTTCAGCTGGAGGGAGGCTCTGCAGAGACAAAGCTTAGTTGAAGCACAGACTCCCATTCTGGTGCTGTTGATACAGAGTGTGTGGAATTGGGATGACTGGTGTTCAATCAAGGGTGATCGTCTTGCCCTTTCTGTTCTTTTCTGTTTCAATATCATGTTTACTTTTCAAACAAGAGCACTCGATTTCTGACACCCTGGGTTTGTAATCACCCGTATATCCAGATCTTTGTCTGCAACACATGTACATCATCAGCTTTTGTCCTGATAAATATTTTAAAGAGTTATTTCCTTCCCTATCTCAAATCAGCTATGAAAACACTGGCAGCACATGCACGGAGCTAAAGGGGTCGACCTGGAGAGAGTGCCTACATGTGAAGCTCACTGGGGCTGGGCTACTCGAGGACTGGAAGGTGAGCCTTCGGACTTGAAAAGTCCACCACCTGGAGACTGAGAATGTGGTAGAAATTCACTTGCTATTTACCTCTCTCTCGAGACTTATTCTTGGAGGACAGACCATGAGTCCTTCCTGAAAGAGAGAAGAGGTCAAAGAATTAGGTTATTCTGGAGGCTTTTCTTTTGTGACGATCAAAGTTCCTACTTCCTAAAGAATTTTTATACCTAGACATCCTACTGGGTCTCAAACCCCAGGTGTCTAAAGGAAAAATGAGCTCCTTCCTCCAATCGATTCTTCTTCTGGACTCGATAAAATCATTTTTCTTTCTTGATTACACAAATCCAAGACCTGCCTGTTCTTTTTTCTCAGTCCTCTCTCCACCCACTCCTTTTAATTTGCATTTCCTCCTCTCCAGATAAAATCCTGTGGTTTCATCGCAGAGATCATTTTTGGGTGTAATTGAGAGCCTTTGTGTTGGGATCACTAGCACCCTCATTTGTTGCTCACAGATGGAACAGTGGGTGTGCTGGGAAGTACAGAGGAGAGACTGACCATGGACAAGATGGCCTGGGGACACTCCACCCAGTGGTCCGTCTGGAATGGGGCCTGGAGGAGGCGCTCAGTGGTTGGAGGACATATTGAGAAGCTATGGCTCACGTGTATGTCTTCATCCTGTTTCCTTCCAGCCCAGCCTACCCAACACCAGGCAAAGCTTCTTACATCTCTCCTGACCTCAACACCCTTTGCCTGCACTCAGAGGTCTCCACCACCAGCACTAATTTGCGTTTTTAACATTACCGCCCACATCTTTTTTTTCCAGGAAGGTGCAGCTCTTTCTCAGTTGTGCTGTGGAATCCTAATGGGAATCTCTTCACAGTTCTGTTACTAACACGTCACTCCTGCTTCAAGAATTAAACCCACTATCTATCTGCCCCTCATCATTTTAATACCTCTGTTAGCTGTTGTAAGGTCTTTTGTCCACAACGCATATTCCGCTTCCAGTTCTTTGATTTTTTCCCTTTTCCTTGAATTTCAAATTCAAGTGGCGTCCACCACAATCCCTCCTCATCCTGAATGCACTTCCCGGAGGATCCTGTGAGGCAAAGACAGCCCATCTCATAACCCACTGAGACCCCAAATTCACCCCAAAACTCTACGCTCTCAGACTGAAGGAAGCCCTAAAACCTGGCAGAGTGGTGAGGGAGGGGGAGAATGTTTGTATTTTTTTGTGCCACCTATATGTGGCAAGGACATCATGATCACTGTCACGGCATCCATGGGTGGATGACTCCCATGTGGCAGTGCAGTGGCCTTGCCACCAGGTGTACCACGACATGGAAAAGTTTGAAAATCCCTCCTTGAAAAACCTTTCCCCCCTTCTTCTGAAGCCTAGTTTGCAGGCTCCACTTCCTGCACACAGGGGTACTTTCCTCCCATCTAGCGATCCCTTCATCAAGGGGACCCAAAGCCTAGAGTACCAAGGAACGCACCATTTTTCATTTTCTCTAGATAAAAAACCCCCTTCGCCGTGCCACAGGTCACAGGGAAGTTAGGAGACTGCAAATCCACAGTTTCATCTTTGGGTTTTTCTGAAAGCAGAAGAACACAGTCCGTCACTCATTCTTCATGCTATCTCCCTCATGAGTTCACCTTTCCCCAAATTCCAACAACAGTCTTAGCGACATGAAGGGCATCGGGGAACGCTCTCTGGTTAATAGGCAGGGATGATTTATTTTGAGTGGGAGATTAGATACACAAAACCACTCCTGCCAATGCTGCATCGAATAAAACATTCTTGTCAACCACGTTAGGTGACTGTGTTTTAATTCACAAGCTAATGGGCCATCCCCTAACACGCACCATCCCACCAGGACAGCTAGTTCTTCTCAGATTCTTCTGTCACACCTCCTGCTTTTCCCACTGTGCTGATGGAAGCTGCCCGCTTGGAATGTTTCTCTGTGTTCATGCAGCTGGAGAAAAGGTCTTTGTCTACGAAATTATTGGCGGATTCTAGTGAGGGCGGGGGGGGGGGTAAGTGAGGCAGTTAGCACTGAGGGAATTCTGAGAGGCTTCATTGTTTGCTTTTTTTTACCCCCATTTCATTGCTTCCCTGTTCCTTTCTCTGTGAGTAACAGAAAACCCTGGAGAGCTCTGGACTAATCTGCCAATTGCACATGGAGAGATTTGGCTGCTCAGGACCCTGAGCAGGGATCTTGAGAAGCAGTTTAAAGGATTTAAGAGGGATAGCAGCAATTTCTGCTCCCCCTACCCCTAGCCTCACTGCGGGTGACTTCATTAAAGGCAGACTGCCAGCTGTTCCTCGGAGGCAAGGAGAAGGGGCTGTCCATGGTCTGTGTTGAGTTGCACAGTTACACCTGGAGTGAGGCTGGGAGAACCACTAGTGCAACTCTCTCCCTTGTCTCAGCACTTACTGAGAGAGCCAAAGGGAAATGCATGGAAAAACAAGGATATCATTGAAAAAAGAACAGAACAGCATCAATGGCGAAGAAACCATGAGTTACTCGGGAAAGATACAAACCAGAAAGAATCAGATGACAAAGGAGAGATCCTCAAGAAGTGAGTGGATGATTCCCCCAACAGAGCCCCAGGGGATGCCCAGCCTGGAGGAGCAGGGGCCGCTGCAAGGCTGAGTAGGAATGATGGGGGGAGGAATTTTGTTCCAGCGGCTGGCCAGCACCGCTGCATGAAGTGGCCACTCCACCACTTGCCTCCAGACTCTGCCTGCTAATCACAGCCCGGTGGAGGAGAGCACAGCCTTGGGAGCCAGACCGGGAGGGCTTGTAATTCCGGCTTTGCAATTCACCAGGAAGGTCACATGAAGGTGTGTGACTGTTGCCAGCGCTGAGTGGGAGATCTGCCTAAGTGACATGTCACTTTGGACCATTACTGCAAATCCCAAGGGGGGTTAGTGTGGCAAAGGGACCTTCCACAGTTCTCTGTCTCAGGGAACCGTCTTCCCTAACTCCTACAGTAAGTATGAGCTCTATGAACACAGGTCTCCCTGTGTTTTGTTTATAAGCAGATGCAGGAGCAGTGGGTGACTTTGGGAGCTCTGGTCAGCAAGCCAAAGGGCAGGGTCATGGGCACAAGCAGCATGCTCTCCTTTACCCAGTGCAGGTAGCTCACTGAGTCATGAGGGACCTTGTGTCCCAATTACTTCCAGAGCGACCATGCTGTCCCTAAGTGGGGAGAGAACTTCCTGGTGTGTTCCCCTAAATCCGTTGGCCCAGCCCTCCCCACTCATCTGAGTGAGCAGTCCTGTAAGGATGGGGTCCTGGGCGAGGCCTGCCTGGAGCTCTACAGAACGGATTGGGTCACCATTAGTAAGTGTGAGCCCGCGGGAGGAGCCTGCAATGAAACGTGAGCAACTAAAGAACAAAGAGCGTTCATGGTAACAGAAAGCACCATGGAGGAAATGAAAAGCCCAAAAGAGACAAAGAAGAACAGAATGGAAAAAAAACCTAACTCGCAGATCAGGAAGACTAACTCCCGGAACTCTTACAGAACACAGGCAAAGGGCACCAGGTGAGAATGACAAGGACAGACGCAACCTGGGCCAAGGTCTGGGAGCTTTACGATCAGCGCACACACTGTACTGTTTATCTTCACAGCAGCCTAAAACGGAGAGGCAACGATGATCCCCACTTTATAGATGGGGGGTGCAGGCTTAGATCTGGAGAGCATTCCTGCTGTCCTGAGGGGCGGCAGGCGCTGGAATCCAGAAGCACCATCTAAGTCTAGTGCTCAAGCCGTGGCATCAGAAGGGCCTCAACACCAGTCCCTGTCACATAACCGAGGACAGCAGGGAGACACTGCGTGAAATCAGACGTCACAGAGAGGACAGAAATGTTAAGGAGGCAGGGAAGCTGATGCTGGTGGGTAACTGTCAGCGTCTGCCTGAATTTTGCCTGCGTTTTTTAGCGTTTTTTAAAAAAGATCAGGGGTATTTTTTTTTCTCAGTGTAAAGAGAAAAGAACTTGACATGGGAACATCTAGGTTGATTTTAGCTCATGCAAGTCCTTTCTGTTCTAAATGTCTCCGTAAAATGCGCTGAATTCGTACTTGTTTGGGGATTGAATAGTAAGGTGCTTTGACAATTGTAAAGTGATGTACACACTTATATTGAGACCAGGGCCTCTGTGGATGGTTGGGTGGGTTGTGCACAGAGCCAGGATTCAGCCTTGGAGGGGGCTTCGGTTCCCCTGAGATATAATCCATCTATGTACGTCCTACAACAATCTGCCAGCAGAGGGCAGAAGAGACCGTGGTTTCAGAAATCAGCTTTGGCCATGTGGGGAAAGTGATTGAGTAAGGAGCACCTTTTCCTAGTTCACACAGGTGCACCATAGAGGTAAATAGAGGCCCTGATGTTGGTGTTTACCTTGATGAAGAGGAAAGACTACAGTATTGATGACCTGACAGTTACTTTAGCATAAAATGTGCGAGGCATGGAGGAAGCCTTCCTGACTCCGTCTGATTTTCACAGTGAGCAGAACCGAGGCGATAAAGGGCGGAGAAAAAACGCCAGGCTCTAAGAAGGCACAGCAGGAGTCCTTACCGCTGCCTTGGGGCAGAGAACGCTGTGTTCACGGTGCGGCCTGAGGATGTGTAGCAAAGGGAGGGATGAGGATGTGGGGTGTGTGTGTGCACACCCGTGTGTGTGTGTGTGTGTGTGTGTTGGGAAGTCCAGCAGGGAGGAGGGAGAAGCATGTGGTTTCAGTGACTTATGCATTGAGAAATCAGGCTGGCAGTGACCCGAGGGGTGTGGGTAGGGATTGGATTACGAAAGTAGATTATGTTCTGTTTCTTGACCCCCCCGGGGGGGGGGTTGGGTCCATGCGGGCTCTGGATTTGTGTTAATTCCTCATTTTGTCTGTGAGCACCTCACACCAGTGCTACTCAGCACCAGTGCTTCTGACGAGACAGGGGCTTGATCAGGACAGAAGCCAGAGCACTGCTCTCTTGACTGGGGAGGTCTGGCCCCGAAAGCAGTGTGTTCTGGGTCACAGTTGAGGTACACGCTCTGTCATTGTCCAGACCTGTAACAAACAGGCTTGCAGGTGACCCCAGTCTGGAGACCCCTACCTTGATTAGCACCTGCTATACTTTAATAATAAATTAATGGGGCAAAAAGGCCAAGATGGCTTGTGCCAAAAAAGAGAGGGGGACAAGAGAGAATGCTGAGGAAGTGAGTTATGAAAGCAGAAGAAAAGTGGAGGAGGAGGAGGAGGAGGAGGAGCAGGGGAGGACAGTGGCCCCAACATGCACAAGAGTCCAGGGGGCAGAAGCAAGCCCAGGGTCCGACCCACAGAAACCAGGCCTTCAGCCCTGACTAACACAGGAAGTGGGAACCCTTTTTTTTTGGTTAGGATTAGGGCTTTTACCAATTCCTAGAATGAAGAAAGTGGGAGTTATATTAGAACTTGACATACAGGTTCGGTCATTCTCCCTTAACCACTTTGGGGTCTTTATGTTCTGTGTTGAACAATGCTTCCCTGGGCAGACATGGGTGGATGGGGTGGGCAGCTGTCATTCATTGGGGGTGTGTCACATGTGAGTGGAAAGGAGACCTAGGAGGGGGACAGGGACAGGAGGGAAGGCGGAGAAGGGGACGGAGAATGGAGGTTTCAGCAGCTGGTGGGGCACCTGAGGGCAGGTCTGCCTCTCTTTTACTTACCCTTTTGGGGAATATTTTTCTGCTGAGTCTTTGTTGAACTTTTACAGACATCTGTTTTCCTTTTCTTTTCTAAAAAATTTTAAGAAGTCAGCTGTAATTGGAAACATACATGTACATGCTTTATATGTGAACTACTTTGAAATAATTTTTCCCATTTTTTTCCAGTTTGGAGAAAGAGAGATATGAATTCTTAAGAAAGGAAAATCATAGCATCGACTAAGTAAAAATAGCAAACTCGTGTTAATAGATAAGGAGGCTAAAATATTACAGAAGTCAACACCTCAAATTGTTATGCATAGTAACATGTGTAACGTGTTTATATATATTTAATACAAGTACTAGAAGTTAATAAATGATTACTCTTATAAATATCATACAGCAAGGGCTTTTGAAAGCAGAAGTATGGGGCAAAAAGCAGTGACTCTCGGTGCTGGGTGACTGCAATCCAGGGGATATTTGGCAATGTTGGAATCTTTTTTTTTTGTGACTGGGAGGCAGGTGCTACTGCCCTCTGATTGGTAGAGGCCAGGGGTGTTGCTAAGCAGCCTGTGATGCACAGTGCAGCCCCCACGACAAAGAATTATCCGGCCCAATGTGCCAGTAATGCCAACTTTGTAAAACTCTAGCATAAACCATACTGGAAAAGATAAACTGATTGATCTAACTCAAATTTTAAAAAACATTTCCACAACCAAAAATTTCTTGTTACATGACAAAAACAAAATAAGAAAAATTGCAATAAGATTACAAGGAGTTAATTTTGATTAAACCAAAAAAATAAATACTCTTACATAAAAATGGGCGAACATGATCAGGTGATCCCCCAAAGGAAAATATTCAAATAAAACATTTATTGAACAACAGGCTCTGGTAATTTAGGATCTTCCCAAAACTCAGTGGTTCATTTATAGGGTCAGCAAACTGCAGCCTGAGGGCCAAACTGGCCCAATGCCTGTTCTTGTAAATAACGTTTTATTGAACAGCGGGCCCATTTGTTTATGCATTTCTTTCTTTGTGCCACAATGGTAGTGTTGACTTGCTACAACAGAGACTGTAAGTCCAGCAGAGCCTAAATTATTTATTATCTGTCTCTTCTTGGAAAAAGTTTGCCAAATGCTGGTTTAGAACAACACAGGTTTACTTCTTGCTGGTGCCGTTTGTTGATTGCACATTAGATGAGGTCGTGTGTCAATGACACTCATGGACCCTGGGACAGAGAAGCCTCTGTCTAGAATGTCGCTGGTTCTGTGGCAGAGAGAATGACAACACAAGGGTTCTTAAAGCTTTGGTTTGAAAGTGACCCTCTCACGTCTGCCCACACTTCTTTGTTCATGTCAGGTCACATGGCTGCTCCTGAGTCCATAGGGCAGGGACATTAACCTTCTGAAATGCTGGTCAGCAGTGACTCAACCTGTCCCAGCATGTTTAATCGAATGCACTGTGCACAGAAATTCAAAGGGAAATGTTGGCAAAATACCATTCTTTACTTTAAAAAATTATATATTTATAGACAGAGGGGAAAGGAGGGAGAGAGGGAAACATCAATGTGTGTTTGTCTCTCATGTGCTCCCTACTGGAGACCTGGCCTGCTACCCAGACTGGGAATCAAACCAGCATCCCTTTGGTTCACAGGCTGGCCCTCAATCCACTGAGACACACCAGCCAGGGCCATTCTTTGCTTTTAATTTGTCAAAAACAGAAAAGTCTCATTACTTCAAGTGTTGGTGAAGGGGTAGGAAAAAGAGTGTCTTCCTGATGTTAATGGGTGCCTAAAGTGGCAACAAGTTGATCATTACTATGTGCCAATTTTAAATATGCAGATTAATCGACCAATTGACTTCACTTCTGGAAATTAACCATTAACAAATACTATTGAGAATGAGGATTGGTGCTACTCCCCACTGGGTTAGGTGGAATCAGAGGAGAGCTCAGACTCAGGAGCAGAAAGGTAAACAGTGGGACCTGGGAAATGGTCATGTGAGTCCACAGTGCCCAGTGGAGGTCAACTGCACCCTGGGGACACATTTACTTCTTCCAGTATGTGGACAGCAGGACCAATAAAATGGTGCTGGTCGGATTAAGACAGCATACAGTATATAAAACAAAGTGGAGTCATTTATGATAACTGAAATGGCTGTCTGTCAGCCATGACACTTTGGTTCAAGAAGAAAATTCCCTAAGTCAGAGTAAACTCTTGTGGTAGGGAGACAGGTCTGCCCACGTGGTCAGAGCAGAAATGTGTGGCAAGGAGACACACCTACGATATCGGCACACGTGGTCAGAGGAGCTGTGTCAGCGGGACCACCCACAGCTGGGCTCCTGGGGAGGCTCCACACTGGCCAGTGGGGGTTTCAAGCAGAACAGGCGTGTACCACCCATAAGCTCCTGAGCAAGTCCCACACTTGGCATCATGGGTGCCAAGACATTTACGGAAAGGACCCGGAAGGGTGGAGTGCACCACTCTCAAGGTGGAACTGCGGCAGGCTCCAGACCAGGGCTGAGACAGCTGGGCTCCACACACCAGAGTGCAGCTCCCTGCCACGCCCATCTCCCTTGGCATTAGCCACCAGAGGTTCTGCCTGCTGGACTGAGTAATTTGCCTACAAATACTCTGTTGCCTACCTGGCTCCAGAGAGCCTTCCTTGCAAGACACTGACAACACCCTTGCCCACCATGCTGACTGCTGGACCTGCAGACTGAGACTCTGGGACTCAGGTTCATTATCTCCCAACTGATTGCTGTATGTGTGTGTTATATTCCTCTTACATTGATAGAGTGCAAGTAGGATATTAAGGTACGTTGATGGTCTACTTTGAGTGAACTTGCATTCCCAAAACGCTGAGAGAATAGCATAGTTACTGTGTGTGACTCTTGTCTGCTCTTTGGTCCCAGGCTGCTCAGCAGGAGGCCAGCCGAGCAGTTGCCCAGCTGACTTAGAGGAAAGACTATATTGCAAACAGACACTCGGTGCCACAACACCACTCGCAGACCGACAGACCCTTGCTCTGTCTTCATGCCCTTCTTGTCTATGCTGCTCCCTCCACCTAATACTAACTTCTCACGTCCCTCTAGCCCTGCGCCTGCTGCACTGGACCCTCCCACGCTGAGCCTTCAAATGGCAGATTTGGTCACCAGCCTTACCCTCAGGTCCAGATGTCTGAGCACATTCAATCTTTTTTGTTCGGGCCCTGGTCATTATCTTCAAGGTGCTAGTTGAGTCGTCCTTTCTCTGGGACTCCTGATGCACTGCTTGGCACTTCTTTTGGATTCTGTGCCCAGGTAAGGCAGTACCTGGGCCAAAGAATGATTTGTGAGTAGTTTCCATTGGGGTCTCCAGTGAGCCTCCTTCTCCCCCTTAGTCACCTTCCTTCTCATGCTCCCTGTCCCCACATTGTCACGAAATCCTGTATCCCTGTATCTCGCTTTTATCTTACTGTTTCTCTACAAATACTCTTCTTTTTTTCCCACAATACACCTTCCCATTCTCTGTCCCCCTTCAGGTCCTTTTTGTCTATTAATTACATTATAACATTGAGAAAGCAGACTCCACATCTGTTGTGCTCCCTGAGTTCCCAGGACCTAAGACATGTGCCTGGCACCCACCTCAACTCAATTCACCTGTGTTGAAAGACTAGACAAGGGCAGAATATTTTTGAAAATATTAGAATTATGTATTTTGCATCTTCCTAAATCTCAATGCTCCAGGGTTCCCTAACTACTAAATCAGTAAGTCTCAGGGAAAGGGCTGATGCTGGCTAGAACTGAGAAGTCATGACTCGGTTGAGACCTTTATGGAGATAATATACACCCTGAAACACAGAATTTGTTGGGAGTGAAAGGGATTTCTAAGTTCCAAAAATTATCTTCATGTACCAATAAGAAAAGCTTGGAGGTTTTCTGCATGAGAAGTTTTCCTAGAATTCACTGGTAACAGAGAACCCAGCATTTGACAGATCATAAGTTTCCTCCAGCTGAGGGAGGCACAGGGGTTGGGAGTCAGATGAGACCGGGGTGGAGAAGGACAGGCAAGGACATCTGAGTCCCCTCACCCTCAAGGCTGAGCGGTGCTGAAACCGAGCCAAAAAAGTGGGTTATGTTCAAAGCAGTGAAGTTCATGAGATGCTGCATATTTTGGGGGCTGAGATGAGGTTCCCTCACAGAGCACCCCAGGCGCCCATATGGCAGGGAACCCAAGAAACTCCTCCCACACTAGCATACCCTGAAAAAGGAAAGGAGAAAGAGTGGAGAGTGGGGAGGGAAAGAATGAGGAGAGAAGAACAGAGTGATGAAGATAATAGAGAGGACAGAAAAGCCAGAAAAATGCAGTTTCATGAATTTTTACTGCCCGTACAAAAATAAGACAAGTTTCATGGTAGATGCATGATAAGTAGGTATGAATCCCTTCAGGAGGTTCTGAAGGCTCAGGGACTACAAATCCAACTCCAGTCTGACACTGGGGGTCCGAATCCTGCCTGCTCATGTGGGTTCGCTTGTCTGTTCTTGCTCTGAAACATGCACCGGACACGGTCCTCATCTCAAAATCGTCTCAGGTCTCTTGTCCACCTCTGCCCCATTCCTTCCCAATGGTGAGAAGAACCCTTTGTGACACACTATAGGGTGCCTGGGTTCTCCCTTTGTGAGGAGGAGTCATTTGATAGGGTGGCCTAGGGGACAGAGAGCACTGGCCCTGTGCCAGTAATACCCAGGTGGCTGGAAAGGAGGCCTTGCTTGTCATCTCAGTGAGGACCCCGATGAAGAGCAAGGGAGAGGCGACTTCACTCTTCTCACTTACTTTTTGGGAGACTTTTCTTCTGTCTTGTTTTTGAACTCGACCGGCTACCTGCTTTTTTCTTTTTTTCTGAAACAGGAAAAAAATTAATTTTTTATAGCTATGAATATTGATCTATAAATTTGAGATGTCAATATTTTAAAAACCAATTTATTTCTGTCTTTTCATCACTTTGGGGAAGCAGAGAACCAAGAGATCTGTGTAAAAAAAGTATTCCTTTTCACTTGGAAATAAAAAAGGTTGAATCAGGAAGTAACAAAGATATACTAAATTATTAACATTTAAATTAGGCCCTTTTTTCAAATTTATAACCAGGTTTTTTAAGACTTGAAGAAAATATATAGAGAGATTATTGTAAGCTATAGATATAGAAAAAAATTTCTTAGCTAAAACTCGAGGCCAGAAATCATAAAGGTAAAAGACAGATCTGACCATTTAGAAAATTAAAAATGTCCACACTTCAAAAAAATCCTACAACATTAAAACAAAAAACAGAAAAAATTTCAATATAGTAAATTATAGAGGGTTAATAACCATACTAAATAATACAAAAGATGAATAATACTACACAAGAAAAATAAGCCAAGAACACAAATTAAATTTTTTTATTTTGACTTTTTATTTTATTTTTTACTATTACTTATTTTATTTTACCTTTTCCCCCACCACTCCAGCCCTCCCGCCTCCCTCCCCCAGTCCCCGCTATTGTTGTTCATAAGTCCTTTATAATTGTTCCTGTAAACCCTTCACCCTTTTCCCGCATTATCCCCTCCCCTCTCCCTTCTGATCACTGTCAGCCTGTTCTCAATTTCAATGTCTTTGGCTATACATTGCTTGCTTGTTGATTTTGTTGATTAGGTTCCTGTTAATGGTGAGATCCAACTGTATGGGAAAACATATTTGTCAATGATACCTCAGACAAGGGTTTGATCTCCAAAGTATATAAGGAACTCCCACAACTCCACTCTAAGAAGACAAGCAACCGAATTAAAAAATGGGCAAAGGACTTGAACAGTCACTTCTCCAAGGAGGACATACAGAGGATCCAGAGACACATGAAAAGATGCCCAGTATCATTAGCCATCAGAAAGATGCAAATAAAAACCACAATAAGATACCACTTCACATAAATTAAAAAATTTTAAAGCAGAAATACAAATAATAAATTTATTGAAAAATCATCTTTAGACTACTACTGATGAAAAATATATTGCTTGGTTTTCAGGACACCCCCATCTTTTAAGAGGTTTCCTCTTGCCCATGTTGACGAGGGTCTAGTGAATGGGCACTCATGCCTTATTAAAGAGGATGTAAGCCATTACATATTCTGCAGAGCAATTTGGTGATGCATATGAACTTTAAGGTATGAAGAGTCAAACCAAGTAATTGCACATTTAGAAATTAATTTCAAGAAAATTACTGGCAACAGTGCAAACACAGAAACACATGTGAACATGATTTCTATTTTCATATAAAAATTGGAAGTAGCCTAACTGTCCATCAATAAGTGATTGCTTCAATTGTTAATCATATGGTAATGTGTAATGCAGCTAAAAGAAAGGAAAATAGGCAACACTGACATGAAGATACGTATATTAGATTAGCAATGAAAAAGTATTTACAGAATACACTATATTGTATCAGTGTACACGAGAACATTATATAATATATGATGAATGTACGCACATCTGTGGAGTATGCAAATGAGGTGGGGGAAGTAGATTAAATCAACTTAACTTCCTGATTAATAACTTTCTGTGCTGTTTGCAGAATTTAGTAGGGACATCTTATCACCCAGGACAGGACAGACCATGCTGCAGTACAAACAAAACCAAGTCTTAGTGGCTTGATGGAACGGTGTAGTTCTAGGTCACATAGAGTGCTCTGCAGGACATGGCGTCTCCAGGGCACCTGTCCTCTGTGTGATGCTGTTGAGGCCTCGCTGCTGGGGCCTTTGGCACCTCCCGCTTCCATACACCCCCACAGTCAGGGGAAGACAGTGTGGAGAGCTGTGTAGTGTATCTTATGTGTTTTGATTCAGAAGTAAAACCCATCCCACAAACTCATTGGTCAGAACCAGTATCACTGTCTTGTCTCCTGCAAGAGGCTGGGGAAGGCAGGTTTCTGGGACTGGGAAAGAAACTGAGAAATAGTGGAGAACCCACCACACAATGTAGTTTGCAGGGTGGGTACTGCTGGTTGTTCCTCTTTCTCTGGTCTCCTTTCTTTCTTACTAGTCAAGCCCTTGATTTTGTTGAGCTAGATACTTGTCCTTCTAGAATACAACATTTCCCAGCCTTTTATGTAGCCAAGTGTAGCGATGAACTGGTAACAGAATGACTAAATGCAAATTGCAGAGAGAGCCCTTCAGTGGAGGAGGTGTGCCTGTCCTTGACCTCGCCTCTTTCACTGGCTGGGCCTCCAGGAAGGAAATGTCACACGCTGAGGATGGGGAAGCAACAGCCAAGAGTGAGCCTGGGATTTGAGGGTGTTTGAAGCCAGCTCCTGACCACCTACCTCCACACAGGTGTGGGTAATAAGCTCTCTTATTTTAGCACTATTTTTTTCTTTTTTGGCAAGGGTAGGGGGCGGTTTGTTGGCACACACAGCAAGCAAATCCTAATGGCTGCTGCAAAGTGTAGAACATTTTTTATGCTGAAAAAAAATTAAATCACAGTTATAAAAGAGCACATGTCTTTCTGGCCTGGGTGTCTTTCATAGCCTGAGGGTATAACAGTCAATGAGAGAGTAGCATGGAATCCACCCCAACAGAAAAGACACAGGTTCTTTACACTTACTCTTTTCTCCAGATTTCCCCAAGGAGAGTTTGCTTCCATTGTCCAGGGGATCTAGAAAGAAATGACAAAGTTTTAAAGAAGCAAGCTTCACATTCATTGACTACATTCATTTCAGATAATGTTGAGTTGACAACGCCTTGACTGTATCATTCCTGTCCCTTCCTTTCTGATGGAGAACCATGGCTCCAAGATGCCAGCTCACGTCTATGTACGCAGCTTCTAAAACCCATCAATCTTTCACACGTGTCAATGTCCTCCTCTAACATTGAATAAACTGCTTGACCTTCACAACCAAGGGCGGCTGTGAAAGTAAACAGAAGTTCTCCACGAGGCAATTTGAAAGAGACGTCAGTGCAATGAAGGAGAAACTGTTAAAATCACCCTCCACTTCAAAGGCAGCCAAATCTAACACATGCTTTCTGACAATGATCAGGTATTTATTGTTTGAGAGTCACTGTGGGAGATCTGTGAAGTGGTGACCCAGTGACTGAATCACCAACAGACTGAGCACTGGGCAGCATCTTCCTGCTCCAAGGGTGGTGGTAACCAGGAGCCCCAGGCAGCAATGCTGAGACTGAATTGCATGCATTTTTCACCGGTGTGCACGAACAGCATCACTTACTTGTGCCCAGTGAGACTATTACATGTGTGTTTACGATGAGATGTTCTCTTCCCAATTTTCCCAGAAAAGTCATGTGAGAAACATGGAGACTGGGCACCCAGGAAAAAATTGATCCGTGGCTTAGGAACTACCCATAAAGAACCAAGAACATGCTCAGGGCATGAATTCTCAGCAGTGGGATGTTGCCTCAAAATTGAGTCCTGGGGGAAAATTTTACTCTTTTTATGTATATGGCACAAGCAAACATACATGGTCCATAGATCCATATGTAATATCTTTGTGATATTAAAATATCATGGGGGGTATGCTGAATGAGGGAAAAAACCCTCTAACTGGGCTCCCTAAGGCAGTGATAACAAAAAAAGGGTTGAGACACCCTGGCTCAGAGCCAAAGAGTTCTGAATCTGGGCTCCTGGTGATGCCCTCTAAGGCCTGCGGTCCCGCAACCATACCTTGCATGATTTGTGGTGGTGTGCTAGATGGGTCCTGGGGACTCTCTGCTTCATCCATTTCTGAAGTGTCACCACTGCTCTCTGGAAAAGAGAAGACATTCCCCTGAGATCTCAGTCAATGGACCATGGAAAGTTTCATGAAGAATCTCCCAGAGATCCGGGAAGGACCTTGCGCACCCTGGAGCTGAAGGCTGGAGGTTGCAGGTTTTGCTAGAGCCTCCATGGTGCCTTCCTGTGGTACCACTGGGTCTCCCCGACTTAGCGGGTAGCAGAGCAAGGCTGGTCAGTGTGGCTCCGCTACTGATAGAGATGTCCAGTGGGAGAGGAGTCATCTGAACCCCAGGACCAGAGGCTAAAAGTGAGGTTATGTACCCTTGGGAGGGGTCCCGGAAACCCTTTCTGGAGATCTTGGAGGTCAAAACTGTTTTCATAATAAGGTGTTTTTTGCCTTTTTCACCATGTAGATCTTTATACAGATACAGCAAGAACCATGGCAGGTAACCCTGCTAGTGCCTTAGTATCAATCAGAGCAGTATCCCCAAACCTTAGGAGTAGTGATTGCATTCTCCATCACCACTTGCCATAAACAAGCAAACCAGTTTTATTAAGAGTGTTCTTGATGAACCAGTAAGAATTAATTTTATTAAATGTCTACCCTTGAGAACACATTCTTTTAATAGTCTTTGTGAGAAATTGTAGAGTACATGTAAAACCATTTGCAACACCTTGAATTTCCAGGACTATCTGAAGAAAAATACTTGTGTAGTTGTTTGAGATGTAACTCACTGTAAAATTCAGTGACTAGTATTTTTCAAATGTCCATAACATTAATAAATCATGCATGAAAACATCAGTTAAAAATGCAAGAGAGCATTATGTATTTTACTGCAACAGAGTATGGAAATTCATTGACATGGTTCAGATTCCACTTTATAACTAACCTTTAAGAAACTATTCCTTGCTGATTTTCACACAGTGCCAAAGATGAACAGCCACAGATATCTCTAGAGACTGTTAAAATACACCAACCTTTTCAACTACACATCTGTGTGAGATTGCGTTTTCTCCCTATATTTCAATCAAGGCAACATATTGCAATGGATTGAACACAGAAGGCAATCAAAGAATCCAGCTGTTTTTGAATAAGCTAGATATTAAAGAGATTTGTAAATATGTGAAATGATACCATTGTTTTCACTAATTTCATTTGGAAATACATTTATTTTCCATGAAAATATGATATTTATGCTCACAAGTAATTGGTTTTTTGTTGTTACATTTCTTAAAAAAGATTTTATTTATTTACTTTAGCCAGAGGGGAAAGGAGGGAGAAAGAGATGGAATGAAACATCAATGTGTGGTTGCCTCTTGTTCCTCCCCTACTGGGGACCCAGTCTGCAACCCAGGCATGAGCCCTGACTGGGAATCTAACCAGTGACCCTTTGGTTCACAGGCTGGGCTCAATCCGCTGAGCCACACCAGCCAGGGCTCTAGTTACTTTTAAAGGAATTAATACATAAATCCTTCAAAAGGATCAGTTCTGATTTCTGATAAGGTACATATGTGGGGTCCTCCATGATTTTCCAGAGTGTAAGGGAGTCTTGAGACCAAAATGTTTGAGAGCTATCGTCCTAGGCCCCAGCTGAGGTCAGCTGTACCCTTGATCACAGGTGTTTCTTTAACAGAAACTCCTCAGAGGTGACAGGTGTTTGTTTCCTCTCTTGTCAGACCTCGTCATCTTTCCCTGCACCGCTCCCTCCTTCTAATACTAACTTCTCACGTCCCTCTAGCCCTGTGCCTGCTGCGCTGGACCCTCCCACACTGAGCCTTCAAATGGCAGATTTGGTCACCAGCCTTACTCTCAGGTCCAGATGTTTGGGCACATTCAGTCCTTGTCTTTTTGGCACTTGTCACCACCTCTGAGGTCCTGGTTGAGTCGTCCTTCATTTCAGTGGCCTCTTCCACCACTTGGCGCTTCTTTTGGATTCTGTGCCCAGCTGAGGCAGTACCTGGGCCAAAGAGTGACTTGTGAGTAGTTCCCACTGGGGTCCCCAGTGGGCCTCCTCCTCTCCCTCCTCTTAGTGACCTTCCTTCTCATGCCTCTAGCCCCCAAAATGGGAGATCTCTGTACCCCCGTGCCTCACTTTTCTCCTGCTATTTCTCTTTAATTATGCATATATATTTTGGGTGCACTGTACTTTTTTTCTCTAAGTTCACCATCTGGCATCACTCTTTGGACAATCTATTGAAATCAACCAAAGAATTTTGGGGGAATCCCAGAGCAGTGGAGCTTAGTTCCTGGTTCCTGTGTCTGAGTTACAGCTGCCACTTCTGGGTATAAACGGCCTGGTGGTTTGTTTCAGCAGAGAAGGGGCCTTCTGGAGTTACTTGCTCAGGCTCCCCAGGGCCCATGTGTGGTCCAGGAATGATGGGAGGTGGGGGAAGGGGTGTCTTTGTGCAGGGTGAGTCTGCTTCCTTGTTTAAAGACGAGATCACAATTTGCACTGGCTGTGGAAACTGGTCCCCATGGGATGACCATGATGGAGCAAGGATATCTCTATGGAGACCAGGGGGAACATACACATGGCTCAGCCACGCTTCCTCCTGGCAAGTGAACGCACAAACTTTTTTTTTTTTTTTTAGCACCCAAGTGCCACTTAATGGAGGAAGCAGGGGTGGCTAAAAGTTGGAAAGGAGGTAACCAGACATACAGGGAGTTCAAATGGAAGTTACTGAGCATTTTCCAAAAAAAACTGGGGCAACCTAAAAACAGCCTAAGGAAGTTGCCTTTAACTGGTGAGTTTCATATGTTCCCTCTGTCACAAACTGGGCGTTTCAGAGAAATGAGAACCATTACAGAAAATACGGAATACCACTCTTTTTTCTTGCATATGAGAGTGTGGTATATCTATTTTCAGTATGATTATCTCTGTTCTTTATTTCTCCAAATCTTGTATCTCTTTTCAGGTGTTTTTAGTATTTTTAATAAAAGTGAGTAATTAAATGTAAAATAATGTGACTCTCAGAAACATATTGGTAAAATGTTTCATTTAAATGCCATAAGAAGAAAGACAAAGCTTGAAGGGCCTGGTATCTCTTGCTCCTTTTGGTAGGTAGCTTAGCAGAGGGAAGCCGCAGCTGGTCAGAGTTACCCGAACAGAACGGGCTAACACCACCCCCAGGGGCTCCCCCTTGCTAACGAGGCCACTTTCGACCCACTGGGGAGCATGCACCATCACACAGTCACTTAGGTGTTTCTGGGCCTGGCCCTATAAACCTTTGCATGTGAGAACTGTGGGAATGGATGCCTCAGTGCTGGGACGCTGGCCGGAGGGCATGCAGGCCATTCGTGCCTGCTCTAAACTCAGGGTCACAAGGCTTTGGAGGATTGTGAGGGCTCTGCTTCTCTGCTGGGAGATTTCCCTCCAGTTACTCTTAGTTTCTACCAGCCTCATGTGCCACTCTTGGTATCTGTGACTCTGCCTAGCACAATAGGGAATTCATAGTGATCCTTTGTCAGATCATTCTCCAAATTATGGGATGTAAAATATACGGTGGCTTTCATTTTTTTATTCAGGAAGTAACTAATGCCTCATTTGTACCTGGAGGTTACTATCCAGCTGGGAAAAGACACATTAACTAAGTAATTACAATGGAGTATGTGGAATCTTCCTGAAAGGCCAGTGCTGGGGGCTTTAGGAACAGGCAATGGGACCAACTCAGCTAATTTAGGGCCAGAGGACACTTTCTTAAAGTGGACATTGAGGCCAACGCCAATGAGGAACAGGAGGTAGCCAAGCATTTATGGGAAGTAGTGTAGGGTCAGAACGTAGCATTCAAAGAGAGGAGCATGTGCCAAGGACCAAAGAGCAGAGAAAGAAAATGAGAGGGATGGAAGTTCAGAGTGGTTGGCTGGAGTTCTGAGTGGAAAGAGGTGGAGTTGGAGGGGAGGAAGGGTTGAATTGGAGAGAGCTTTGACAACCACATGAAGACCTATGAGCATTATGTGAAGAGCAATAGGAGGTCATGGATGAGCGTTAAGCATAGGAATGAATCCATCCAGTTTTAGTGTAGGAAAGAGGAGATAGAACCCACAAAACCAGTCAATATACTAACAACGTAGATTGTCAGGTAGTCAAGGATGACTTGGGTTTTGGCTTGGCAACTGATTTCAAGTTAAGTGAACCCCAAATTCTTCCCAAAGTTCTGTGGGGGCCACGTGACCTGGCCCCTCTCTACCTGCTCACCTCACACCACCTTTTCCTTTCTTCATCATTGTCCAACAGCACTGACCTTTCCCCTCAGCCCTGCTCCGTCACACTTGCGAGTGTCACTGTGCAGACGAAAGCAATTTCCACCCAAAGCTGCAAATCCCTATTGTAACCCTGCCCTTCATTTTCTTTCCCCTGTTGCCACTGTCTGAAATGGTCTTGTTCTTGTGCTTTCTGGCTTACATTCCTTCTCTCCCCACAGCTAGGCGGTAAGCTCCAGGAACTTCTTTCTTCCTTTTAGCTTGATTTCTTGCTTTTAAAAAAACTCTACCTTCAGCTCTCCGAATAGGTATACACAGAATTAGTTCTCACTGCATGTTTGTGGGACCAAGGTCTGAGTGCTACCTAGACCGCTAGGGTTTAGGTGCATGTCAGACACATTCAGACTGGAGTGTCTGTGGGAGACTTGCAAACAGGAATGACTGTTGAGCAGTTGGTTTTAGGTGTTTTGCAGACAAACCAGAGTTGGAGACATAGAGCTGGGTCGTCCCTGAAGTTGTGTGAGTGGCTAACAGGGCTCAAGGGAGTGTGAGTTGGATAACCTGAGCAGTTCCCACCAAACCGAGAAGGCCCATAGGGAGCACACTCAACAGGGGGAGAGGGGGAGAGCGGCTTGTCCTTTCTCCCTGCCCAGGAAGATCACTTAGCTTTGGGGAAAAGGCACAGAGCTAACCTACTTCTATCAAATATCTTAAAAGGGTGCCAACCCTGCGATTTTGGACACTGGAAACATGCCAAGGGTAACTTCAGTCAGGGGAAAGGAGCTTTAACCTGCTGCTCTGAGTCCCACGTACAGCAATAATTGTCTACACGTGCCCTCGCCTCCTATTCATTCCTCCACCCACCGCAGCTGGCTTCCGCTTCCATTACCACTACAACTGTCCTGGAGTTCTCCAGTGGTACCTTGTGGCCAGACCCAAGGTCCACTTATTTGAGTTTATTTTAATCCCTGTGTAATCAAGTCTCTTGATTTACTGATGTTTTCTCTCAGGGCTCACCCCTTCACAGCTCCTGACGAAGCAAGTACTGGACACAACTGCATAGGTGGCCAGCACAAATCTTGAAACAGACAATCCCCTCAAACATGTCGCATCCTTTCTCAGCAATGGGCACCCAGCCATTTAAGACAGAAACTGAAGAGCAAGCCTTGAGATCGCTGTCTTTTTAATCTCCAGCTTCCCGTTGATCAAGTCCTGCTAACCTGACCACCAAACTGGTCTTAAACTGGCCCTCTTCTCTCCATCTCCACTGCTTGATCTGAATCCAGGCTACTACCAGCTTTTATGGCATCTGCTCAACCAATGGTTGCCCAGGCTCCATCCTTTTCTCTTCCCAATTTATTCTTTATAAAGCACCAAAATCAGTCTTATCAAGTTTAAAATTGGAGAGCATCATTCACTGATCAGATCTCTTCAATGGCTCCCCCCTGCGTTTACAATACAATTCACCTTCCGTAACTTTGACCGACAAGCATGAGCTGCCTCCGGTTTCCTTGTCTACTGTCATCTTACCTCTCAGGCTTTTACTCAGGTGTTTCCTTTTTGTAGCTGACCAGGCAACTCTTTTCCTTTTCTTTGCTAAAAAAAAAATACAGACTATCTTTTATAGCTACACACACAGATCTGCCAAGCTTCTAGGTCAACAACTTTCAGCTTTTATGTTGGATGTTCACATCTCAGTGGCTAGGAGATCATTGGTGGCCTCAGGTGAAGCTGCTTCATGGAGTAATCGGGGAGAAGAAATCCCAAAGTGGCCAAGGAGGCAGAGGCATGAAGAAAAGGAAACACTGAGTCTGGGTAATGCATATCCTGGAAGCTCTGTTGTGATATGGAGGGGAGAGCTATGGAGGCAGGTTAAGCTATGGAGATGGGGGTCAAGAGAAAGTTCCTTTATAGGCTTGGCCATTGACTGGATGCTGATCCTTGTGAGAGGCCAATGCTGAATTCTCAGGACAGAGGGGATCATGGATGCTGTCAGGTGCGGTGGAAGGACTGCCTTGGAGAGAAGGAGGGATGCAGGGAGGAGGGGACCTTGGAGGCCGGAAGTGAGAGGATTCCCATCTGATGCCTTTCTACCAAGTGGGAGGAAAATTAATCTCTTGAGAATAAAAGGAGGCATTGGGGGTGGAAGGTGGTCAGAGAAAAAGAAGAATTCAGGGTTTGAAAAGATCATCACAGGAAGTGGCACCGTCACATGGGGTAGAGGGATCCTTTAGCTGAAATTATGACGGCCTGGCAGGTGCCATCTGCCCTGCTGTGTGCCTCTCCCCAGCAGTGCCTGCTTTTAGGTGTATTGTGCGGAAAGCAACTGTAGTCTCCTCCAAGACCTTCCAGGGACTTCTAGGAAATGACAGAGTCAAAGCATGTTAAGTATCAGCAATATGTTCCTGACATGATGGATTCTGGACTCCAAGCTGGTATAGACAGGCACGAAGGAAGGCAGATGATGGACTGGAAAAAGGAAAGGGCAGTGGACTGGTCACTGAAATGAGGTTGATGCTACAGTGGGAAAACACTACAGGGAGAAATCAGGGAAGGATATTTTTAAATTCATTTTAAAGACTGCCAAGGAAGGGAGATTAGAGGTTGAACAATTGCTGTAGAAAGAGCACACTTCAAGGATTTGTCAAAAAGGAATTCTTTAATTACTGGGAAGCTGATCCAGGTTGAGTGATAAAAGAGGGTTGTGGATTGTCTTTGGGTGCAGGAGGCCAAGAACTGCAGGAAGAAAAGGCCATTGGAAACTAGCAGATGGAGGATCGGAGGGATCAGTGTACTGGAGGGGCCTGTTATTCACATGTACCTTCAAGGTGTCCAGGATGGTGGCAGGACTTGAAATAGAAATACTGCAAGTTAGCCTTGAGCTCTGCTGGGCAGTGGAGGGGAAATCAAGGGATGACGCTGATGAAGTAGTGAATATTTCACTTGAATGGTTAAGCCTCAGACAAGGGGACGGTGGAGCAGGGGCCTGGCTAGGGACAGCAGGGAGCAAGGTGTGAACATCCAACCTGCTTTTCTCCTTGAGGTGAGTGATAGCAGAGAATAGGCAGCTATGTCTTAAGAGAAAGCAGAGTGCTCTTGGGAAACCACTTATAGTTAAAGAAGGGGATGCGACTAACCCTCCATGAAGCTGTGGCTATAGGAGAGCTTGGCGATTTTAGAACAGGCAATTCCAATGGCCCTAAATGTGTTCCGCTTTTCCTACAATTTCATGAAGGCCTTAAAGAAAGAGATGATGAAGGGAATTGAAAAACAAATTATAGAGCATTATGAATACAATCCCACAGTGAGTGCACGTGACAAGACATGATCAGAAAAACAGCACAGGACCAAACTCCCCCTCCTGACATCTACAGGAGAAAGGCAGTCCTTACCTTTCTTGACTGGAGGTGTGCTGGAGGCCTCCTGGGCTTCTTTTGGGTCTTTTGGTTTAGGAGAGTCATTTATCACTGACAAAGGAAACAGAATTCATTTCAGAGGTAAAATGGGCTCAACAGAAAGTGCTGAGGAGACTCAACACTAGAACAAGAGGGCAGAGGACATGCATGGCCCAGGGCTAGGGACCTGCCCGTCCACAGGGTTCCCTAGATCTGCCTTGATTCGATCCACTTGTGGTTATTGTGACCTGCATGACAACCACAGACCCAGGGAATGACTGCCTGCCGAGGAGGCCGTGGTTTGCCCCATTTGGATGGGTTCCCCTCACTCAATGGAGACAACCACAGGGGCTTTTGGGAGTCCTCACTTCGGGAGTGAGGTCAAGAGCAGTGTAAGTGGTAACCTTGAATTCTGAAGGTCACAACCAAGGTGAATGTCTGCCATATGAAAAGCACATGTCATTGTTCAGATGTCTATGAATGGATATTTTTCACCAGCTCTATCTGTGATCATTTCACCTCGTGCAACAGTGAAGGAGGCTGAGTGCCTTATATATTTCAGTCGAAGAGAGCAGGAGCCAGCTGGTACTTGCTAGCACTTGTTAACAGGAAATAAATACTCAGTTCTTAGCTTCTACTACACTAAGAAAGACAGAAGGGCACGAAGCCACAACAAATAAAGGCTCGTCTCAGGAAAGGCTGTGTGCTTTTTGTTTTCATGAGGCTATGACATCCATCTCAAATTCTGGCCTATTTAGGAACAGGTAGCTGGGGCAGGTGGCAAGCAGTTGCTAGAGCCTTTAAGCGATCTGTTGCATTTCAAAAAAATTTAATAGTATCAATTTAAAAAAATCCAAACATACAGAAATTTTGAGGGTTGAAAGTGAAAGTTCTCCACAGTCAGGGTGGGGACCAGGAAGGAGGACCATTTGTGTCCGGTGCAGCAATTGAGCTTTCGGGCCACACAGTGATTTTGTTTGCTTTGCATTTTGATGGAGCAGTTTTGAGTTTTACCTTATTGAAGTGGCCTCAGAGAGTGGCTATGTCAAACAGCTCTGCCCTGGCTCAACCCTTTGTGCTCCTCCCCTGTGCTCCCACCACAACCCCTTCTGGGGTTTGCAGACCCCTTAGTGGTGTTGGGAGTTCAGGCCCAAGAAGTATTAGTGGGGCTCCCATCCCTTGTCATTGGTGCCCCCTCGCAGTCCATCTTGCCCTCCCCAGGGACTCTGGCTCCTTCCAGGGGCTCGGAGCTCCTGTCTGTCCAAGCCTCATGGATGGTTGAGCGCCCAGGAGCTGCATGTGTTGGTGGTCAGGAGTAGAGAGGAGAGCCCTGTCTCTAGAAGATTCATATGGCTTCTCCTTCTGGCAGACACAAAAACTAAGGTGCACTGAAGTCATTTAAATCAAAATTACCTGGTGTGTGGGCAGGGCGAACATGAGGAGTCTCTCGAGCATCTTCTTTCTTTTTTGTTTGTGGGGTCAGGTTGTCACTGGACACTGAGCAGAAGAAAAAAAGGGATTTCAGGTTCCAGGACCAGAGAGCAGGGACCACAGAAGGAGGACAAGAACGTTCTATTTTAGCTGGTAAAAATGATGGGGCTGGACTGAACACCACAGCCTGGTGCGTGTGAGACAGAATGGGAACGAGAACCATCCTTCCTTCCAATGGGCTCCTTATTAATTTAATGATGGTATCTATTTTGTTCTTAGGGAAATCTAGAAGGTGGAATCTTACATTGTTATTTGCTTTGCAATTATGTTAACCTTATTTGGATGTATGTATTAGAGATGTGGAGAAAACCGCATTGGGACCAGAGGACCCCTGAAAATTAATACGGTTGAAACTGTATTAGGCCTATAACAATCAGAGGGTGAGGGTGATAGATGTGTGTTGCCTAAGTTACCTGTCAATCAGAACAGTGTGTTTTGAGTGTTGGTTGGACAGGACTGTTGGACATCCCAGCATCAGACTGGCTGTGGCAGTGTCCCTGAAAAGTGATCCTGTGCCAAGTGGACGCCTTGGTTCTCCTCTGTCTTTTTCTTTGTCGTGCCCTGTTGTTTCTCTCAGGGCTCCTGCCACCAGGTCAGCAGGAGTGTGTTCTCCCTTCACAGCCACCTTGACCTGAACGAAGTTAGGCCCAAGGACATTACCTTGCACAGCGGCAGGGCGTGTGCTGGACATCTGTTGTGAGTTTTCTCCATCATTTATGTGGGATGCTATGTTGGTCATCGGAGAGAGGGAGCAAAAATCATGACAGGTTGTAAGCACAGGGTGTGGCAAAGGAAAGTGAAGGGTAAAAATGCCCAGGGCAGATGGTGCATCAAGCTCCAAGGGCAGAGGACTGGGCTGTTCCAGGGGTGGAAGCAGGTGCTGGGGCACTACCCCCACCTGGGCCCCTCACAGTGTCTGCACCCTTCTGGGGAAGGACTTTGTATGGGAGGTGGGTGCATGGAAGGGGCCGACTGACACAAAGATGGGACCCTGGGGTTCCAGATGCGGCCACAGGCACCCTAGGCTGGCGGTGCACAGGTGTTGGACAGGGTCTGTTTCTCACCTGGAATGATCCTTTCTTTCTGGATGACTCTGGGAACATCTTTGGCAGGGCTGGCAGGACCAGCAGGACCAGCAGTACTGGCAGGACCGGCAGGACCAGAAGGTGCAGCAGGACCAGCAGGGCTGGACTGCTTGCCCAGAACCTTAGCCTGGGGCGGAGGGACTGTTCTGGGCTCGCTGACTTTGGGCACAGGGGTTGGGTGCCTCAGTGGTGCAGGCAGTGGTAGCAGGGTCTGGTGGGGGCTTCTAATTGCCGGGTTGGCCGGAGCTTCAAAAGGGCTTGGTGTGGACGATCCTCCATAGGGAATGAAAACTGGGGTTGAAAAAGAGTGCATATGAGCACCGTAGAAACTCAGAAATATCTGGGGAACAGGTTTTTCCTTCCCTTCCTCCCTCTCCTCCTCCTTTCCTTCCTCACCCAAGGATGTTTACTGATTTAGAGAGAGGGGAAGGGAGAGAGAGAGAGAAATATTGACGGGCTGCTTCCTATATGCACCCTGACCAGGGATTCAACCGCAACCTATGTATGTGCCCTGACTGGGAATTGAACTTGCAACATTCTGATATACGGCACGACACTCCAACCAACTGGGCCACCCAGCCAGGACATGGGGGAAAGGATTTTTTTTTTACACATAATTTTCAACAGGTTGGGGGCATGGAGTTATTCATTCACTCCCAGGTGCATAGAATTGATTAATCATTATCATTGTCAATTTGTAAATTTGATTTTGGACATTCTGTGCTATAAAACTATATCTAGCCTCTGATCTAATTCCAAAGTAGTTTCACACATAAAGTTGAGTTTCACTTTCTGCCCAGGGATTTAATTTTTTTCCTTTTCCTCAATTTTAGTTTCAGAATATAGATGATTATGAGTAATGTTTTAATTGAAATGGATGTCCTTGTTTTAATAAATAAACGCATCACACTTCCCTGTAGCAAATATGATAAAATACAAATTTCTTTTCATAGTGCCTCTGGTTTCTGCAGACTCAGCCTATGTTTCTGCTCACCTTGCACCCTATGATCTGGCCACACTTCCTTCCCTTCCCTAACACCCAGGCTCTTGGCTTTTCCTATGCCTTCCACCTGCACAGCCAAGGGTGGGTTTCTCCTATGATTCTTCTCCACCATTTATTCCAGAAGTAAAGTTGTCCCAGCCAGTGAATAGAAAAAGGAGAGTAAGGTGAGTTTTGGGAAGGGTCCCAGAGAAAAAAATCAGAGCTGTGATCGAGATGTTTGAGCTCAGCCAGGTTGGAGTCGGGGCAGTGCATCAGTGCATGGGCCACCAGACTTGTTTAGCGTGGCTTCTGAAAGCACGTTTCTCCCTGCACTGCCCCTTGCTGCTGGGAGCAGGAGCCCACGTGCAGTGGTGCCTGCCTGGGGGGTGACTTTTGTCTTTTCCTGCCCCATTAGCTCAAGGAATCGCTTCTCCCTTTGGGATGGAGCCTCTTGATGGTCGAGAGTCTGAGAGCAGCTGAGAGCTGTCGACAGGGGTGTCTGCTGGCCTTTTCCCTGCCATCCTCGGAGAAGGGAACCATGTCTCCCCTCAGATCTAAAATGGTTTTACCATCTGCTCCTCTCACTTCCTTCCCCCCAGCTCTACTGTTGCTGTTCCTTCTACTCCTTCATTTATTCAGTTCTTTCTCCCTCTAAGTGTGCTTCCTGCCCCACTGCCTTCTCCCACCCTCCCTGTCTGCAGTTCCCCTTCCTTCCTCATCACGCTCCGCCTCCAGCTACCCTCTTTAGAGCAGTGATTAAAATCTCAGGCCCTGGACTTAGGAGATCCAAGTAGGACTTCTGGCTCTGCTCTTAACAGACAAATAACTTAGGAAATTCATTCTGAGCTTTAATTTCCTTATGTGTCACGTGGGGGATAATGAGGATTGTTTTAAATACTGTATTAGATAATTATATAAAGTGTCTGGGATAATGCCTGGCACATACCAAGCACTCAAAAAAAAACCCCAACAAAAAAGATTCTATTATCCATCCCATGTCCATTACTCTTCCTCTCGGGCTCTCATTGTCCTTCTGTCACAAGGGGTCTCTGTAACTTTGCATTTCTGTCACATTATGCATTCCCTAGAGACTGCCCCGTAGGGTACACTGTACAATTTCCCCCAAATTCACAGAATAGGTAAGACAGAGAGAGTTGTGTCCTCTAGAAAGTCATCTGAGAGAGCCAGGGCCAGAGGCTAGTCTTGCCTGCCCGGCCTGTGACAGAGTATGGCCCACACCTCCCCAAGGAGAAAGCGGGCAATTCAAGCGCATCTTCCAGGGGGCTGGGAAACAGCCCAAACTTTCAGCACAGCAGCTCCCCTCATGTCTCTATAGCCCCAAAGGGATTCGAGAAGCCTCGTACCACTTCTGAAGCTGTTGAGAACTGCCTTCAGGTTGGGGTATTCACGCAGGTTGATCTGGCTGAACAGCATCTCCAGAAGCGCCGGCTGAAAGGCATCCTCCAGTTTGGTGAGGATGTTGTGCACCACTTTGGACACAGGGACCATATTTCTACAGGCTTCCAGAGACTCCTAAAGAAGTGGAATCACATTCTATTGTAATTGACTATAAAATCAAATGGAGGCTGATTATGCATTTGTGGTTTTCTAAGTTGTAAGAAAGCTATTTTGCTCTTTTAAGAAGGAATTTAATGCAAAAGGTACAGTCAAGTTGTCTAATGTAGAGAAATTACAGTTCCGCATCTTTACTTTGGAAACTTTACATGTATTTTGATAGCTCATCATAGGAATAAATCATTTAGCCTTCTTTAAAATAAGTCTGTTTTGTGAACCTTATTTTAGGTGCATTTGAAGGAAGAGGGAAATTTTAAGAAAGGAAAGTGGAGTCAAATGCTGGGATGGTGTAATGGATTCTCTAAGGCTCTGAAGTATAATGTACTGGTCGGTCACCACTGGCAGTTCTGCTGAAGGGGTTCCAGCCATAAGGAAACCACCCAGGGGACCTTTCTTGATGAGAAGATGGCCAACATGAGAAGCATGGCAGGAGAGAATTGACTGCAAAATGCTTATGGAGCACCTTCTAGGCTAGGCCTTGGGTATCAAGCAATGGAGAAGAACATGCTGCTACCCTTATTGAGGAGGGGGCACTGCTGGGCAAAGGAGGTAGGCATTAAATAATAAACACAAATGAAATAAGTACCCAATTATTGTCAATAGAAGTTTTATTAAGGGAAATAATAGATTTCTATGAGAGAGAATAATGAGGGGGGGTCTTAGGGGAGTGGGTCAAGGAGGCCTCTCTGGGGGTGACATCCAGGCTGTAACCTGCGGAGGGCTTGCAGCCAACCAGGCCAAGACGGTAAGGAGATGGTTCTGCTACCCCTAACACTTCTCTAGGCTCAAGAAATACTTTACAAAACCCAAATTACATGCAAAGAGTGTCATTTTTGTACACACAGTCGTATTTCCTGTTGCCTGCCTTTCTCCACATCAGAATGGACTATGGACGACATGCTCTTAGGAATTAGAATGGTGTCACGAGTGGGTTAAATGGTGTCCCTTCCCCTCCAAAGATATGTCCACTGGAAACCTGTGAATGTGATCTTTGGAAAAAAGGTTGTTGCTGATATAAGTATCTTGAAATGAGATCTTTTTGGATTAGGGTGGGCCCTAAATCACAATGACAAGTGTCCTTAGAAGAGAGAGAAAGAGAGAAGACACACAAATACAGTGATGTAGAGACAGAAGCAGGGATTAGAAAGATGTTTCTGTAGGTCAAGAGTATCAAAGGCTGCTGGTACCACCAGAAGAACGTCAGGGAACAGATTCTCCCAGAATCTCTACAAGAAATCAATGCTGTTAACACCTTAGTTTTGGACTTCTGGCCTCTAGAACTGTGAGAGAATCCTTTTTTTTAAAGTTACCTGGTTTGAGGCCTTTTAAACTCTAGAAGCCTTGGGGGTTTGTGGTTGGAGACCTCAATAATCAGGCATTGTTGGTGAAGACTGGGCTGCCACAGAAGGCGGTCCACATGACTCACCATGTACATTTTGTCGGTGATGAAGGACTTGTCTCGAAGGCCTTCGAAGAAGGGAAAAGGCTTGAATATGGCGTAGGAGATCTCCAACTTCTGATGTATGAAGTGCTCACGAAGAGCATTTTTTAATTCTCGGGTCATGGTGAACATCCTACGGAAGGGGCCCGAGAGAAAAAGAGGAGCAAAGACGTCATGTATTTAGTGGGCAGTCTGGTCCCAAAGGCCTCCCTGAGCAGTCTGCAAAGCAACATCTGCCCCAAAGGCTCATGGGTATTGGAAGCAATGACAACACCCAGCAACAATGGGGGCTAAAAGTAACAGATGTGATCCTAAACCCAAAGGGGCTGCTGGTTAAACATCAGGCAGGTATTAAAAATAGCTAATATTTATTGAGTGTTCCTGTTGTGCCAGATTTTGTTTTAAGAGTTTCACATGCAGTGACTTATTGATCTTCACAAAACCCTGGTAAGATGGCTACTATGCTTTTCATCCCTTTTTATCATTGAGGACACTGAATCATGGAGAGGTTTAATAACTTGCCCTAAGTTGTGCAGCCTGGACATGGAACAGGTGAATAAATCCCGACTTTCTGGTTTCTGGCTCACAGTTGTAAGTTCTGAGGTCTGTGGCAACACTGAGCTGAGTTAAGGTTTCCTGGACTGCATGCAACTTCAGGTACACACAGACAATGCCACTGTAAAAAGGACTGCTCCCAAACAAGCAGAAAGATGGCAACTTGACACTGCTTAGCCAATTTAATAACCACCCACAGGCCCTGGCTTGGTAGCTCAGTTAGTTAGAGCTCTGTCCTGATACACCAAGGTTGCAGGTTCAATCCCCAGTCAGGCCACATACCAAGGAATGCATAAACAAGTGAAACAACAAATTAGTATTTCTCTCTCTCTAAAAATATCAATCCATAAATAAACCACCCACAATCTTCAAAATAAATAGGCTAAACATATATAAAAACACAAAGAATATAAAAGACATAATTAACTGATTAATGTGTGGATTTCATATCTCAGAACAGACACATGCCTTTACCTATGCGTATGCCACTTTATAAAATTCACTATTTATAGGTCATGAGAAAATATTAAGTTTAGTAGGCAGAAAATTTACAGATGACATTCTTGACAAATTGTCCAGAAAAGGGAGGCATTAACAAAATATTCATTCACTTAGAGATATTTAAAAAAACCAAACACAGATCCCATTTTTCTAACTTTATTTTGTGTGAAAGAGAAAATGGAGCTGTAATTGATGACTATTTCCAGGGGCTTAATCCCAGTGACAGATTGAGTACCCCATTTCTCTCTTTCCTCAGTCTCAAATCCTTTAAGTTTGACAGGCAAAAAAAAAAAAACCACCATGTATTATAAAAAAGAAAAATCCAGAACAGGACTGGAAAACAAGAAAAAAAGGCCATCAGGGGTCTATAATTCTGAATAAATACTGAAAAATGGAGAACAGGTGGGAGAGAAATCTACCATCCATGACATGCACAAGGGAAAGTTATTGCAAAGAGCACAGAGCCAGATAAAGGCAGAAGGAATATGTGCTAAGAAGAGAAAGAGGCCCTGGGGTTACATTTAGGATGAAAAATTATACAACAACATTCGGAACAGAACACCTGTCTGATTCCTTATTTTTTTTACACAAATTTAAAAAAATTTTTCTGTTATACTTGACATTCAGTATTATATTAGTTTGTGGTTCCAGCATAGTGGTTAGACATTTACATAACTTACAAAGTGGTCTCCCTGATGGATACATGTTCCTCACTCCTTGTCTGTCATGATTCCCAGGCATGAAGCACAGGGAGGTTAAGTAACCTGCCCAAGGTATTCGGTGACAAAGGAGAGCCCATCTGATCAAAGCCCAGTTTCCCACTAACACCTGATACCACGTCTCATATACCAGTGTTCATATTTTTATGACATAAAGGAGTCTTAAAAATGATTAGGTAAAAGTCACACATTCATGTAGGAAAAAAGCAAAAGACATAAGCAAGCAATTAGGACAAATGTGCAATAAATAAAATAAAAAAACATGGCAACTCACTAGTAGTCAAAACTGCAAATGACAACCACTTAATAACATGTCTGCCTATCAAATCAACCACGAGAGAAAAAAATAGCAATAGTCACAGACTCTCCTGGTGGACACGCAAATATTCTAAACATTCTAAACTTTCTGGAGGCTAACTCGGTGGTCACGGTTAAATGTCCTCAAATATGTCTTCCCTTAAGTCCCAAGTTCCACTTCCAGGAATTTATTTCAGGGAAATAATTATGGAAATGCTTAAAGGAAAAAAAAACATAAACACTTTACAATAAACTCCCGAGGGGATTAAGTGTCCTCCCCTTATTTTCTCTTTTCCACCAGCTTCCCAACTATCGCTGGTCCCTTGCACAGCGGATAATGAATGAGCTGCTTGTTTGGGGAGGGCAAGATCACAGAGCGTCAATGAGGAAGGTTGGAGAGCAAATCCTGTCCCGTACACACCGACAGGCGAGAATCCAGGGAAAAAAGAGCTGAGCTGTGTGTGCGCTTCCTGCCCAGTTCTCTCCCAGTTTCGCAGACTCCTATTAAATCCCGCACGCCCTCTATCTCTTTGGAAAACACAATGTTACAAAGGAGTGGGCCTCACTGTTTAAACAGTTGGGTTCCACCCTGCCGCTGCTGCCAGGAAATGATTAACAAAAGTCCAATCGCCCAAAATGAACAAAACAGCCAAGTCGAAAACCTACCTGGATGCTGAGTTTCCCACCTGCTCCTTCCCCTTCCTGGGTGCGGAGGCCAGCCCGGGGCGCTCCTGAAGGCCTGGGAAAAAGGCAGGCAGGTGGGGAGAAACCGTGGGTGAGGCAGGAAGTCTGTGTTCGGCACACGCAGCAGCAAAGGCCTGGCTTCAGAGGAAAGAAAAGTGAAACTATTTTGAGCAGATAGTGCAGGAAGCCGAAGGCTGTGCCGGCAGCCTTGCTCCACCCCCCGCCCCTGCGCGGAAACTTGGGAGATTACCTAGTGGACAGTGATGGACCGGCCCAGGAGGGGTCACAGAGGGGAAGAGGTGTAAGGGTCCAGTCCCAGGGTCCAGGGGAACTGAGAAGCCGCCAGGGGTCTGCTTCCTCGCCTACCTCTGTTTCCCATGATGTCGTTCTGCCCTTTTTGGGGTGAGGAGCATGTTCTACCCCTGCATTGTGGTGCTGGTGCTGGCTACGCAACTGAGTACATTTACTAGAAACTGCCAGAGTTTAAAAAACTAACACACAACTCAAGGGGAAGCGAGGTGGCTCAGAAATGCCTATCATTTGTCAGGATAAAATCATTACCTAAGAAAATTGAAATAAAGGGAACCTGAACATAAACTGAAGTTACGCAGAGGTAGGCAGCCCTCTGGGCTGGAAGGTGGCAGGGAGCTAGGCCGGCAGGTGGGCAGGGGGCGAGTGCGGAGCCAGAGTGAAGGCAGAGACCATTCCACCACCCCTGGAGAAAGTTGCCCTTTGCAGGTGTCTCCCCTGCAGCCCCAGCATCAGGCAGCCCTGCTCCGCTTTCTGTCACTATGGAGTCTGTCTGTGTTCAAGTTTTATGTCAGTGGAAACATACAGAGTGTGCTTTTTCATCTATGGCTTCCTTTGCTTAGTACAATACTTTTGAGATTTATTTCAGTTGCTGCAAGTCAGTAATGTATCACTCTTTGGCAGGTGTGCTGGCCACCTCCTGCCCATTCGGTCTGAGCACCACGGCGTTGTCAATGGAATCAATCAGACTGGTGGTCTGTGGGATGGCCGAGTGATCCAGGTGTCTTTGAACTATATTATGAGAAGGGGCAGGTGAGTTAACGTCACTCCTAAGCAAAACTGTAAATGAGTACGCTGATCTGTTGTGTGAGAATGAAAACTGTTTCTGATTCTCCTTTCTAATCAGACTGGAGAGAATACCTTTGACAAGTCAATGGCCACATACCATGACCTGAGATGGTATGACCTGGGCTGGGGATCTTACTGCCCCAACAGCCTATTTTCTTATCTCGGTTCTCCAGCTTTCTCATAAATTCTGTGAGCTAGTGAATACACTGCCAAGAAATTGATGTTCTGCTGAGTTAGCCAGAGTCCATTAAGTTACTTGTACCTCAAAACCTCAACTGATTAAAAAATTGGTACCAGAGAGGAATTCTAGGTAACAGATCTTCACAGAAATGCAGCCAATCTGGGACTGGTTGTCTGACCTAATTGGACATAATAGTCACGAGCATCCCATGAACATTCTAAGATGGGGATTTGCTAGACTTTAGTAAGCAAGGGCAAGCTAGCAAAATAACTTGTAACACCAGATTGTGATCAGGACTCTGCAATTCATTCCCTGATTCCAAGTGTCAGATATTGGCACATAAACACAATGGAGAGAAATCCTTCAGGTAGAAAGATAACATCAGCTTGCCTTCAGGATTATCACCCAGTTGGCCTAAATCTGGGAGGGGGACAGAGGAAGGAGGCAGGCCAGTGTTTTTTACCCTATGGGTCCTATGCAAGGAAAAGATGACTCTCTAGTGAATGTAGAGAAAAACAAGAGAGTGGAAAACAGAACCTAAAATTCCAGCTCCTTGTCATCTGGGCTAATGCATGTTACTGCAAAGTAGGCTTACTGATAAACTTGACAGGAACACCCCTTCCAGCCCAGTCTCACCACTAGTCAACTGAGGAGCACCAAAGACTTTGTGCTTGCCCAGCTCAGTGGTGGCCTGCTGCCTAGGGCAGAGAGAGAGAGGAAAAAGGACACCAGACTGGCTGATGTAGTCTGGACCACCATGGCCCATAGAGGCTGAGAACCAAGGATGGTGGTGCCTAACAGAGGCTCAGCTTACCAGCTCCTCTGCCCTACAAGGTCAGAAGATAGGGAGAGAAGGAGGGAGAGATGGGGGGACATGTGGGAGGGAGGGAAGGAGGGAGAGAGAGAGAGAGAGAGAGAGAGAGAGAGAGAGGAAGACATGTTTGTGCAGCAGCTGGGCACATAGACCTTGCCTGCTGTCCTAGAATCTTTTGGTGGAAAAGAAAGAGCAAAAGTTGGCAGAGGGGTAGGAATCCCTGCCTTCTATATTTTGCAAACATATATAGGCAAAATCTTGAACACATTATAGTGAGCCAGAAGAAGTGGGATTGCTTTGCTTCTCGGTCTCTGCTGTGACCGAGGCCCTGGATTCTACAGATAACCTGGTTCCTCTTCACTTCTGTCCGTGACCCATTGTCCTGCCTGCATTTTTATCCTGTGGTTTCTTGGTATTTATTTTATTTGCACATTGTTCCCATTTCTTTATTTTTTAACTTTATGTTGATACATAAAGTTAAAAAATTCTCTGGAGAGAATACCTTTGCCAAAAATTCTCTGGAGAGAATACCTTTGCCAAATTCTCTAAAGAGATAAGAAAATAGGCTGTTGGGGCAGTAAGATTCCCCAGCCCAGGTCATCCCACAGCCTCAGGTTCATGGTATGTGGCCATTGATTTGGCAAAGGTATTCTCTCCAGAGAATTTTTTAACTTTATGTATCAACATAAAGTTATACATTGCTTCAAATCCTTTACAGAATGAGGGCTGGGTATAAGTGAAAACATTATGTACAAACATAAATGCGACACACTGGTTAATTAACTAGCATCACCTTGACGTTTAAGGCCAAGGTAATCTCAGTTCTAAACCTTCTCCCATCCGATGAGAAGGCTGTAGCTCTCCTCAAGATTTCAGTGACTAGCTGAAGCTCAGTTTTTTCCTAGTAACTCTGGCTGCATTTGGAAAGTGCTCACATATTCAAGAAGTCTTAGAATTTCACACCAAGCTTCTGTGCCCAAACCTGGCGCTCCCCTCTGCTTGCAGGAGTTGGGAGAGTTCTCTCTTGACTCTGGCTGCCTTCCAGAGCTTTGAAGAGCATCCTCCCCGCTTCATAATGCTGAACGTTTGGACTGTCCTCAGGCCCAGCTCTGCGCACTGGGCCAACCCTGTCCAGTCTGAAGCTTGCCACGGTGCCTGGCCAGCACCCTGGGCCTGAGAGAGGATCTGAAATATTTCATGTCCCTTCTCACCCCACCTCAGCAAGGGGAAGGACAAAAGTGAAATTCACTTAATGCCCAATACAACGGTACTGCCTCATCTTAAAACAACTTTCATTCCTTTGAGTTAATTAGACTTGCCCGCCAAATTTCCTTTGTCTGAACAAATGGCCCCATCTCCCGCCTCCATCTGGCCTTGCTCCTCCTCCTGGGGCTGAGAACAGCCCTGAGGATTGGAGGAGGGACAGACACGTCACAGTGATCAGCCATTTCACTTTTCATTCACCCTGTGGGTGCCGCGCCTGACGGATCCTTCAATGGGTAGCCATCCTCGTCCTCATTAGAGCTCTGGGAAGGAAGAAGGCAGAGAGACAGTGTTGGTCCGCCTGACCAAGCGAGGTTCTAGTCCAGTTCCATGGCCACAGGGGGCCAGCAGTAGAAGATGGCAGGTGGAGGCAATGATCTCAACCACAGGTCAGTCCTGGCTTTCTCTACTGTCCTTCATCTCTGGTAAGGTCGGCATCTACCTTGTTCTTTCTGTCTACCCAGCCTCACTCCCCAGGTGTGCAAGAGACTGAGATTGCAAATAAGTAAATAAGGAGCGTGTCAGGCTTTTAAAATTAAAATGGGGGAATTAAGGCCACAGGAGCCACGTCACTCTGTCTCTATACAATAGCCGTGCAGCTGAGCCTCTCAGAGCTCAGTGATTCCTCACAATCTTGAACCCTCCCATTCCCCCACATGCCTCCTCTGTCCCCACCCAAAGACAACTCTCCCTAGAAAAGGTCTTTTCAGAAAAACTAACATCCAAATCAAATGCCTGACTTTTGTCAAGCTTTTTCTAGTTTCCCGGTAGGCTGGGAACCAGTTTTATTCAAAGTCTGAGAGTCAATTCAGTGCTTCTGACACTGGATAGGAGGAAGTGAAAATAGGTGGGGCCCAACAAAGGTTGTGTGACAGTGTGCGGAGTGAGCATTGCTTTCCTTTCTCTGGGATGTGATACCCATCTGGTTAGAGAAAGATGTAAATTGTCTTTGAAAATGCAAGATAAAAGAAATAAAATATAATGGAAAAAATGCAAGATAAATGCACCCATATATTCATGTTGGTAAAAATTAAAACAGTGTGCAATCCTGGACTCTGAGCTGGGGCTAATCCTGGCACTAGCTGGGTACCAAGAAGGCCATTGTGAGGGTGGGGGTAATGCTGCCCTCATAGAATGAGTTACAAGGTGATGCCCCTGCTTCCGTTTTCTGGAAGAGACCTTAGCTGGAATGCTTTAGTAGAATTAACTAGTGATACCGTCTGGGCCTGGTGCTTTCTTTTAGGGAGGGGCTAATAATTATTGATTCAATTCCTTTAACAGATATAGGCCTATTCAGAGGATCTATTTTTCCTTGTTGAGTTTTGGTAGTTTGTGTGATTTAAGAAATGTGTCCATTTAATTTTTTAAAAATCAGATTCGTAGGCATAGTGTTGTCCGTAGTATTGTTTCTTTATTATTCTTTCAATGTCCATGGGATGAATAGTGATTTTTTTTGTCTCTGATGTTTGTAATTTGTCTTGTCCCTTTTTTCTTTGTTAGCCTGGTGAAAAGTTTGTCAACTTTATTGATTTTTTTCAAAAAATCACCTTTGGCTTCATTGATTTTTTTTCTAATGTTTTCCTATTTTAAATTTCACCAAGTTCTGCTCTAACTCATATGATTTCTTTTCTACTGCTTGCCCTAAGCTGGTTTCTCTTTTTTCTCTAGTTCTCTTAGGCGGTAATTTCTTGATTTAGATCTTGCTTCTTTTCTAATAGATGCATTTTAATGCTATACATTTTCCTCTTAAGCACATCTTTTGCTGCATCCCATAAGTTTGATAAGCTGTGTTTTCATTTTTTAGTTAAGTGTATTTCTAAGTTTCTCTTGAGAATTCTTTCTTTGATCTTAGAAGTGTGTTGTTTAATTTTCCAAGTGTGTCTCACTAAGAGTGAGATTTTACAGCTATTTTCTGTTATTTCTACTTTATTATCATATGAGAGCATATTTTTTATTGGGTTGGCCAAAACTCCGTTCTGTTTTTCCCATAAAATAAAAGACACATTTTTTATTTTCACCGATAACTTTAGACATTTGGATATTTTGAGTGTGTTGTCTATCTCCTGCAATTGGCTTCTAGTGGGTAGAGGCCAGGTGTGATGTGAAACATCTTGCAATGCATAAGACAGCCCCACAGTGAAGAATTATTTGGTGAAAATGTCAATAGTACCAAGAAACTTTACAAACCACTTTTGACGTGTTCAACCAGCTCCTCCTCCTCCTCCACTGTACAAATCTTTTTGTGTTTCAATTGCAGATATTACTTCCTTGAAGTAATAAAACATAATACTCTGAAAATAATGCATGTTTTCTTCCATCTCCAATATTAAAATGGCTGCACAAAAATTCACCAATTTTGATTTTTTTCAAATTCACACTGATATGACAGCTGTCACAATATAATCTAACAAAATTGTTTTGAATGAAGTTAAAGACAACTAAGCACTACTAGAACCATCATACAGAAAAAAACGTAATGGACTTTTGGGCCAAGCCAGGATGATTTCTCTCCTTTTAAATTTGTTAGGATCTGTTTAATAGTGTAGAATATGGCCTATTTTGGCAATATACCACGTAAGCTCAAGGGGTATGTGTACTTTGTTCATGTTGAAAGGAGAATACTATAAATGTCAATTAGATCAAATTTTGATTGATGGTGCTGTTCAGGTCAACTATGTTCTTACTGACCTTCTGATTGCTTGATCTATCAACTACTAAAAGAGTGGTAATGAAGTTGTTAAACAATATCAAAAAATCTGGAGGGTTTGGCTATAAATAAATATAAAAATTTATTCAGGGATCTTAGAGTTTGCAAACTGAAAATATAGGGAAAAATCCAGAGGTGTTCCAGAGAAGAAAAGTTTAAAGTTCTTACAGTAAAAAGTATGTTCTTGAGAATTATCAGTCCTGCATTCTTAGTTCTTGGGTTGGTTCAAGTCTGGACTCTGAGCTGTTATCAGTCAGTTGCTAGGATGGATGATGGATGTCAGGATGTCCAGAAGATGGGCACCAGGAATCTGGTACCCCTAGTCGCCTACATAATGAACGTCAGGTGTGTGTGTGTGTGTGTGTGTGTGTGTGTGTGTGTGTGAGCCCTTGTGAGGATAACCAGAGGTTTATATGGAGGTCTAGATGTATACCTTGGCTTTGACAGGGACTGGAAAATTCAAAAACATTTACGTTCCCAGACTTCTTAAAACAAGAATGGAGTCTTTTCTCATGTCTCAACTTTCATGTCAGTACTTTTAGTAGCTTTGTTAAAATGGCTCGTTTTTATATATACCTTGTCTTTACTCCTTCTGCAAATTCTTCAACAACAGTAGTCAGTTTATCTAGTTTTCCTTTTAGTTTATCAATTTTATTTTCATGTACTTTGATGAAGAAGTAATCTGTAGTGTGGGTCAGTAGGCTGGAGACCAAATAGCTGATATTGTATTCAGTCTGAAAACAGTTTGGCGGAAGATTTCTTCTTATTCCAGGAGGCTGGTCTTTTGGTTTTATTCATGCTTTCATCTGATTGGATGAAGCCCACCCTCATTATGGAGGGCAAACTGCTTATTCAAAGTTTACCAAGTTAAATGTTAGTCTTGTCTCTAAACACCCTCTTGTCCCTAAACATATCATATTGAATATGATATGAACATTGATATGAATAATATCATGATTCATATGATATTGTGATATGAACCATCACAATATCATATCAATTCCTATAAAGACTGTAACATTTAAAAATTCAATGTATTTCCTAGAGGGTTCAGGCCAAAGTCTTTTTACAATAGTTTTGAGTAGTGCAGGGTGAACTCTTTCACTTCATTGTACAAGTCTTAAGCTCAGTGTTTTTCTTCTCTCACACCCTTGATTATTCTCTAAGTAAATGAATTCCATTTCTTGTGGTCTCTCCACAAGAACAGTATTTTATGTGTGTCAGTCCTCCGCGGACTATCTTTCATGCCTAATGTCTTCCAGTTCCCACAAGCCTCTTAGAAACCCAGTGTCTACATTCACATCATGTCTTTATTTTTCAGGATGTTCCCTGGGGACCCAAACCCAGGGGAGCAGAATGTGGAGGAGCAGTTTCTCTATGAGTTCATTTTCAAGTTCTTCAAAGAAAATAAGGTGGAGATTGCAAGTGCAATAACAAAGCCATTTCCCCTTTTCATGGGTCTACGGGACCGAGGCTTTCTCCCTGAACAAATGTTTGAAGTAAGTGAGGAGACGCCCCTCTTGGTAAAGAGGCCCTTCTTGTACTCCTGCAAATTTCAGGGTGCAGAGTGTGGACCTCCACTGCCTTGTACCTGAGAAGGTGACAGGAGAAGCAGAGCCACAGAAAACATTCCTCTTTCTGCAGTAAATGTTGGTGGAGGGACATGGGGATGAGGATGTGGCAGGACTGGAAGTGGGAACGCTCCGTAGGTAGAGACCATGTTAGGTGTAGCCATACAATGCGACACAGATAACTATAATTAATGCAAACAAGTGAGTTTGGTAACAGTTCACTACGAAGCCCTCTTATTTTACACACTTGAATCTGAGATTATTGAAACTCACAGGGAAGTTGTGTCGCATTAGGATAAATTTGAAAACATGCTTACTGCCTTCTCTCCAAATCATTTCTTGTTCTTTAGACAACTCTGGAGCCCGATAGTGTAGCTGAAGCTTAGCAGTGGGTCTTCCTAAGGATATTGAGGACAAGTTTTCTCTTTATTTATGAACTTTCTTTTTTTTTATATATATATATATATTTTTATTTAGTTATTTTTCAAGTACAGTTTTTTGTCTATTTTTCCCATCCCAGCCTCCCCTGCCCCTTGCTCCCCACCTCCCTCCCATTTCCACCCCCCTTTAGTTCTCGTCCCTGTGTCCTTCCTATTTGTTCCTCCAAATCCCTCCCCCTTTTTCCCCTTAACTTCCCTTCCTTCTCCCCTCTGGTCACTATCCCCTTGTTCTCTATTTCAGTGTCTTTGTTTTTTTTTCTGCTTGCTTGTTTGTTTTGTTGTTTCATTGCCCTTTGGCCATGTACACAGCAGGGGAGAGTGGTTGTCTGGTTTCCTGGGACTTCAGGGCAGATCAGTCCTGGGTAGAGGGCAGCAGGGTATTGTCTAGTCACTGAAGTGGCCACCTTTTACCAATCAAACGACTCCCGAAGCCTCTTGGTCAGACCTTTAGAGCCCCACATGATATGCAACTTTGAACCCACTTTTATTCTTCAAAGTAGCTCTCTGAAGTGTACATCAATGTCAAAGAGTAAGGTTCACAAAATAAGTCTATTTTTCTGGTGGAGAAGATTTAAGTGGTCATCTAAATATATGTAACACTGTAACATTTTAAAGAGAACAAATAGTTTATTTACAATCTGAATATTCTATGACTCATACATGCATGCCTACAAAGTTGTCCTTTCAATCTTTTTAAGCATTTTCAAGAAGCTTGTAGAAATCTGGTCCCCGTGGAGGCCGTGGCGTATAACGTTCTCAGTGAACTGGAGAAGAGATTTGACAAGACAGTTCTGGAGGTATTGTTCAGCAAGGTTAACCTGGAGGCCTATCCTGCTTTACTTGAGGTTTTCAGCAGCTTCCAAAATGGTAATTATAGCATTCCATGACATTTGGGGATTCAAGTTAATTTCATTCACTGATTCATTCATTCATTCTTCATTAATATTTGATGGTTATTTTGGGTGACTGCTACATGGTACGCATGAGATAAGACGGTGTGCATGACCTGAGGTTAACAAAGCCCACAAGTGATTCTTCAAGCAGGACCTGAATTTGGTGCTAAGAACCATAATATTTCAGTTTCCACTTTTTGGGGGGTGGGGAGGAAGATTTGAATTATGCTCTTTTGTGGCAAAGAAGAAAGCCCTCTCTCATATTTGCAGAAATGTTCAAAAATGAAAAGATTTCCCTTGTATTAGAAAAGTTATCATTAAGTGAAGTTCTGTGCCAGCTTACTTCTCCAAACGCACAATGAAGAGTCAGAAGAGACTGTAAGCACATACCCAACATGAGGGAGGAGCAGCCAGCAAAGCTGCAGAAGGCCAAACGAGGGGAAGGGGATGTAAGCATTCTGTGGCTAAAAAAGACAGTATGGATGAGAGTGCTAAGAAGCTAATTCTGAACCCTCTTTGCCAAGGAATTTAAAGTTTATAACTTGGGAGATAAAGCATCATTAAAGATTTTTAAACAGAGAACAAGTAAAAGGAGTCAGTGTAAAGAATGGGATGTGTTGGTTTGTGAAAGCGGTATCTTGATTGTATCTTGATCTATTTCTCTATAAACATGATCTTTCTGCTGAAGAAATCAAACCTCTGTGCTTCTTCCCTATTCCTGTTGTGTGTAGAGTTTACAAAACACATTCCACATATATTATTTATTTTAAATGGGCTTTCACTGTTCCCTGATCATTTTGAAGGGATTTAACCATGATTTGCAAGTTGTCCACTTGTCCATCATTTTTAAACCTCGAGATGTTCATCTCTGTGTGGAACAGTTATAGGGTTCCAGGAGCAACATCAAGTCACAGGTCATGCAAGACCCCCCCAAACCTAGGATTTCCTGAGTGCTGGAAGTTTTCCCTCTGAATTGTTAGAGTCCAGAATATACCTGGATATGTAATTGTAAGATGCAGCTCCTGGTCACTGCCTGAAACCTCTAATTGTCTTTTCCTTCCTCTTCTCAGTGATTCTCGAGTACTTCAATTACCAAGCTATTGATGAGGAAGACACAAAGGAGATGCTCAACTCCCAACACATCTGTGGACAAGGTAATTAGGACTTGATAGAAACTTGTTTTCTCATCTACTAAGGCAAAAAGTGATCACAGATCAGGGGACCAAGCCTCCTGAGTGGAGAGTGTACTCTGGGGAAGAGATGCAGGAGGAGATGGGAAACCAGAGCAGTGGTGAGTTGCATGGGTTCCTGATCAACCAACCAGATATGGAACCCAAGAATATCTTCAGGCAGATGTAACACCTGCGAAGTGGGGACATACGCCCAAGAGAGAAGATCTTGCTGAGATCATAAGGCAGAAAGAACTAAGGAGAGAACTGACCGTAGTATGTATGAGTTAGGAATTCACTGAATCTGTGAAGGAGTAAGAGTTCGGCCCTTTGTAACAAGTCCAAAAAGAAAGACTTTGGTATATCTAAAGAAAGAAATGTTGTAAATATTACTCATAATATAAGAAAAGAGAGGAAGCAAGTAAGTAGTAGTTGTGTGTAGAAGAGAATATAGAAGGTGCTGTGCAGAAAAGAAGAGAGGGGAAAAAGGAGTAAAAGGGAATAGAATAGTAAAAGGGAAAAGGGAAGAGAATAAAGGGCAGTAATAACTTTAACAGTGACGATAGTAACAACACCTACTTTTATGCCCCACTAGGCATAAGATCAGCACTTCACATAGATCAACCCTAATGCTCACATATGAGCTATGTAAGGTTGTGACCAATAACCACCAATTCTAACTTTTCAATCATCCTTTCATTTATTAGTTACAATTAATCATTAAATTATAGCACATATTAGACATTAATACTGAATATTGTGAACTCTTGTAAAATTACTGTACCCCTTCATATTAGTCATATCCCTTTATGAGTAACATCTCACTTGATCTTCTTAAAGGTGCTGCCACTGGGGATTTGTTTTTCCTGTTTTTCAGGAGAAGAAACTGAGGTGTGAGCGAGGATAGTTAGTGATGCATGCAGGTCTCACCACTGGGCACTGGCCTATCTAGGACTCACACCTTCTCCTCCACACCAGCTGAGAGCTAAGACTCTGAGGCTTCACAGCTGGGCTTCAAGTCTTGGCTCTACCATTTACTTACTTGGGTGTTCTGTGTTCAAATATTTCTGTGTTCAAGTATTCTCATCCATGAACCTGTATCTCTATCTACATCTAAAATAATGTTGGTTTAAGAATTAAATGCCTTAATTTATGCAGAGAACTAAATTTGCAGCATAAAGTGGCCCAGTAATGTATATCTGACTGCAACAATTGAACATTTAGTTTTCCCTCAAACACTCACTGAACAAAAAGTTAGTTTTCAGATTAGAGTAGCAGTGAATGAAACAGCCTCCAAACCCAAGAAAAGGCCATCATCGTAGGCCAAATTGTCTAAAACAAATGTATTTATTTGTTAAATGTTGACTTTTTTCTTCAAAATAGCCAATGTAAGAAAAAACATAAGAATATAACCAGCCTTGTAGAATGCCATGAATATATATCCTTTAACTTGGATATATATCTCAGGTATTATGCACTTTTACATTTTTAACTGTAGTCATACATTTTTAAAAAAGATTTTATTTATTTATCTTTAGAGGGGAAGGAAAGGAGAGAGGGAGAGAAACATCAATGTAAGGTTGCCTTTTGCATGTCCCCTGCTGGGAACTGACCTGCAGGGAACCGGCCTGCAACTCAGGCATGTGCCCTGACTGGGAATCGAACGGCGATTGTCTGGTTCACAGGCCCGCGCTCAATCCACTGAGCTACACCAGCTAGGGCTGTAGTCATACATTTTTATAAAGTTTGTTTCTCTTTTAATAATCTACTTATTCTTTTGAACAAAGACAAATTGATAAAAGTATAAAGTATACATTAAAAGCATATATAAAAATATGCTTAGAGATTCATTTACTATGAGGGTAGGGGAAATGAGAATAGGATAGTGGAGGGTTAGTAGTAGACATTAGTAAACAGTGAAAGAGGTGTATCGTAAGAAAGGAGAAAAATTCTTCAATATTCCTAATGTGATTCAGGTGCCACCCTACTTGGAGCTGGAATTCAACAGTATCTTACTAATGGACAGCAGATGAGTACAAAGAAAGAAGAACCATCTTTTGACCCAAATATTTCAATACAAACCCAGAAAATGACAAATGAATCTGCCCAAGAATCTCAACAAGCAGGTACAGTTGACTTAGTCTAAAAATTGCCTGATGACTCAGAGTGACTCTAGCACTTACGGGAAGGGGTTAAGGGCTGTGTCACATGGTCATAATTCATAAATGAAGTCCCAAGAAGCCTAAAATAGGGCAGAAGAGTAGACCAGGGCCTGAGGTAAGAAGACATATATTTACCAAGAAAGGGTCCCTAGTTTTTATGGCAAAAGAGAAAGGGGGAAAACCCACAAAGAGACAGAGAGGATAGGATGCTCAAATAACAGAGAACTGGAAGGGAAAGACTAGAGACAAGGGGGAAGGAGTTGGAAGCCTCCCTGGGGAAGGTAGAGGCAAAAACACAAAGTGGAGTGGCCAAGGACAGAGAAGCCCTCAGAATGAAGGGGCCACAAATAGTTCCTCAGGCAGAGGCAGCTGTGGGGGCCGGACGAGCATTGGAACTGTGAGTAATGGAAAGAAGTAAAATGAGCTGTAAAAAGGCTGAAAAGAGGTAGAGCAAACGTGTAAAAATTAAGCTTCGCTCCTCTTCCTTCTTCACTTCCTCTGCATAAATTAAATGACTTAATTTAATTAAGCTTCCTACCTAATGAAGTGTGTGTTTCACTTCCTCTTTCACATCATTCATAGAAGATAATTGGTGTTGGGTCACAAAACTAAAAGTCAAGGCTGAAACTATGAAGCTTCTAGAAGAAAGCACAGAAGACTATCTTTGCAACTTAGGCAGGCAAAAATTTGTTACACAGGACACAGAAAAACATGAGTCATAAAATAAAGACTTGATAAATCGGACGTCATCAAAACTAAGAACTTCTGTTATCCAAAGATATCATTGAGAAAAAGACAAGCAAGTTGAGAGACTGGGAGCAAATATGTATAATACATAGATCTGATAAAAGGCTTTACCCAGAATATGTAAAGAACTCCTATGAGCAAATACTAAAAAATCACACCACAAATTAAAAAAATAGACAAAAGACTTGAATGGACACTTCTTGCAGAAGATAGAAATCATCAAGCACATAAAGTATACAATGCCATTAATCATCAGGGAAATGCAAATTTAAAACCACAATGGACTACCATTCACTCACTAGAACTGTAAAATAAAACAGACTGAAAACACCATATGTTGGTGAGAATATGCAGCAATTAAAACTTTTTTCATATATTTTGTTGGTAGGAATGTAAAGTGATATAACCACTTTAGAAAACTGTTGATGAGAGTCATAAACTTAATCTAATTTATAGCTCAGCCAACCCACTCCTAAGTGTGAGAAATGAAATTGTCTGTGCACACAAAGATTTGTACAAAAATGGTTAGAGTAGCTTTTTTCTTAATAGCTAAAATCTGGAACCAATGTTTATCAACAGGAGAGTAAATGAATCAACTATAATATACTTAGAATAGCAATCACCAATAAAAGGGAATGAACTACTGGTATATGTAGTAACACGGACAAATTCCCCAAACATTACATTGAACAAAAGAAGCCAGTTGCAAGAGTACATGCTGAGCAATCCTGTATGTATGAGCCCCAGGACAGACAAGTACTGAATCAGAAAGGAAGAGCTTAATTATGGTGATAGAAATTTAAACAGTGGTTGCTTACAGTAGGAACTGACTGGAACACAAAGGACAAGGGAACTTTTTGGCATGGTGGAAATGTTTCAAATCTTTTTTAAAATACAGTTACATTTCTTATAGGAAAAAGATACATTAAAATTAATTGAAGATGCACAGGGCATATACTCTGGGAAGCCTCTGAAGGGTTCTAGCCTCAAAGCTTTCCTTATTGCATGATGCATTACCTTCCTGACACTGATGTGTAGCAATGCGTGAAGAGTATTGTCAACAATATTCCATGCATATTATCACTTCAGGAAGCTCACCCAAGCTTTGGTTGTCAGAGTTTTTATTGGTATGACTGATCGAATTGTGGTTGAATTGAATCTCTAGTCTGTACCTCCCATCATCTGGTTAGTCTTTCCAGTGTGGGCAGCCCACACAGAAAACTTATCTAGTGTGGCTGGCTCCAACCTGCATCATCTCATTAACATAAACTATTAGCTGTGGCCCAGGGAGCTCACTATGAAAAACAAAGGCACTCCTATTACTTGGGAATGGTCAAATGTTTAGAAGTTACCTCCAAGAACCAGGACAATACCAGACCACTCTTTTGACAAAGCCAAGTTCTTTACTATTACATAGGGTCCTTTCTCCTTTTTTCTTTTTTTTCATTTATTTCCTTTTTAAAAATTGAATTTATTGGGGCGACACTGGTTAATAAAAATTATGTAGGTTCAGATGCCCAATTCTATAACACATCATCTGATTATTATATTGTGTGTTCACCACCCCAAGCCAGCTCTCCTTCCATCACCATTTACCCCTCCTCCATTTACCTTCTTCTACCCTCCTTACCCTTTGAAATGTTCCAAATATCGACTGTGATGTTGGTTACACAACTGTTTTCAATGACGTGAGATGCATCTCAGTGAAAAAGGGGAACAAGTGTCTGGCCTCTGGTGGAGTCTTTGAGTAAACAGAGGTCTCTTCTCTGGTCACCAATTTCTGTCATTTTCTTGTCACCTTCTTCAGTGTATTGTGAATACTTACCTGTCCACATGAATAATGTAAGAGGAACAGAAGATAGACCCAGCTTATTGCCACACGATGGACAGGGTAACTATCATTTAACTTATCAAGTCTGTGTTAAATCTTTGTTTTCTTGACCTGTGGAAGCAAAAGGGACATTGTATCTTCTGTCCTAGGCCTGTGCTAACTCTGCTTCCCATACATGCCCTTACCTGCCCACAGCTGTGAGAGAGGCCATGAGAAAAGGAATCTGAGCTTGTGAGTAGACAGAGCATCTACTGATGAAAAATACAAAAAAAAAAAAAGAAATTGAAAAAGGTAGACAGAAGGTAATATACAAAAAATTACATGAATGGATCCAGTTTTTTAAAAAGAGAACATACAATCCTACCATTCCAGGTTGGGATGGGAATAATTTTCTATTAATTTCCCAGAACAATTTAGGATACCTTTGAAATAATGGGACATATCAGTTTCATGTGGGAAATCCTCACTGTGCAGCCAGCCAGTGGGCCCTACAGTCAAAGTCCAAGAGGAGAGTTTTGGAGAGGATGAGAGAGGGGAACCTGGAAGATGAAATCACATGGAGAAACAAAGATAAAGTAATGTTGGCAGACAGAAGGTCAAGACACAGCTGGAGATACATAGATGGAAAGGGAGAAGGTATAAGACACATCATAAGAACAGATAAGCTAAGAAAATATTTCAATGATCAGAGATAAAAATTGAGAGAAAACTACCTAGAAATGGAAAGATGGAGAGGAAAATAAATACTAAGAAATGGGGGAAGTTGGGGAGAGGTACCAAGGCAACCATGTAGAGAAAGAATTAAAGGCAAATGAATGGAAAATAGGTTGAGTGAAAGTGAATAAAGGGCAGAGAGGCATAGATTGGGACACAGTAGGTGTGAGATAAGAGCCGGGTATAAGCATTTTTGGGTACAAGGGTTGACAACATTAGCTTCGAAGTTTCAGATGGAACTGTCCTTAATTATCAAAGTGGCCCTTGCAACATATTTTGCCCTTGCAAAATATTCAGATTGCAACAGGCTCTCCCTAAATATACGAAAGTTTCCCAAGACCGAATCTCCACCCAGGTTATCTCAGATCTGAGGAGAAGGGGTCTGTAGACAGAGATCTACACTTGAATTTTTTGGAGAGCCTTACACGAGGCAATTCCAGACTTGAAAGCAGCATCTTTATTACTCATACTGGACCTAATTCCTGCTCAGCACTCTAAGTCACTATTGTCCTGTGGTTTTTCAAGTTGGAAGCCTAGGAGTCATCCATGGTGGCTCTTGCCCTCAGATGCATGCTCATGTGCCACTTAACACAGTCATTTGTCTTTCAGAGTATCTCCCACCGGTCCTTCTGTCACACCTCCCAGCCTGCGTCTCTAACCCAGACCTTGGTCATGGTTCTCAGAGCACCAGCTACCTGCTCATCTCCTCTTTCTAATCTTGCTCCTATAATATGAGTTATTCACATTTCAACTACATGAGACACTTGAAAATAAAAATCAGATTGTATTATTTTCCCACTTATTAATAGATGGGATTAAATAAACATTTCTTTCAGTGACATCCAAGGTCATCCTTCGTGAGCCACCTGCTTATTTCCCCAGCCTCATCACCTGCCTCCTACACTAGTCAAGATAGAATAAACCTTCTTTCCCAATGATTTTAATTGTTAATTTTTTCTTTCATTTCTGAGCCTCCTCACATGCCCTTTCAGAACAGTTTTCATGTTCCACTACTGTCCAATTACCCTCTCCACTCTGGTTAAATCCTGTTTAAAATAGACTGTCTCAGAGAAGCTTTTTTTTTTTTTTTAGAAAGTTAGCGAACACTTGAGAGACAAAGTGTAGGTGAGGAAGAGCAGTATTACAGAAAGCAAGAGACAAACTTGTAGGGATAGAGAAGAGAGAAACACAAGAGAAGGAGAAACTCCAAGAGATACCAGCAGGAGAAGCAGAGATTGATAAAATGTGTGGAATGAAATGAGAAAGGAAGGTGTAGAAAGAGAATGAGGAGTAAGAATAGGAAAATTTCCCATGACAGCTGAATCCTTCTCAGTCTGTAAGGCAACCTACTGAAGCAAAGTTAACCTTTGGGTCAGGCTGTTTTGCAGAGTGCGGTATTCCAGCTTCTCAGGCTTTCTTGGTTTTCCTATTGATTTTTTTGTGGTGATTCCTTTTTAGCCATAAATTCAGATGTCCATGGGATTTCACTTTTTTCTGAAGAGAACAGCAAGGCCTGCTGTATGACTTGTGATGGAGAAGAGCCTCAGGAAGCCTTGAGCTCCCCACCGACATATGAGCCAGGTAAGAAAGGGGAGATCGTCAGTCCTACGCTTCAGGATGTCAGGTGGCCGAATGCAGGACTGCCTGATGTTTCCTAACTCATGAAATTGTGAACACTCTCCACTGTCAAAAGATTCTGTGTGTCCTAAAATCTCTGGAGTCACATAGATGTTTCTAAGTGCATATTCTTGTACAGATATATAAAGAAAGGGGATGAGTTTTATATCTACTAATACTAAAGACTTGAATTTATACATACCTAGCCTTTCTCTTCCTTACAGAATAAAAATGAAATAGTATTCTCTTTGTTTATAATGTTATTATTGTGTGCCCAACTTTGGAAAACCCTCAAAAGAAACATGGTCCTTTAGATCTAATGCTCTCAAAATCTAAATTATAATGTTTGCCAAATATTTTGCATTATGTTATGTGATTCTTCAAAGAATTTTGGCAAACAAGGTGGCATTTAATCTGAAGCATATAAGGGTGTTTCACCTGTTCAAATTAGTCAAGCAAGTGGACATACTATAATCCTTGATGACTCAGTGAGGTGATGGTCATGTGAGACTGACAAAGGGTCAGGGCAACCAGGGTCACCTGGACTAAGTTCACTCAGGAGAGCCCAGAAGGTCTGCAGGTACCAGGGAAGTGGAAGAGGGCTGGGTACAAGGAGACTTTCATTCAAGAAATATATTTCATTGGTGAGAGCAGGGAAAAGCAGAAAGAGGTGTTAGGGCAGGACTTGTCCTATGGGATGCAAGAGATCTAGATAGAGCTAGAAAGAAAAAGAGAACCACAATAGGAAAAATGATAAAAAGCAACAAATAAGCAAAGGACTGAGAGGGAATCCAGAAAGTCAAGCACATGAATGAGCCTTCATGGTGCAGAAGCAAAGTGCATGGTGACAGAAAATGAAGTGACTGAGGAAAAACAAAGGAAAAGAAGCAGAGCAAGGCTTGGGAGATCTTAGGTGAGGTCTTTGGAGCAACAGTACTTTTTCCCAAGGAGAAGCTCAGCTGAGCACTGGACATAGAATTTGGCATGAAATCCCTGAGTCTGCTTTCTTGTCACCATGTCTAGTTGGTCATTTCCATGTTTCTCTTCAGTTTCCTGTGAGCAGGAAGACCTCCAAAGAACTAGTAGTGGTGATTCTGAAGAGATAACCAAACTGCTACCAGCTGATGAGGGAGGTAATCACGATTTAAATGACGAAGACCTCCAAAGGACTAGTGGTGGTGATTCCGAAGAGATACCCAAACTGCTACCAGTTGATGAGGGAGGTAATCACGATTTAAATGACGAAGACCTCCAAAGGACTAGTGGTGGTGATTCCGAAGAGATACCCAAACTGCTACCAGTTGATAGGGGAGGTAATAATGATTTAAATGATGACATACCTCACTAAATTGTCTGTCTGTATGTAAAGGAAGCTTGCCTTCCTTCCCTCTAGCATATATTCACACTTTTTCCTTTTCTTTCTGGTTGCTTTCTCCACGTATGTAGAGGCAAGTGGGAAAGGAAGGCTAAGTACCTTAATGAAGGGTCTCCTTAGAGAAGAACTTAAGGGTACAAAATGATGAAAATTTAGATTGGGGTCACCAAATGGAGCTGTTTTAATGGTCCAATTTTATCTAAATGTATATGCAATCTAAATACTACCAGTTTGGAGTATGGGAAGAAGAGATCATTCTAAAATTACCAGGGATTGCATGGGAACAATGAAGTACTGTGTATAGGAAAAACACAGAGAAATTGAGTTAAAAGAGTAAGTAGAAAGAAAATGGGGCAGAAAGGTAAAGAACATCATGGAGGAAGAAAAAGAAACACAGAGTGGTAGAAGTATGGCAAGAAAGTCATGGTCAAAGAGATCTACCAACAACTTCATGATGCAGATGCAGCAATGTGTAGAAATTGGGTCAGAGGGATAAAAAAGAGAAGAAGAAAGGAGGAAGGGGGAGGGGGCTTAACAAGGTGCTCAATGGTAGAGAAGCTTGTTTGGTGCAACATACTTTTATTCGCAAGGGGCAGTTCTTCCTATACTCTAAATATCAAAGCTCTGATATACTCTTGAACACGACCCCAGCCAGGTAGAATTCAGGTCATTTTCAGTTGTTCATCATGGTCTTGTTTCTCTTTTCAATGTTCTTGCGACTTGTAGATCTACAAATGGATGGAACAGGAGAATCAGAAGAAATGCCCAACTTACTGCCTTATGATGAAGAAGGTAATTAGGATTTAAATGACCTATTATCTAATTAAAGCTTTGCTTTCCTGTCAACATTAAAAAAGACCGTATCTTTTATCTTCCTTCCTATTCCTTCATCCACCCACCCAGCTACTTATCCACCCATGTATCCTTCCGTTTATCTGTCCACTCATCCATCCACACTCACATATGCACATAGACTATGCTCATCTTCTAGTTGCTTTCCTCTAGAGGCTCAAGCAGTGAAGAGAGTATGAGCTCTGAAAGGTTGGGGACACAGGCAAAGACAGGGAGAATGATGGAGTCATTGTATGAATAGAGATTGGATCATTGCCAATTTTACCTAAATAAAATTGGAATACAACTATTATCATGTTAGATGTGTTATCAGGTAGGGAGGTAGTTTTTAAGCTTGGAACATGGGCATAATGAGTGTAACTGCAAAATAGAACATGCTTGTGAAAAACTTTCAAAATGGATGTTGCAAGCGGAAGGATCCCTGTTCAATTGTCAATGGCAAAACAAGAGAACTTTGCTGACATGGGAGAGAAATATGTAAGGAGAGCAAAATAGGCAGGAAGGTTGAAATTTAAGTTTTAGTTTCAAACATTGGTAACAGATTGTTAAAAACTAGAGAGAACAGATAGAAACAAGGAATTGATCATCACAGAATAAACGAGGCTAGCTTAATAATCAATAGACATGCAGAATAAAAAGGTAGAGAACATGATATTTAAACACTCAGGTTCTGAGAGGAAAGTGCTCAGAAATGGAAGGAGTGGGGGAGAGGCACACAGTTATACAAAGAGAGGAACATAGAAAAGAATGAGTGAAAAGTCAGGAGAGCAGGAACATTGTGTACAAGGGATAGAGAAGATGGTTGGGGACATTGCAGAAACTGAGAGATGAACTGCACAGACACAACTTCTGGCTCTAGGAGTGACATATTTGCAATGAGTTTTCAGATTACAGTGTGCCTAGTTATTGAAGTTGCCCGTTAGATCCTCAGAGGCAATGGGCCTCCCCTAGCCATTCTTGACTACTCCCATCATAACTTGATAATCCCCCAATTTTTATCTCTGGCCTAGACTTATCCTCTAAACTCATTCATTAAGTGCCTGAATATGTTTTTTCAGGAGTCTGAGAGACATCTTCATTTGGAATTTTTTCCAGGAACTTCAGTGCAAGATACTTCCATAATTGTGCCTACCATCTTTCTTGATGCCAGATCTGCCTCCTTTTCTGGTGTTCCCTATCTCGGCGTAGAACACGCTTGTTCTCTTCTTCAAGCAGGAACCTGGGGGGTTACCAACATCTAGTCAACTTATGCACCCCATCAATCATCCAGTTTAGTCAACTATACCTTTGGCATGGCCATTTGTGCATTTCTTTCCACATTCAACTCTGAAACCTTAGTCAGATCTGTCTTCTCTCTGGAACTATAGCAGAAGCCTCTAGTCTCACCTCTTCCTCCACTCACACTCCCAGCACCTCCACTCTCCAGCTCAATGAGATGACTGTTTGAAAATGTGAGTTGGCTTATGTTACTTTCCTACCTTAACTCAATGACTTCTTGTTGTCATAAGAATTAGATATGTTTTTCTTCCCATGGCTTCAGTCTCTTACCTGCCTCTCCTGCAATCACTTCAAAACTTTGTATAAAACTGCAGAAATTTTAATTTTTTTGACTATTCGTTCCCTTCTGAGTCTTTGCACATGATTAGCTCTGTGCCTGGAACAGTTTTCTTTGCCCACTCTGCTCTCCATTTGCTCACTAATAACCCATTCTGCTCACTAATTTGGTGAATTTATGTGGAAATTACCTTCTATCTCAGAGATGCCATTTCTGAGCAACCACTGGCTCAGGAAAGCAATAGAATGAACGATGGGGAAAAGACATAATGCATAGCACTGGAGAAACAGGATGGAAAAGAGGGAGGTGGGAGCAGACATGGGAAAACAAATGAATTGGGACAAAGAGAAGTACCAAGAGATTCCATCAGCAAGATAAGGAAGTGAAATAGAGGAAGCAGAGACAGGTGGAAAGAGTGAAAATGAGAAAGAACAAGGTGTGGAAGATAAGGATGCAAGGTTTTTGACAGTTGTCATCAGATTATTAGATTGTGCAAGACCTTTTCCCTTCACAAAACCTAAGCCACAAACATCAACTGTTGTAACTCTATTTTATGGATAAAAAAAAGCACAGAAAGGCATGTTAGTCAGTTTTCAAGGGCAAAGTAGAAAAAGAAGAGTGGTACAAAAGTCCTGGGTGTGTCACTGAGGGTGGCAGTTTAGGGAAGCAAGCAGGCAGTTAGGGCGGAATCATGTGGTCAGGAGAGAAACAGAAAGTCAAGGAATTCTTCAGGTTCCCATGAAGTACACTAGCTTCTGATGTAAGACCTTAATTAAGGAAAAAAATAATGTTGATGGGGAGGGAAGAGAAACCACTGAGAGAGAGAGAGCATAAGAATGTACCAACCACCTGGGATAGGAAAGATCTAGAACCAGAAAGATAGAGAGCATCACTGGAGAAATGAGACATTATCCCTGAAAGAAAAAAAAAGCCAAAAGCTAGACCTGAAAAGAAGAGACAGGGAGAAAAACCTGATAATTGAAGCAAGGCAACACAAATGTGTGGATGCAGAACTATAGGAAGAACACTGAGAAGCAGAAAGAAGGAGAAGGAGGTACCCTAAGATGGTCAAAAAGCTGAACAAGGCGGTGGGGCTCTCGGGAGTGCTTGGGGCAGACAGAGGGGCTGAGGTCCATTTCTGATTGCCCTCCATGGTCCACCATTATCTTGTTTCTCTGCAGTGACCTGTGATCTTGAAGTTTCAGAAATTACTAACCTAGAAGCAGACAAGGTGCCCAGCTTGCTACCTGCTGAGGGAGAAGGTAATTATGATTTAGTTCCCAACTTCCTCAATCCATGTTTATTTCTGGTCAGCAGGGAACAACAGTCTCCCTGGTTCCCCATCCTCCCATTCTCTTCCTCATATTTACATGCACACAGTTGAGATTGCTTTGTTTTTCCAAAACTGTGAGAGACAAGGAATGAAGGTGAGCTTGGCTGCTGGGAAGAGAGAGGATCCCCGCATGGAGAACAGAGGGAGACAAAATATGCCAGAGGCAGGCTGAGGCACCAAGGCAGATGTGCCATGTGATATTATTAAATGTACCCAAAATCCAGATATCAGCAGATTATGGCAAAGCAGGCAAGGATATCCTTTTCAGCCCACTTCCAGAAGTACCAGGAACATGGAACTGAGTTTTGTGAATGATTGGTAAAACTCTCTGGCACTGTGGTCTATGTGAAATGGCAGAATTTTTGTCAATTTGGAAGAAGGGATCTGTGAGAATAAGAAAAATATGTAAAGTAATAGAAAATCTTACAGGCATCCAGCAGGTGAATACTCAGAAACAGAGATGGAAAAGAAAAATGTTATGCTAAGTGAAATACACCAGGCAGTGTGGGACAAATACCATATGATCTCCTCCTTAACTGGAACCAAATCAGCAAAAAAAAAAAAAAAAAGCAAGCAAAATATAATTAGAGACATTGACATTAAGAACAATCTGACGGTAACCAGAGGGGAGGTGGAAGGGGATAATGGGGGGAAGGGGAGAAGGGTTTTCAGGAACATGTATAAAGGACACATGGACAAAACTAAGGAGGGGTAGAAGCAAGGGAGGGAGGTGGGGATGGCAGGGGTTGGGGGGTAAATGCAGACAACTGTAATTGAACAACAATAAAATAATAAAAAAAATAGAAGAAAGGGAGAGACAAAGTAGAAAGGGTATAACTTCAATAAGCAATGAGATACAGAGATACAAATTAGAGAAACCCTTTGTATATTTTGGAGATTAAACCTTTGTCTGAGGTATCATTGGCAAATATGTTTTCCCATACAGTTGGTTGTCTTTTTAATTTAATACTGTTTTCTTTAGCCATGCAGAAGCTTTTTATTTTGATGAGATCCCATTTATTTATTCTTTCCTTTATATTCCTTGCTCTAGGGGACATATCAGTAAATATGTTGCTGCGTGAAATATCTGAGATTTTCCTGCCTATGTTCTCCTCTAGAACTTTAATGGTGTCATGGCTTATATTTAAGTCTTTTATCCACCTTGGGTTTATTTTGGTGTATGGTGTAAGTCGGTGCTCAAGTTTCATTTCATAGCAGCACAATTTACAATAGCCAAGAGTTGGAAGCAACGTAGGTCCCGTCAGTAAATGAATGGGTCAAAAAATTGTGGTACATATACACAATGGAATTCTATGCAGCAGAGAGAAAGAAGGAGCTCCTACCCTTTGCAACAACATGGATGGAACTGGAAAGCATTATGCTGCGTGAAATAAGCCAGGTGTTGAAAGACGAATACCACATGATCTCATCTTTAACAGGAAGCTAAACAACAAAACAAACAAGCAAGCAGAGTAAAAACAAAGACACGGAAATAAAGAACAAGGGGACAGTGACCAGAGGGGAGAGGGGAGGGAATTTAAGGGGAAAAAAGGGGAGGGATTTGCAGGAAAAAGTATGAAGGACACAAGGATAAGAACTAAGAGGGGTGGAAATGGGAGGGAGGTGGGGAGCACGGGGTAGGGTGGGCTGGGATGGGAGAAATAGAAAAAAAATTAGAGAAATCATATAGAGAGACAAATAGCAAAAACAAAACAAAAAACAAACAGGCGAGGGAAGCACAAAAGAAACTACACAGAGAGATAGTTTTAAAATCACTTAAGAATAAAAACTGCTATGTAAGGAGGAGAGGAGAGAAGTTGGGATCCTCTAAGGCTCAAGTACAAGTCACTGGACAGAAGCTTCTCCCAGCGAAAAGGGGCATGTCAGTAGTGAGTTTTCAGGTTTCCCCAGGGACAGAGTGGTGCCCACAACACACTCAGAATAATGCTCTTCTCCCTGGCACCCTCAGCTACTCTTGGGTAAACGAACAGAATGAATCTGAGGTGTATGTCTGCTAGGCAGACCTGTCTCCCAAGGTCATTCATCTACGAAATGATGACTTTTATCCCAAGACCTTGTCCATTTGCATATCTTTCAGGAACTGACACTTCCAAGACTGAAACCAACATTTTCTTTTGTGAAACAAAAACTCCTGCTCCAGGAGACATGGATGTCCCCTTTTCTCTTGCTCCTATCCCTCCCATTTTTTTCACTTCAGCAAGATGTAAATGAGATCACATTATTTCCCCATTTAAACCTGGTGACCTTTGTTGCCCTTGGATTATATCAGTTATCCTTCTTCCTGGGGATTTTTTGCTTTCCATTCACCATGGGGCTCCAACCTACTTTTTCTGCCTCATTTCTGATGAGACTACAGAAATTTTCAGAGATTGCAGTGCTCTGGTCTTTCTTTCATAGGTGGGTCTTTGAACAACTCCTGTGTTTGGCAGTGTTGCCTACAGCCTGCTCTGTTCCTTATCTCATTCCCTGATCAGGTTACATCCTGGGCTTTCCGGGTTACCTTTCCTAGAAGGGAGCTGGAACCAGTTAAGTGAGACAGGGAAAGTCAATAAAAAGCAGTGTCAGGAGCTCAAGAGAAAGAGTCAGGAGTGGAGGAAGCAAACACATCAAAATGAGAAACACCTGCAAACACTGACGGCAGGAAACAGGGCAGAGACAGAAACAACATGCAGAGGCTGTGGGGCCAGGAAAGAAATAGAGAGAATTAGGTGTATGGGAAGGAAGAATATGGTGGATGGTTCACAGACACTCATGACAAAGATAGAAGTCAACCTTCAGGCCAGGTGAATGCGAAGGGAAGACCGGGATTGTCTGCGTCAGGGACAGTCCCACCTCGGGATACTTGAACTGCCCAAGTCTTCACTATGAGTTTTCATGCCATCATTCCCCATGGTTGTTTACTGAGACCTCTGAGGGATTTCAATTTCTCTCTGCAGAGGAGAGCAATGTCTATTGGGATCTCAGTGATGGGGAAGAGCTCCAGGAAACCTTGAGCTCCCCACCAAGAGAAGAGCCAGGTAAGGAAGGGGGGGATTGCTAGCACCTGGCTGCAAGGTGTCAGGAGGCTGAATCCAGAGCTGAACAGCAGAAAATCTAATATTAGGTGTGTTCTCTCTTCATTTTGTAGTAGATAAACACCAAGGAAAGATGGAGCCTTTCATATTCTTTACACTTATTTATACTACAGACTCAATATTGTGATTTAAACCTTGCCTACCTTTATTTCCTATATAAAGTATAGAAACTTAGTATTTATTTAGTGATTAATAATATTATCATTATCATACCATCATAACCTTGGATAGGCTTTAAAAGAAACACTGTTCTGAGATCTACTTGTTAAAAAAGGAACAATGACTCTTAAGTCCAAATTACAGGTTTTTTTCACCACATATTCTTCATTAAGTGATTGGATTATATTAGCACTTCTTTCTTTCAAAGTACATTGGCAAGTGAGATTTCCTCACAAAACTTTAGGATTTAGCCAGGAAAACTGTTATTGTCCCTCCTTGGAGATAAGGAAATGGAAGCGCAGAAAAGGGATGCTTGTTTCCCCCCCAAGATGTCTCAGGTATCTCACTGCAGGTGATGGCTGTGAGAGATTAGTGGAGGTCAACATGGTGACACAGTCAGAATCCGAAGTGGGGCTTGTGGGCTCCCAGGGAGAAGAGAGCAAAGGCCAGTGCAGACATGCTCCCACTTCACAAATAAAGCATGTCAGTAGGGAGAGAAGAAATCCAGAGAAATGGTGAGAGAAGGACCAGATCCTGGTGTAGGGATTGGAGAGACCTGGGGGAACAGAGCTAGACAGAATAAGCAGAGAAGAAGAGATCAAGATCACCACTGAGAAAAAAAAAAGATAGAAGAGTATCAAGATAGGAGAAGCCATGGGAGCAGAGCCCACAAAAATCAAAGAGAAATATTCTCTTGGTGTAGATGGAGAAATATTGGGAGGGTAGGTCTGTAGGTGACTTCGGAGCAAAGAGTAGGAGAGTGAAGTGAAAGGGATAGAAACAGAGGCAAACAGGGTTTGGTTGGATCTCAGGTGAGGTCCTTGGAGAAGATGTCCCATTTCCTAAAGTGCTGCTCACCTGTGCTCTGGACAGCCTGGCTTAGCTCATTTTCATGTTTCTCTTCAGTGTCCTATGAACCTGAAGCTCCCCAAATGGCCAAAGAGAAACCAGAAGAGGTGTCCAGCCATCTACTATGTAATGAAGAAGGTAATGGTGATCTCAAATCCCATTTAACAAAACGGATCTTTGTTTTCTGTCTACAGGGAAGAAACTCTCCCTTTTCTTCTCCCCTCCTATCCTGCTCCCCTTCACATACCCAAACAGAACAAATGTGTAGAGCTAAGGGGAAAGGATCAAGAGTATTGAGAACATTACATATAAGGGAAGGGAGTGAGTTGGGTGGAGTGTTCTCTGCCTCTGGTGATAATGACAAAAGCTATGCTAACCTCCTGGTCAGGTAAACTCAAAAGCAGGGGGGTCTGAGGGCCAGGACATTCCCAGTAGGAGATACCTGAGCCACCTTAAACTTCCTGGAAGGTGGACTTTCCTGCCTGCTTTGTAATGTCCATTGTTCTTGAATCATGCATAATGAAGGTATAACAATGTGCCCATTAACTATAAATCAATCATGTGTAAAATAATTTTCCAGAAATTCTAAAATTAATTATTCTATAAGATATTTAATCTATTAGTTGCACTTGTGGAATAGATCCCTACTAATTAAATATGTAGGTTTTTTTAAAGGAAACAAAAAAAGGAGGTGAAATTAGATAATTTTCTGAAAGTAATATTTAATGGTTGGGACATGGGAAATTTTGGTCATTTGACATGCATTATTTACTTTTGATGTGTCACAAGTTCCCATTGAAACTCAAAGTCATCGTTTGTGAAGCTTTGTCATTTATTAAGATATGTGCAGCAGTTAGAGTCGCAGTGAAAGCATGAAGAGGAAGTGGAGTTCTGCCAGGGGGGGCACTGCAGCTTTGCCAAAGACAGACTCCTGACAAACAGCAGAGGCCACAGCATTCAGTCATAAGTGTGAATGGTCTCCTGCATGTGAGTGGAGCATGGAGTTCATCCACCAAGTAGAGACAAAAAAGGGGACATATGATCAATTACATGGTAACAGTTGACCTCAGACTATGTGCTAAACAAAATTATTGTCTTTACAATTTGACAGAATGTCAAGTGTCTTCATGGAGTTTTTGGAGTGGGATTCAAGACTAAGTGTGACTGAATATCTTTGCACAAATTGGCTACTGTGCAATGGGCCCACACCCATTAATTAGTCTTTGGAGCTAGCTTAGACAGGGGACATGCCAAGTCTATGCCTCCATCCACTTGCTTTTGATCCCTTTCTTCTAACATTCAAGAATCACAGGAAAATCAGGCACAAGCACCCATGAGATAAGACTTTCTATAATAGACAAGAGCATGAGAGCAAATGAAGTAGTGAAAGAATAAACATCTTAACACACTATGTGCTAAATGCTGCATCTCCAAACTGAATGTCTAACTACTTTGCACCTAACTGCATACACATCATTAAATAATGAGACACTTTCAGGAATAAGAGCTCATGAAACAAGTCAGAGTCCAAGTACAGTCTTTTGCCATGTATAATGCCCACCCACTTTTTGAGCCCAAACTTTCAGGAAAAAAATCTTTTGCTTTAATTTTTAATTCAATTTTTATTTATTCATATTGAGATGCTTGTTTTTTGTATTATAAGAGAATTTTAGCATTTATTTTTGAACATGTTTTTGTATAAGAATTTTATACAACACATAATTACAAAATGCAAGAACAGATACAAGGTATTTCAGATACTACTCTTGCATAATGCACATCTGTATTTTTCCCTCAAAAATTTGGGCAATAAAGTGCATATTATACATGGCACAATATGGTAGTTGCTGACACAGGATTTATACCTGTTGGTCCAAGGGTCCCACAGGATTCTTCTAAGACATCTTCAAGATGATCTTGGTGGGGACTCCATTTTGGGGGGGTCATCTATCACACAATATCTGAAACTAAAAGAGATTTATTTCTTGCATAACAAGTCACATGGTAGGAGGAAGCAGTGTACTTATTGGGTACTGTTTCTTTTAAAATGGAAACTATTAATTTTATATGGAGTTTTGTCAAGCACGTGTTTCAGGGACTGCAGACTTTCAGAAACAGGCGTGATTATAACTGGTTAGCCACAGATTAAGGCTTTCTGGAGTGTGTTTGTTGCTGATTGGCTGGTTTTCAGAAGTGTATGCTGCAACTGATTGGATGCCTTTAAATGTAAGTGGTGCTGTAAGCAGTCATTGGCTAATTGGGATGAGTTTGTACGTGCTCTGGTACTTTTACCATTTTCAAAGAACAGTTATTTTTTTTTCCCTGGGATAACACACTCTTTTTATTTTATTCATAGGGCTACAAGTAGAAAAATAAAAGTAGAAGAAGCAGAATGAGGTGTAAAAATGGGAAATGCGTGGCTCTGTAGGATCTCAGTTGTGATTACTGGAATATATATACATATGTGTGTGTATATATATATATAGGAAGCAGTTCATTTGAACTCATAATATCAGTGTGCCAAATGGGAGCACCAGGAACTCTTCCCTAATCACTGTCTTAGGATCCATGGACACTAACTTTATTGTCTCTCTTTAGTAGCTGGTGAACTAGAAGCTCCCCAAGTGGGTGGCGAAAGAGAATCTGAAGAGCTTACCTGTAGCCTACTACCCTGTGATGAACAAGGTAATTGTGACTTAAAGAATAATAAAAACAGAAAGAGAGTTCTAATAAAGGGAAGAAAGCATGGGAGGAAAAATTGGAGGCTGAAAAGAAGAGTCAGATATAGAGTGAATCAATGGAAGATTTTGGAGAAAGAAGAAAACGGAGATCAACGAATTTACAGAACAGAGGATCCCTGGGGAAAAGGAAAGGTCTTTGTAAATCACAATTTTTTTCCAGGAGCAGAGCTACCAGCATGTGGACATGAGAAGTGTTCCTGCATTATGTACTTCTCAGAAGATGTGTCAGGAAGTCCAGAAGCAAGGTCTGACAGCAGCCAAGCACATGACACAGAAGGTAATTCTGTCCAAAGGTCATAGCATGAGGGTGGCTGCACAGGTACCACAGGCCCCAGGCAGAGTTTGACAGACAGGTGGTTCAATACATCCCAATATCCTGTTCTCTGCCTTTTCTCAACCTGATTCTTTTGGGAACAACAGGAAGAGAAGAGATCATCATAAAGTCATGTTTAATAGGATGAGCCCTGTTGATTATACATGTTTGATATAGTAGAAATACAGACACACACTCTTAAAATGAGTGTCTAGTTTACTACATTAGTATATTAGTAGTAAAGTCTATATTCATGCAATGATTTCCATCCCTGCCCCACCTGAAAATTTATGGAGCCCCCCAAAAAGGGAGGGTGTACTTCTGCTAATAGATAACATTGTCACTTGTCAGAACCTTAGAAAGACCTCAAAGGCAACTGATCCTGCCACTTAATTGTCAGAAGGGGAGACTTCCATCAACTGCTTTTTACCCAGCATGTATTTTTGATGGATGTCCTGCACATGTCACTAATTTATATAGTGTTTTCATGCAAATTTTGCACATAAGATGTTAAGTCTCACAAAAAACTTAAGACGTAGACAGAATAGGATAATTGTTTCGATCCCTGAGTAAGTTGAAGTACATACGTATTTAAAAGTGTTTTTCAAAGTCCTGTTGAGAAATAAAGGAAGACCCACTACCCCTCTGGGACTCCTACTTCCCGATTCAGAAGATATTTAGTTCCTTTAGAAGGAAGAGAAAAATGGTAACCCAGGCATCTTTGAAAACTCAAGTCTTCTGTGGTGTGATTCACCCTAGAGTTGGCAACTTTTAGTTATTAATTTGTTTCCTTACATCAACCTCATTTTCTAGATACTGTGGATCTTGGAAACAATCCTACTTTGGGAACACTCAAGAGGAAAAGAAGTAAGAGTGCATAAGATTTTACTTCATTTTGATGTCATAATGAGTTTTTTAATGCCAGAGTTTTATTTTATTATTTACAATAATAAGTGATAATAAAAAATAAGTGATAATAATGTGATATTCCCTCAAATATGTCCATATCCTAATTTCTGGAATGTATAATGAATTTTCTTCCATGGCAAGAGAGATTTTACAGATATAATAAAGCTAGGGACCTTGAAAGGGGAGATTATCCTGGATATTCGGGTGCCACTACGGATAGTCAATGGACTTTAGAGTGAAGAACTGTTTTCAGATGTGGAGAGAGGAATTGACTTCGGAAGACAGTGACAGAGATGCAATATTGCTGGCTGCAAAGATGAAGAAGAACAGCAAAGAATAGTGGGTTACGTGTAGAGAAGTTGGAAGAGTTATGGAAATAGCTTCTTCTCCACAGCCTCCAGAAAGGAATGAAGGCCTACAGAAACCCTTATTTTAGCCCTTGTCAGATTTCTAACCAACATATCTGTAAGATAATAAATTTGCATTGTTTTAAGCCACTAAATTTGTGGTCATTTGTTATGGCAGCTACAGAAGAGCAATGCAGATTTTGGCTATTGTGCGACTATAACATGTTCCTAAAAAGGTGGAAGTGACTTAGGAATTGGGCAATGGACAGAGGGAAATTGGGCAATGAGAAGAATTGTCAATAGAAGGGTAGAAAATGTCTACATGGCCTGGAGCAGTTTGTTAGTAGAAATGTGCAAAGACTACTAGGGAGGACTCAGGTGGAGGTGAAGAACACGGAAGAGAAAACCTGTATTGCCTTAGAGAATACATAAATCATACCACACAGATGTTAGTAGAAATATGTTAGTCAAAGGTGTGACTGGTGATGGATAAGGAAGAAATAAGGAACATGTTTTTGGAAACTGGAAAAAGAAGATCCTTATTAAATCAAGGCAGAAAGCGTAGTGAATTTTTTTTCTGAAGACGTGGAAAGCAGAACTTTCTGGGTATGTATTTAAAGAGATTTCTGAGCAAGTGAGGAAGACTCAGTTTTTTTTTCTCTTAGAGTAAAATGTGAAAAGAAAGATAAAATCAAGGGAAGAACCACTCAACACAACAACAAAAAATAGGGCTTGATGATCTGGAAAATTCTCAGTCTATCCAGGTTACAGAAGATGCTAAAATTAGTTGACTCACTTTCAGGAATGTGTGCTCTGTAGAAGTGACCAAGAATGTGGCTTAATAAACTTCTTCCTGGTGCCTCAGAAGTAACACAAGATCAAAGAATCCAGTCACATACAAGGTTCTGTGAAGAGATTACTTGTGTGACTCACAGATCCCCTCAAACCAGCTCAGCAGAAGTAAAACACAGATATGTAATCGTACACGAAAGGTCTGTGGAGGAGACTCTTTTTAATGGTACAAATCCCATGACATTCATGAGAGACCCATAAGATTCTTGAGAATTTTATACCAACAGAAACAGAGCTGCCGATGCCTAATCCCTGGGATCTGTAATCTTGTTTCTTTTCATGGAGAAAGAGAGAGTCTGAGGATGTGATTGGGGATCTTGAGATGGGGAGATCATTTTGGATAATCTGGGTGGCCTGAATCAAATTACGTGGGTCCTTAAAACCAGAAAACCTTTCCCGTTGTGCAGACAGGAATATGTGCTCGTGGAATAATAATCTGAGAGACACATGAGGCTGACTTTGAAGATGCAGGCAGGGAACAATGAGCCAAGAATTTGGAAGCTGGATAAGACTTTAAAGAATGGATTATCCTCTACTGACTCCAAAATGGAACAGAACCCTGTAGATGACTAGATTTTCGCCTAGTGATACCTTCATCATATTTATGGCCTTCAAATATGAAAAATAATAACTTTGTGTTGCTCTAAGCCACAAAGTTTATGATAGTTTACTACAGCAGCCATGACAACTAATGCCTTTCATAAAATAAAAAACTGAATATTTCACCTTTATATGGTTAGATTACATCTTTTAAAATAGCAATTTATAGTTTTAAATGCTCATATTTTTATGTTTTTAATTTTAAAATATATGAACTTTGCAAATTTAATGCCTATATTTTTTAGATTTTTTCTGTGCATTTATTGATATATTTAGAATTATGTATCTAAGCAGTCTATTCATAATGTTACATTTCTTTTACTTTAATTAGTATACCAAGTACAAGATATCACAAACATTTAACATATTGCCAACTTAGCTTTAAAAAATTCCTTTTGAGGTAAAATTTACAATGAAATGTAACAAAGTTGAGGATATCATTTGATACATTCTGATAGATACATTGTCCTGTATAATTCAAACCCTATCCAGATACTGAACGTGCCTGTCATCCTGGAAAGGGCCCTTATGCCCTTCTGGTATATTCTTAACCTTTCACTCATCAAATGCAGTAACTATTCTTATTTTTTCATGATAACTTAATTGGCCTTGTTTTCAAACTTTAGATACATAAGGTTTTAGAGCATATTTTCTTTTGGTGCAGTGCTTCCCTCAGCAGAATGTTTTTTGAGTTTTGCCCATGCTGCTGAATGTATCCGTAGCTTCTGACTGCAGTTAGTGCATTGTATGAACACACCAAACTTTGTGTATATATTCTCCTATTGATGGACCCCACAAGTGTGCTGGTTTTTGGTAAATATGAACAAGCTGCAATGAACATTCTTGTGGAGGTCTTTCTGTGTGGCTCCATGCCTTCATGTCTTTTGTGTAAATTCCCAGAAATGAATTTTCTGGGATAGTGCATAGGTACATCTCCTTTGCCTCCCCAGACCAACATAGGGGTGATGCGGCACCCAGAAACAGTGCCTAGCTGAGGGATACAAGCTTCAGAAACTGCTCCTACCTGTCAGAAACCCCCAGTTGTAGGAAGGGTTTAGTAAACCTGTCAGTAGACCTGCTGAGACCTTACCCCTGAGGGAGGCATTATTTATAAGCCCATCTCTGAGGAGAGGAGGGAGACTTTACTCTCTTGGGATATTTCTAAGGAGGGAGATGTTCTTCATTTTACACTGGTTAGGGAACACATCTGCCACATCTGGACAGCTGTATTAACTCTAGATACTCTGAGGCGCGTGGAAATGCCACAAAGAATCATCTCTGAACAAATCCACTTCACCCAGGAGCCTGGTGAATTTCCACATGGAGACACCAATCGACTAGCCACTTCAGTGATTCTGGACAGTGGGGATGGACCAAATCCATTTGATTTGTTTCTTGTATCATTTAATGTATTTCATAAACCCTAAATACTGTCGGTCTCTAATGACCACCCCTAGTCTGCAGTTTGCCATGTTTGCATGAGAGAGGCAAGTGAGTGCCTGGCTTTCACTTAAAAAATATCTTCTCCGGGGCATGCACGGTGACCCTGGGAGGAGTGCATTTACTATTACTGAGGTCCCCTAGTGGGACGTACACCACCCAGGGAGAAGATGGACAGTGCCCCCAGTGTGGGCCCTGGCTGCAAGCTTTATAGCTCCCTGTTCCATTCAAGGTGCCTACTCTTTGATATTTAGGGGTCTCTGCACAGGTGTGCAGACGCAGAGGCCAGACCCCGTTTTCTCACATCTGAGTGGCAGACTCAGCACCTCCATGGTGGGAGAGTTGGAGTGTGCACATGGTCCTGGAAGAAGCATTCAGGACACTTCTGAAAGACAGATATTGTTAGTGCCTCTTTCTCCCTTGTATGTCTTAAGGAGTGTGGCACTCTGTCCTCAGATGCGTGGATCTATGCTCTCCCTTCACTGCCACAAAATACGTGTGTACCATTCCAATGGCTGTAATTTTATCTTTCTTTCCCAATCATCTTTCTTTGTCACTCAGATCTCTTGTCCAGAAGAATCAGATATGAGCAGGAAAAGGCATTTTTATTAAATGTAACCAGAATTAAATGTGATCCCCCCAGGCATTCCAATGCTAGTTGGAGATGCCCCCAGGAATAGTCAGAACAGGATCCTAAATTTTTAACATTGGTTCATGTAACACTCTTCATCCCTTACTGCTTTTGTTCTGATCTTGATGCAGGAAGGAGTTGATCTTCTTCTGGAAATAAAGACCCTTACTGAGGTGTATGGACAGGAGGAAATGAGGGAGGTTGAGTCAGACAATCAGCACATTGGGAGCAGCTTCTGATAAAGGGCACAGCATTGTCAGGTTAGATAATCCAGCCAGGCAGGCTCACGGCACCTGTGAGTTCCTGGGGTCACAATGGTGTGGCCAGAATCAGTTGGTCTGTAAGTTGAAGTGCAGACTGTATTGATATACCATCCACAGCCCCAAGAGGGGTTTGAAGTCTGATCAGTGTGTCAGGAGCAGGCAGAGCACAGCCCTTGTGATGTGGCTCCCTGATCATGGGATGGATGGTTCAGCTTTGGCAGGAGTCATGAACCTGGCCTTCATCCTTGCATCAGAATCATGGTGTCAGCCTCTGTCAGCAGAGACCAGCCAGGTACTTGCGCATTTCCATGAGGGGGTCAAACTGGTCAGTCAGTAGCATGAGTTTATTTCTGCAGTCATGGCCCATGAAATAAGTGTGTTAACTTTGCCAGCGTATACTTTTCTCCTTGACTGACAATGCAGCTAGGCCATGTATAGAAGCCCAGTTGTCTTGAGTTCTGCCAGCCAGAGGAGTGACCAAATTTGCTTTTGGTTCTGCAAAATTGGCTCTGATGCCAAGCAGTCACGGCAGCTTAGTGGACAGCAGCTCTCAGCTCACCAAGCATTAGGGGACCAGGCCTATGCCCCATGGGAATCTTGCTGAATTGAGGACCCTACCAGGCCAATATCTGCTGCAGGCTGGGCAGAAGAATGGAAAGCCCAGGTGCCCCAGGGGTAACACTCTTGCATTCCTGACTATCCCATTTCCACTTGAAGAGCAAGGCTTTCAGGTTCTTCCTGCCTTGTAAGTCCTGGAGCTGAGTTGACCCACCTCAACATGGGAATCCCAGGAGAATCACAGGCCTCCCTCCATGGTTGAGGCTTTCAGCAGTAAAAATGTAATAGTTGGCTGTTATGATATTCATAATAATAATAATAACAAGATACAATTTCTATTCACCTGGCACTGACGGTTTTCTCACAGTCGTATGTTCCCATACCATTCACAAGAAAGCAAAAACGTAACCACACACAAACCCACTGTCGGTCTTTGAGTTTTGTAGGAGCTTCAGGCACTAGATTAAATATGAGTGAGAGGATCTGTTTCATACTTGCAAGAGCTCAGCTATTATTTCGTGAAAACACTCCACATTGAAGTTGAGACTGTTTCCTTGACTTCTAGCCCAGTATGTTATCCACAAGATTATGCAGGAATATAATAAGAAGAAGTATGCTTTCTTGTTGCACATTTGAACCAACACGTGAAAAGGGAATGTGTTACTACATAACCACATTTATTATTCAGTCTAAGGTACCAGCAGTTTATTTTCTAACTTAAAAAATTCAAGTAAGAGTCATCTCTTATTGCCTCCCAAGTCCTTGAAGTATAAACTATAACTCTACAATCAACATCATGCAGCTACACTGGCAGTTAAGAATTTTGTCTAGTTTTTGTGGATTGAAGTCTGAAAAAAAGTACTTGAACACTACTGGCCAATGAAGCTTTGAGAATTATATTGATAGCTCTAAAAGTTAACTTATTCTCTTCTTTTCTGAAGGAAAAAAGAAAGGGCATGCCTGGACAAGATATAGAAGGAAGCGGCAGAGAAACATCCATCAAAGAGGTAAGCAGGCAAAGTGAAGCAGTCACACCTTCACTTTGGAAGGTGAGTTTAGGACGGCACTGCTTCTTCTGCCCTTGTGGCCTGCAGTCACCTGTGGGCCCTGACAGTTTCCCCACTACTGTGTCAGGTAGAATATAGGCTAAGATGCTGTAACTGAGAGGCCTGAAAATGCAGTGGCTTCAACAAAATGGTTTATGTTTCATACACAAAATCATTCAGAGCTAAATGATCCAGGCTAATACGGAGACACTACCATCCTTAGTACATGGCTTCTTTACTGAGTCAAGAATACTTGTTAATTAATTTAGAAAGATGTTCCAAAGAAGGCACGTGAACAAAGCAGAGTGTAGGCCTCACCAGTGTGTCCCAGTTGATTGGGCATCATCCAGCAGAACAAAACTTTGTTGGTTCAATTCTGGGTCAGGGCACACGCCTGGGTTGTGTCCTGGTCCAGGGTCAGGGCATGTGTAACCAATTGATGCTTCTCCCTGACATCATTGTCTCTTTTTCTCTCTCTCCATGTCTTTCCTTTTCTCTAAGAATAAATAAGCAAAATCTTTAAGCCCTGGCTGAGTGGATTGAGCACTGGCCTGTGAACCAAAGGGTTGCTGGTTTGATTCACAGTCAAAGCACATGCCTGGGTTGCAGGCCAGGTCTTCAGTAGGGTGTGCACAAGAAGCAACTACACATTGATGTTTCTGCTCCTCCCTCTTTCTATCCCTTCCCTTCTCTCTAAAAATAAGTAAATAGCCCTGGCTGGTATAGCTCAGTGAATTGAGACTGGGCTGTAAACCACAGGATCACTGGTTCGATTCCCAGTCAGGGCACATGCCTGGGTTGTGGGCTAAGTCCTCAGTAGCGGGTATGTGAGAGGCAACCACACACTGATATTTCTGTCCTTCTCTTTCTCCTCCCCTTCCCTTCTCTCTAAAAATAAATAAATAAATAAATAAAATCTTTAAAAAAATCTTTAAAAAAATCAAGCCATAAATATATGTGTGTATATGTGGTAAAAAATATGTGGTAAAAAATATTAGTCATCTCTAATATTCTGGAAATCTGAGGCTGACCCTTACCATTAATTTGCTTTCTTGGCTCAGTGTGACGTGAAGGTGTCCAGAATTGAATCCACTGTTCCTGAACATGCTTTTGAAGCCTCATGTCAGCTGCTATTCGCCCAACTCTGTCTTTTCCATGCCTATCCCTAAACAGCAGCAGTGCTGTTGGCCAGTTGGTCTTGAGTAGAAAGGAGGTGAAAGTGAATCTGCAGGATCCTGACCAGGTTAGGCAGGAGATAAACTCTGTGCCACTTCCACTTTGCACTATGTGCGGGTCAATACACTATTGGCTATGGTTTTGCGTTCCCTGAGGGTGTCTCTAAGATGCATGATGCAGTCAAATGTAGGAAGGCTAGTAAAGACAAGTTTGACATGCGTTGTCTTTCATTTTCATTTAATTCTGTACATCCTGTTATTTGTCTTTACGTAATTGGTTTTGGGTAATTTTGGATACTCTGTAACATTTCTTTATACAGTGTTATTCTTCAGCCAATAGATTATGGTGGGACACAGGAACTTTTAGATAGTTTACTGTTCTTTGGAAATATTATGATATGCACTGTTTACTTATGATGTGTCACAAGTTCCCATGGAAACCCAAAGTCATCATCAGTAGATGATGTAGTGAAGCTTTGTCATTTATTATGATACGTGCAGCAGTTAGAATTGCATGATGAGAGCGTGAAGAGGAAGAGGAGTTCTGCTGGGGGGGACTGTAGCTTTGCCAAAGACAGGCTCATGACATACAGCAGATGCCACAACATTTAGTCATAAGTGTGAATGGTCTCCTGCATGTGAGTAAAGCATGGAGTTCATCCACCAAGCAGAGACAAAAAAGGGGACATATAATCAATTACATGGTAACAGTTGACCTCAGATTATGTGCTAAACAATTTTTTTTTCACAAATTGAAAGATGTTAAGTGGCTTCATAAAGTTTTTGGAATGGGATTTAGACTAAGTGTGACCAAATATCTTTGTACATTTTGGCCACTGCCTACTGGATCCACACCCATTAATTAGTCTTTGGGACTAGGTTGGATAGGGCACATGCCAGGTCTATGCCTCCTTCCATTTGCTTTGGATCACTTCTAACATTCAAGAAGCACAGGAAAATCAGAAACAAGCATGTGCTAGATGAGACATTTTATAATAGACGAGAGTGAAAGTAAATGAAGTAGTGAAAGAATAAGAACCTTCACAGAATATATGCTAAATGCTGCATCTCCAAAGTAAATGTCTAATTATTTTGTGCCTAACTGCATAAAACATTTAAACAATAAGAATACTTCAGGAATAAGAGCTCATGACACATGCCAAAGCTCAAGCAGCTATTAAGACTGTTCACTTGGCAGTGGATCAGGAAGATAACCTGAAGTGGGCACAAGAGGCTGGAGAATTATCCCTGTTGGTCCAATGGTCCCACAGGACACTCCAGCAAGTCTTCAAGATGATCTCGGTGGGAACTCCATTTTAAAGGGATAGCCCGTATGCAATATCTGAAGCTAGAAGCAGGATCCATTGCTCACTAAGCAAAGTGCATGGTGGGAGGAGACAGTGTAATTACTGGGCACAATTTAGAAAAAAACCCCATAAACTGATGACTTTGTAAAGAGTTTTGGGAAGTATGTGTTTCAGTGACTGAGGACTTTCATAAACAGGAGTGATTATGAACAAGTTACATTTAGCCATAGATGTAGGTTTTCTAGAGTGTGGTTGTTGCTGATTGCTTTTCAGAAGTGTATGGTTTCAACTGATTAGTGACTTTAAATGCGGTTGGTGACATACGTAGTCATTGGCCAATTGGGATGAGTTTAAGAGTGGTCTGGAGGTGGATAATAGGAGATAATAGGGGAAGGGCCATCAAGGAACATATATAAAGGACACATGGACAAAGCCAAGGGGGCTAGTTTTGAGGGGGGAGGCGGGGAAGGATGAGGTGAAGGTGACATGGTGGAGTGAAAATGGAGACAACTGTACTTTAACAATTAAAAAAAATGTGGTCTGATACTTAATTTTACCATTTTCAAAGAATGGTTATTCTTTTTCCTGGAAGAATACAATCTTTTTATTTTATTCTTAGGGCTATGGTAGAAAAATAAAAGTAGAGAAAGCAGAATGAAATGCAAAGGATTGGGAAAGTGTGGCTCTGTAGGCTCTCAAGTGTGATTGTTGGAGGAGTTATGTATTTTTTTCCAAGGATGCAGTTCATCTTAACTCAGAATATCAGTGTACCGCACAAGAGCACCAGGAGCTCTTCCCTATCTCAGGATCTGTGGACACTAACTTTCTTGTTTCTGTTTAGTAGCTGGTGAACTAGAAGCTCCCCAAGTGGGTGGAGAAGGAGAATCTGGATAGCTTACCTGTAGCCTACTACCCTGAAAGACTAGGTGAACTTGACTTAAAGAAACAGTTATGATAAAGAGAGAAAGACAAGAGAAAAAAAGGAAGACTTGGCTATAGAGAGGATTAATATTATATTTCAGAGGAAGAAGCAATAAACAAAATCCACAAGGGTATCAAAAATAGCATCATTAAGGCATTTGAAAACAGTCTTAATAAATTATGATTTTGCCCAGAATCAGAACTACCAGCAGATGGAAATGAGAAGTGTTCCTGCGTTATGTGTTTTTCAAAAGATGTTCCAGGAGATCTAGATCCAAGCAGTGGGAGTCAAGGTAAGATGCTGCACAAGGGTCATGGCATGAGGGCGGGTTCATAGTTACCCGGAAACCCAGGTAGAATGTGACAGGCAGTTCAGTCCATCTTACTATGCTGTTCTCTGCATTTGCTCGATGTGACCCTTTTGGGAAGAGCAGGGAGGCAAGAGATCATTATAAAGTCATGTTTAATAGGAGGGGCCCTGTCAATTATATGTGAATAATGTAGTAGAAATGTGCTCTTAAAATGGCAGTATCTAGTTTCCTGCATTGCTCTATTAGTAGTAACACCTTAATTTATGTAATTATTTCCATTGTTGTCACATGGAACACTCAATGGAACCCAAGAAAACAAGGTGTACTTCTGCTAGTAAATGTGTCATTTTTTCAAAACCTTACCAAGACCTTAGAGACAACTGATCCTGCCACTTAATTGTCAGGAGGAGAGACTTCCATTAACTGCTCTTAACCCAGCATGTGTATTTGATGAATGTCCTGCACATGTCACTAATTTAGACAGTATTTTCCTATAAACTTTTTGCCATAAGATGTTCTTTAATTCTCACAAATACCTTAAGACCTAGACAGGATAGTATGCTTATTCCTATTCATGAGTGAATTGAAGTATGTAGGTATTTAAGAGTTGCTTTTTTTTTAAGTCCCATTGAGCACACACACAAAAAGAAGACCCAGGGCTCATCCTAGATTCATAGTTCTCAATTTAGGACATTTTTCATTCCTTTATAAGGAAGAAAAAAAAGGTCATCCAAACAAGTTTATAAACTCAAACCCTGGTAGTATGAATCATCCTAGCATTGGTAAACATTTAGCTATTAATTTCTGTTACCTTACATTCAACTTCTTCCTAGATCCTGTGGATCTTGCAAACAGCTCTACTTCAAGAACACTCAAGACAAAAGGAGGTAAGAATACATAAGATGTTACTTGGTTTTGATGTTGAAATGAGGTTATTAATGCCCAAGTTTCAATATTACTATGACAAGTGAACATAATATGATGGTCCCACAAAAAGTGTTCATATCCTAACCTCTGGAACCTGTACTGCATTTTCTCCTGTGGAAAAAGGGATTCTGCAGATATAATAAACCTAGGGGCCTTGAAAGGGGAATTTATTTGAGATATCTTCATGCCACCAATATAATCAATTGGCCTCAAAAACTGGAGAATAGTTTCTGACCATGGAGAGAGGGAGAAATGACTGGGAAATACAGAGAACTGTAATATTGCTAGCTTTGAAGATGGAGAAAATGAACAAAGATATGGGTGACTTGTAAAAAACTTGAAAAGTCATAAAAATAATAGCTTCTCCACAGCCTTCAAAAAGAAATAAAGACCTACTGAAACATTCATTTTAGCCCAGAGAGAAACTTGTCCGATTTCTAACCAATGTATCTGTAAGATAGTAAGTTCGGATTGCTTTTAGCCAGTACATTTGTGTTCATTTGTTATGGCAGCTACAGAAGAGTAATACAGATTTTGGTTGTTGGATGTGGAGTGGGGCTGTAACACCTTCCTATAAAGGAGGCAGTGGCTTAGGACTTGGGCATTGGGAAAAATTTTAAGTAGAATGATAGGAATTGTCTACATGGCCTAGAATGGTTCATTAGAAGAAATGTGGATGCTAAAGACAGAAATACTGACAGAAAGCTTGGCAAAGTTCATTTTTGTAGACATCTGGGAATCAGACCTTTCTGGGTATATATGAGGAGATTTCTAAACAAAATGAGGAAGGTGAAGCTGGTTTTATTTTATTGCTGAGAGCAAAATGGGAGAGGAAAAAGTTATATTAAGGGAAGAACTGCTCAACAAATGAAGTCAGGACTTGATGATTTGGAAAATTCTTAGCCTATGCAGATTGCAAAGATGCTAAAATTAGGAAATCCACTGTCAGGACATTGTTCTGTAGAATAAGAATCTGGCCTAGTGACTTTTTGCTGATGCTTCAGAAGGAGCAAAAGATCAGTGTCCAGTCACATAAAAGGTTCTCTGGAGAGTTTAAGTGTGTGAGTCACAGATCCCCTCAAGCCATCTCAGCAGACGTACAATACAAATATATAATTATATATGAAAGATCTGCGGAGGAGACTCTTTAAAGGAGTAAATCTGCATGACATAATGGGGGATCCATAAGATTCTTGAGAATTTTATAGCAACCAAAACAGAACTGCCAATGTCCAGTCCCTGGAACCTGTAAGCTGTTTCTTTACGTGGTGAGAGTCTGAGGATGTGACTAGGGATCTTGAGATGGGGAGGTGATCCTGGATTATTTCAGTGCCCCCCCCCCCCAAATCACAGGTATCCTTAAAATCAGAAAACATCTCCAGCTGTAGAGAGACGTTTATGTACCATGAGATAATCAGAGAGATCAGTAAGTCTGGCAGACAAGACACAATGAGCCAAGAAATGTGGGCAACTTCAAACTAGAAAAGACGAAGTTATGGGTTATTCCCTACAGCCTCCAGAAAGGAGCAAAGCCCAGTGCACACCTTGGTCCAGCCCAGGGGAGCTTGTTTCTCACTACAGCACTGTTACATTTCCCTTCCTTTAAACCAGTGTGTGATGCACAAGACATTATAAACATTTATTATATGCCAATTTAACTGTAAAATGTTTTCTTCTGAGATAAAACAACAAATTATACAAATATTAAGTATGTTATTTAATGAGTTCTGAGAAATGCATTCTCCTGTATAGTTCAAATGATACCAAGATATAGAATATGACCGTCATTCTGGAAAAAATCTGATTCTCATCTCTTATATCCTTATTTCTCACTCAGCAGAGGCAATTACTGTTCCTTTTTTAATGGTGACAATTTAAAAACGTCTTAATAGTAATTTGAAATACTATTTAAAGCAACTATTTTATTTTTAAAAAATAGTTTTTAAAAACTATTTTACTGAAATTTTTTCCACTCAGCATAATCATTTTGTCTTCTATTCACGTTGTTGGATGTATCAGTAGTATTTTCTTTTTTAATGTGAAGTAGAGCATATTTTATGAACACACCAAATTTTGTGTATACATTCTCCTATGATGGACACCATAAGTGCGCCAGTTTCTGGCTGGCATAAAAATGCTGCAATGAACATTTTTGTTGAAGTATTTCTCTCTTTCTATGCCTTCATATCTCTTGTATAAATCCCTAGAAATGAAATCGCTAGGCTGTGGGATAGATGCATTAGTTCTTTTTTTCTTGCAAACCCATGTCACGGTGATGCTGCACACAGAGGCTATGCCAAAGTGAGGAATACAAGCTTAGAAACTGTTTCTATCTGTCAGAAACCCCTGGTCTTAGAAAGGGTTTAATAAACCTGTTAGTAAGCCTGCTCTAACCTTACTCCTGAAGGAGACATTATTTTACTATCTGAAACCTAAGCAAATATCCTCTGAGGAGAGGAGGAAGATATCCTCTGGTTTCATACTAGTCAGTAAACAAGTCTTCTCTCTCCCCTGGAGGGTTACATGAGCTCCCATTTCCAAGGCAGCTTGCTGTTGAAACATCCTTGGAAAGATAATCTGAGGCATGCAGAATTGTCATGAAGAATACTTTGTATGTATCTCTTCAGTTTCTCTCAGATAACTTATTGAGAAGACTGTCTTCTCCCCACTGTAATCCTTGCCTCCTTTATCACAATTTAATTCACCATGTAAGTTTGGGTTTATTTCTGCCCAAGCAATCTACAGATTCAGTGCAATCCTTATCAAAATATGAATGGCATATTTCACAGAACTAGAACAAATAATCCTGAAATTTATGAAATCACAAAAGGCCCTGAATAGCTAAAGCAATCTTGAGAAAAAAAGAAAGCAAATTGGACGTACAATGTGCTTGGATATCAAACTATACTACAAAGCTATGGTGTTCAAAACAATATGGCACTAGCACCAAAACAAACTCATAGATCAATGGAATAGCATAGATAGTCCAGAAATCAATCCACACTTACATGTGATTTTTTTAAAAATTTTCAAAGAAAGGTTATTTCCTATTGTCTTTCACATCCACACACATTGAATTATAATCTGATGCTGCTACACTGGTAGTTAAGGATTTTGCCCCATTCTTGTGGATCAAAGTCTGAAAAAAGTACTCGAGCACCACTGACCAATGAGGCTTTGAGATATATTGACAGCTCTGAAAAATTAACTTATTCTCTTCTTTTCTGAAGGAAAAAAGAAAGGGAATGCCTGGACAAGATATAGAAGAAAGCAGCAGGGAAACATACATCAAAGAGGTAAGCAGGCAAAGTGAAGCAGTCACACCTTCACTTTGGAAGGTGAGTTTAGGACGGCACTGCTTCTTGTGCCCTTGTGGCCTGCAGTCACCTGTGGGCCCTGACAGTTTCCCTGCTACTGTGTCAGGTAGAATATAGGCTAAGATGCTGTAACTGAGAGGCCTGAAAATGGAGTGGCTTCGACAAAATTGTTTATGTCTTACACACATAATCATTCAGAGCTAAATGATCCAGGCTAATAGGGAGACACTGCCATCCTCAGTGCATGGCTTCTTCACTGGGTCAAGAATTCTTATTGATTAATTAAGGAAGATGTTCCAAAGAAGGCACATCAACAAAGTAGACCATATGTGTATGAGTGTGGAAAAAACACATATGTAAATATAAGTATTTGTGCAAATATTTTTATATGTATAAATGTTTATTTATACATATTTATCAAACTCTGTATAGAGAAACATAGTTATAAATATAAAGAAAAATCAATGACAGTTCATCCATAAAATATATGTAGTTATTACATTTGGTCATTGAAATATAAGTTATATTTATACTTTTATTTGAGTTTGGTAGATGTATGTGTACACATTAAAAAATAGCAAACACATGCAACTTTTGTAATAAAAGTATTATTTAAATAGTAACATATGCAAAGAGAAATCTCTACAAGGATATTTTTGGTCAAGTTAATCAGTCTCCTGACATTTTGTTTATTTTAGTAGTGATGTAAGGTACTCTTTTTCTGAAAAAAAATGAGGGTGAGACCTCATTTTTCATATCATTGAAAATTCTGAATCAGTCGATCTGTCATAGGATTTCAGAGTCCAATTAAAAATCCCCAATTTTCACCAATTTGCATATCTTATGTTTTTGCCATTTTACATGGCTTCCTGGTTAGTGGATTTGTACCACTTTGGGAAAAAAGAAAGTGGGTGCGTCCATTTTAAGAGTGGTTATTTTCAAAATATCAGATACTAGAGTTTAGCTATGGTAGCATGTACATTTATGTCTGCATGTATATAGATATGTTCTAAATGATTTCTTTTCAGAATACAGTGAGATTTTGTATGTAATTTAAAGTTGTCCTTCCTGAAAGTAGAGAATATTCTGGACACCTGCTTGAGATGCCTTACCGTTAACTTGCTTTCCTGTCTGAGTGGAGAGTGAAGGTGACTTCACATGGCAGTCGCAGTTTTGCACAACTGGATTTCCCCCGCCTACACTGAAACCACAGCAAAACTGTTGGCCAGTTGGTCTCGAGTAGAAGGAAGGTTAAAATGAATCTGCAGGATCCTGCCAACAATAGGCAGGAGATAAGCATTCTGCTACTTCCCCTTCGTATTAGGTGTGAGTCAGTACAAGTTTGCTAACATTCTGAGGAACATCGATTCTCCTTAACTTTTTACTAGTCAAGTTCACTAGTCAATTTGAGAGCTACGAAATCTAGAAAACCATTCTGTTGTCAGTTGTTGGCACTTGTATCATAGCTCTTATCAGCCTGAGACCTACAATTATTTTCCTCTCTATTAGGGTTGTGTTGAGATTTCAGTGTTATTAAATGGATATTACAACCTGGGGACATGAAAAATAGTTAAATCTTGCCTTGCTCAGCCAATACATTGTGAAAGTAAAACATAATAGTGCTCTTATGAATTAGCTGGTTTTAAACTCCAAACTCCAAGTCTCCTCATACCAAATGCTCCATAGGCTAGGTGAACTTTAATGTATTTCCTTTTTTACCCTGAAAATATTAGGCCTAACAAGTTTGATGAAAGCTAAATCCAACATATTCACTAGTTTCAGGAGAGACTGAGACAGTCTTCTGTATTTGCTGCACTGTCCAAGGTTGCAAAAAGAGCTTGCTGCCAAGCCTGGCTGCATATAGGGGAGGTGAAAATAAGCTGTCTGGATCTCTTCTCCCTGGGCTCTGAGCACGGGCTTTCAGGAGAGGAGGGAGGAATGAGGGAGAGCCAGACGTATCCTGGCCTTCCAGAGTCCCTCATTACTTTGGCCTCTTGGTGAAAGAGGAGTTGAGGAGGACCTTTCAGAGAGCATTCACCTGGGTGGATGAGCTATTTATTGCCTGGTGACCCACCTTCCAAGGGGAAGAAACAAGAGGGAGCAAAAAAAATACGAATCTGCCTCTTCAAAAACCACATTTTCACCTCTTTAGTAGATCTCCTTTGCCTATGGCTGTTAATATCCAAGTGTTCCACTTTCTTACACAAGTTTATCCATCTCCATAACCATCTTGTTTGAGCGGCTGTTATTTTGGTTATGTAAAAATAAGGAGACAGTTTGCCAGTCTGAAATTTGTATGATTTTGTGATAAGGTCTAATGATTAATATTTGTCCCATGGGGCCATTTTGATCTTGAAGAAATAAATATCCTCTCAGTAACTGTTAAGTCTAAAAATCAGAAAGTGGGTTTATTTTGCCAAGCAGTAGATCCATTGTGGGTTTGATAGAAGGGAATATCCCTCTTACGTTGCTGGTCTCATATGCTCCTAATGTGCTTAGAGTTTCCTGCACTTTGGACTGGGTAGTCCAGAAAATATTTCTTCTTGGAGTCTATAAAACTCTACCTGGCATCGACAGATGGTAGTGGTTGGGTGGAGGGCATAGAACAAAGAGAGAAGGAAATGAATTTGTCTTTCTGCCTTAAAAAGTATGACACATGTCAATAATAGCAAACATTGAGATGCATAGTCATAGCCAATCAACTTACGAATAGAGGAACATTCTCTTCTGCAACCGTCTATCAAGCCAGTCCTCAGTTACTGTTTGGACTAAGGTTTTATAAGACTCAATTCTACCCATTTCTCTTGGTTAGCCTTCTTCTGGTAGTTTCTTAGATTATATCTTTTTCAAACCAAGGTGGACAAAGCCCTTGGTCACATTTACTTCACTTACACATCACTTTCTGTACAAATAACTTTGTACAAGGTAATGTGTATAATGTGCTTCTCACCTGTAAGCTCACCACAGGGTTATTCTTAATGCACAGAATTTCTATTTTTTCTGTCTTTCCACTGAAAGAGTCCCAATATGTATTAACTCAATTTTGCAGTTTTCCCATCAATTTTCTCAGAATATGTTAGTTTTTGTAATGGGAATAATCATCATCTTGATCTCACATATTTGTTGGAAAGACTAAATAAATTAGTAGATGTACGATTGGAATCTGTTCAACACAAATCACATGGCTGCTTGAGATATGAGTAAAATGCTGATTTCAATTGTTTTTTTTTTGTTTAACTGATGTGAGGTTATGAAAAATAAAATAGATGATGAGCCTAAGATTAATTCCTGGTAGTTTAAAGACTAAGGAATATATATTGTTCTTTATGTTTTAGTCAGGCTTTGAGGAAGTTCCATTTACATTTTGAAAAACACTAATATCTGAAAAAAAGGTACTTCAGAAGGTATCTTTTTTAAAGGTATTAAAAAAGGTATCTGCAACTATGATTGTATTTTTTTTCATTTTTGTCAGAGAAAAAGAGAGGCAGATGTAGAGTCCATTACGTCATAGTAACAGAGCCTTAAAGAGGAGAACTGAGTAAAGAGGCAATGAAGGGGGGGAATATACTTCTTTTTACAGGGGGATGTACTTTCAGTGACTATACATACATCTATTTCCTCTGCTCTACTCTGTGTTTTTAGTAATAAATCCTTTTTCCTAATTGGTTCGTGTAGCTTTATTGACTGTTAAGAAAAGCATACGACTTATGCTTTTTCAAAATGTGTCAGGGGCAGAAGGAAGATAATCTGACAAACCATTTACTTGGTGTCAAATCTAAACCAGACCCCAGGGACCCAGGGTGCACTGTGGTGCTGCTGTTTCTGCCGAACTGATAACTTTCATGTTGGGCCTCAACATGACTGTTGTCATATAAAAGTTATGTATAACCCATGAATCATTTTGCTGACTCTTCTGTTGCACAGAGAGTCACAGGTTGCACGCCACTGGTGACCCCAAGTGCTGGTCAGAAGACTCCTTCTCTTGAGTCTCTGGACTTGTGTCAGTCACTTAACTACTTTTGCCTCAGTTTCCTCACCTGGGAAGCAGGAGAGTGAATTAGGCTGCCCACCCTTCTCAGCCCCTCCAAGTACAGACAGTCCGTCTATCTCAAAGCTGGAATATGGACAGCCCTCTCCTCCCACCCTAACTCTATACCGTGGCTGAGAGGGCAGGATCAGGTACATATCATTCTTGAGTCAGTTCATTTTGAAGGCATTTCACTCTTTAGTGGAATCAGGCAGCTAGCTTCATTCCCCTGCCCCCAAATGCAATTTATAGATTTCTCTAGAGCTTCCTGGGTTTCCCTTTCAGCTTTGGATAAGGCTGATGTAGGGGAGAAATGAGGCAAAGCAGTGAACACAAACAGGAGGCAGACACCATCTCCATTAGGTCACCCCATCACTGTCCTCTCTGCTCAGGAGTCAGGGCTCACACAGGAAGAGGCAGGTACAGTCTGGTACTTTGCCTCCAATGACCTAAGTACAGAGGAATAGCCCAGCTGCAGAGCTCCCTTCTACCAGGACAGCAGCTGCATGTGTCACTGTCACGTAAGAATCAGGGGGCTGACTGCATGGGGAGCTAAGACAGTCATACTGACATGTGGTGTCTCTGCTAAAGCATGCTGGTTGTGGGGGGTTTGAGAGGTGAAATCACAGGTGGCAAACACAAGGCCCCTAGGGCCCAGTCCGCCTCTCCTGTGTTTTTTTTTTTTTAAGATTTTATTTATTTATCTTTAGAGGGGAAGGGAAGGAGAGAGGGAGACAAACATCAATGTATGGTTGCCTTTCGTGCGTCCCCTGCTGGGAACTGGCCTGCAGGGAACCTGCCTGCAACCCTGGCATGTGCCCTGACTGGGAATCGAACCTCGATTGTCTGGTTCGCAGGCCCGTGCTCAAGCCACTGAGCTATACCAGCCAGGGCTTCCACTGTGTTTTATCTGGCCCGGCACCTTGGTTTCACTCAGCAGCAGCCCCAAACTCCTTGCCCCTAGTTAAGGGTAGTTACATTTGTACAGTCCTAAAGTTACACCTAGCCCTTTGAAGGCAACCATGAGGCTGATGTGGCCTCTGGTGAAAACGAGTTTGACATTCTTGGGAAGGTAGATATTCTGTGGTTATGTATCAAAAATGCCACTGAAAGACTCTGAAACTCTGGAGATTTGTGGAATAAAGTTCCCTAAGTACCCGTGTCTTTCTAGGAACAAACTCAAGATGGGGCGAGGGGTACATGTGCAATTGCAAAATGATACAGATTGAAGAAAGCTTCTGTTTCAGGGTCAAGAAAGCACAGAGATAACACTGTGGATTTTCGCTCTCAAATACTTCCTGTGACCTGTAGACAGGCAAAAGGGATGTTGCATAAGAAGAAATTGAAACAAGGTGGGTTTCATGGTCTAATTTGCAACTCTTATGCAAAGGAATGACAAGAAGTCCAGAATTACTCATGTGAATTACACATCATTCAAGGACTTGAGGTTGTATTTTCACTTGGGAGAGGGAGCAAGGGAACCTTGAGATGATATTTTCATACTTTAACACACCATTCATATTACATATTAGGTAGTAAGCTACCACATGGAAGTAACCATGGAAATACCCAAAGAACCAAATCGAGAAGTGAATCAGAAATAAATGGGAAGAGGCCCTCAGCCTCTGCCTTCCTATCTCCTCCTTTCTGGATCATTATTACTAGAACGGGGTGTTAGAAGTAGTGAGAAGATCACAGAATTTAGAATTAGAAATCCTGCATCCCAGCCTCAGCTGTGCCAAGAGTGACTGATTCATCTGAATAAAAAAGGGTACTTCTCTTGACTCTGAAATTCCTCATCAAAAAAAGAGGTGATGATTAACATATGCCTCATAGTATATCTGTAGAGAATTAATTTATATAATTGATGTATAGTATTTAAACAGCTTTCCTGAGATATAACTCACAAATCATACAAGTCACCACTTAGAGTGCATGATTCATTGTTGGGTTTTGTTTGTGTGTTCATGGGATTGTGAATTTACGATCTAAATTTAGAACATCCCTTGTTCCCCACTAAAGGAAACCCCAGGTCTCTCAGTAGTCAGTGCCAACTACCACCTCACCCCACTGCCCAGGCTGAAGCAGCCGAGCCTATTCTAGGTATTTAACATAAATGGAATCATACAGTGTGAGCCGTTTTGTGACTGTTCTTTCCCTTAGCATGATGTTTTCAAGGTTCATCCATGTAATAGCATGTATTAGTACTTCATTCCTTTTCATGATCAAATAATATAATATTCTATGGTGTGAATACACTTCATTTTGTTTATCCCTTCATCAGTGTGGGTTATTTGCACTCTTGGGATTACAAATAATGCTCTTTTGAGCATTTGTGTGAAAGTATTTGAGTTAACAGATGTTTTTTAATTCTCTTGGGTGTATATTCAGGAGAGAAATTACTTGTTCATATGGTAAGTTTGTGGTTAACTTCTGATAAAACACCAAAATATTTTTTACAGTGGATTCACTATTTTATTTTTTCACTTGTTTAAGTATGTTTTATTGATTATACTCTTATAATTATCCCATTTTTTTCTCCCCTTTACCCCCTTTTGCCCTGAAACCCACCTCCCTCCATAACTCCCCCACTAGGTTCATGTCCATAGATCATTTGAAAGAGTTCTATGACTTTTCCATATCCTATACTATTTTAAATTACCCCATGTCTATGTTATACCCATCATTTATGCTTCTTATTCCCTGTACCTTTGCCCTGATTCTCCCATTCACCTCACCCAGTTCATCACCCTCCATATGATCTCCATTTGGATTATTGTGTTCCTGTTCTGGTTGTTTCCTCATTTTGGCTTTTGGTTTTGTATTTACAGGTTCAGTTGTTAAAAGTTGTGAGTTTGTTGTCATTTCACTGTTCATAATTTTGATCATCTTCTTTTTCATAGATTAAGTCCCTTGAACATTTTTAATAACAAAAGTGCATATTATTTATTTATTCATTAAAAAATATTTTATTGATTATGCCATTACAGTTGTTCTATTTCCCCCCTTCATTCCCCTCCACCCCGCACCATTCCCCCCTTTTCTTTATGTTTATGTGTCACAAGTTCTTTAGATTCTATATTTCCCATTCTATTCTTGCCCCCCTTCTATTTTCTATCTACTGTCTATGCTACTTATTTTCTGTACCTTCTCCCCCCTTCTCCTCCTCCCACTCCCCTGTTGTTAACCCTCCACGTGATCTTCATTTCTATGGTTCACTCCTGATCTAGCTGTCCTCTTAATTTGCTTTTGTTTTAGGTGTGGTTGTTAATAACTGTGAGTTTGCTGTGCTTTCACTGTTCATATTTTTTATCTTCTTTTTCTTAGATAGGTCTCTTTAACATTTCATATAATAAGGGCTTGGTGATGATGAACTCCTTGAATTTGATCTTATCTGAGAAGCACTTTATCTGTTCTTCCATTCTAAACGAAAGCTTTGCTGGATAGATCGATCTTGGATGTAGGTCTTTGGTTTCATGACTTGGAATACTTCTTTCCAGCCCCTTCTTGCCTATAAGGTCTCTTTTGAGAAATCTGCTGACAGTCTGATGGGAACTCCTTTGTAGGTGACTGTCCTCTTATCTCTTGTTGCTTCTAGAATTCTGTCCCTCATTTTAACCTTGGCTAATATAATTATGATGTGCCTTGGCGTGTTCCTTCTTGGGTCCAACTTCTTTGGGACTCTGAGCTTCCTGAGCTTCCTGGAAGTCTATTGCCTTTGCCATATTGGGAAAGTTCTCCTTTATTATTTGTTCAGATAAGTTTTCCACTTGTCACTCTTCCTCTTCCCCTCTGGTACCCCTATAATTCGGATGTTGGAACATTTAAAGATGTCCTGGAGGTTCCTAAGCCTCTCTGCATTTGTTTAAATTCTTGTTTCTTCATTGTTTTCTGTTTGGTCATTTTCTTCTTCCATCTGGTCCACTCCCTTGATTCGAGTCCCAGTTTTTTTTCCATCACTATTGGTTTCCTGTGAATTTCCCTGCATTTCAATTAGTTTAGTCTTCATTTGTTCCTCTAATTTGTGACTAAAATCAACCAGTTCTGTGAGCATCCTGATCACCAGTGTTTTGAACCGTGCATTTGATAGATTGGCTATCTCTTGGTCACTTAGAAGTATTGGCTCTGGGGTTTTGAGCTGTTATTCTTGAGCCATAATGTTTTGGTCTGTTCAAACCAGTTCCATATGAGGGGCAGAGCCTTCGGTGTTCACCAGTGCGGGGTGACCCAGGTCGCTTGTTTGTGACGCCGTATGTGGGGGAGGGGTCAGAGTGGGGCAATAGCGGTCCCCTCTGCTGTTTCCTGAAAGCCTCTGGGGCCTGCGTGGTTTGTCTCACTGCTAGCTCCTATGCCTGGTTTATCTGCATGCAAATGTGTGACCACGGTCAGCCAGCCACCTTGCACCCTCACTGGGTCTGCCTATTGCCACCCCAGGCCTGGGATCTGCCAACTGCTGCCTGCAGTTCTGGGTCAGTCTGTCCGATTTTTCCTGTGAGACCCCGCTCCGCCAGCCACTGGCTCTGCCCCTCTTACCAGTCTGGCTGAATGGTTCATTGTTGTTGGACTTCCATACAGTTCAATTTTCTATGTTTTGGTTGCATTTTGTTATTACTAAAACTTTCTTTTCTTTAGACTTGGTTGTGCGAGGAGGTACAGTGTTTCCACCTATACCTCCATCTTGGCCGGAAACCCTGGATGCACTATTTTATATTCCCACCAACAATGTATTGAGGGCTCCAGCTTCTCTCTCTTCTGGCCAACATTTGTAATTGTCTGATATTTTAAATGATGGCCATGCTAGTAGTTGTGAAGTGATCTCATTGTGGTTGTGATTTGCATTTCTTTAATGACTAATAATGTTTACCATATGACTATCTTTTATATATAAGTTAAATTTTCAACTGGCTACATTTCACAATTATTTTTACTACTGACTATCCATGAAATCAGGAATAAAGAAAAAAATCACTGCTCAGTAATGTCATTAAACTGGATGGAACATGCTGTAAGGGAGGGCACCAATGTGGCCATGGTGCCATTATGAGCTGCAGGGTCCCCACCTGACACCTCAGTCGAACTTGAAGCTCTGCCTGCTCACTGCCCCTGGGCCCCAGACAGTCTGGCCTGTTCTTTGCCTCCAGAACTCACTAGCAAATTTAAATCTTCTCATTGTTCAGAAAGAGAGGATTCTTGGAGGATTCCTTTTAGGTGATTTTGGAATACTTTTATAACATTGATTTTGATGGTAATGATTATTTATTTATTATTTTTTTTTGCAAAAAGTCAAAGAAATGTGTGTACAAAACTGGTAATCTCTTTGGAGGGGACTTACCAGCTGTGTTTGAGGATTCTGATATCTGAGAGGGGAGGCCAGGCACTCCTGCTCTAGTGGTCTTGAGCCCCAACAGGGCAACTCCAAATTCATTGTGTTGAGAGGCTGGCATCTGAGCTGTGAGGACAGAAGGCCCAAGGTCAACTTACCTTTGTCTTGCAGGAGTCATGAGGAAGTGCATACAGAGTGAGGATGGCAATTGGTTCACCCCCAGAGAGTTTGAAATCAAAGGAGGCCGTGCAAGATGGAAGGACTGGAAGAGGAGTTTGTACTGTGGAGGGAGAGCCCTAGAATGGCTAATGGAGGTATTTTAGTTACAGGAGGCTTTGATGTGATTTTCCTGAGGTCAATATTTACTCACCAAATATATGCTGAGGTATGGCTAAAGCCCCAAACCCATGAGTTTATCTTTTTCCTGCAAAGACGTACCCCACACTCATACCTCAGTACAAAGCAGCACATCCATTTGTCAAAGGGGCTTCATCTGGGTGGATGCAGGGGCCTGAGGGAGGGAAAGGTCATGCTGACCCAGGTGCTTGCAGACAACTTTAGGTATAGAAAGAAAGAAGAGTCTACAGTCAAACAAGTGGGCAGAAAGCCCTTCAGAGAGAGTGGAGTAAGAACCAGAACCACAATGAATGTGACTCTGTGGTTTTAGGTAGAAGGATTGTGTGTGATATGGCATAATCCATCAACTGGGGTTGTTTGCAGATAGATTTATGCCAGGATAAGGAGTTTAAACTCATAACATAGACAGTGCAGTACCAAAGAGTCTCCTGAGGTGTGAAATGACATATTAAAATAGTATCTCAGCCAATGTGGGGCCTTGAAATGACTTCAGTGTCTTTCAGCCCAAGAAACCAATAGTCAACCTGCAAGGCTCAGCTCCCATGTCACTCCTGTCTGAATGTTCCCTGACTGACCTGCTCTGGTCACCCCTTCCCTGGGCCCCCTGAACTCACTATTGAGGCCCCTTTCACAGTTTGATTCTTAACCTTCCATGCATTCCTTTAGTCTCTCTAGACCTCTATAAGGTTTGTCCATAGTTATGTGCCCAACATTGTCCAGAGTGTGTGACACCCTGTAGGTATGGGACCCATGTGTATCAGTTGAATGAATAGCCCTGGTGTGAGGAGGCAGGTGTGAGTGGCACTGGTGGAAATGGAGAGAGTGTGAGAGGTGTCACAGAGATTGTGAAGAAAAATCTCTGATAACTTAAGAAAAAGCACAAGAGCAAGGAAAATGGTTCTAAAGAGGATTTTCTGGGTTCCATGGATGAATTTTAGGAGAAGAACATGTGAGGAGAGGGAGATGCTGTCTCATTTAACACCTGGGTTTTGAGAAGACAGTGGGACATAAGTTAGAAATATTTGGGAGGAGGTAAGAAATGCCAGATTCCCACACAAAGGAACAAGGCTGACCATATCCTTGGATATTTTTATTTTTCAGAAAGGATTTCTATGGAATCCTCCAAGAACATATGGAGGGAGAAAAAAGGTAATAATTACATAACTTTCTACAAGTTCTTACACATAGCTGGTTTTACATATAAAGTATTTTATTTTGTGGTTTCTCAGTTGGATAATTATAATTATCCTTTTTTGCAACTGCCTTCAGAGTTACTACCTTGAACATTACATTGTATGCAGTCTTCTTTGAAGAGCAAACCATGTGAGACAGAGATGATAAGGAGGTATCAAAATAGATCTCAGAGATGAGTTTTAGCTATAGATGAAGATGTTGTAGGGTGTCAAATTTGTAAAAGCAAACATAACTATGGAATACATAGAGAAATTTCATAATAAGTCACAGGGTCATCTTCAACACAAACCTAGGTATTTTTTAAGTCAAGGTTATTATTTTCTAACTGTATTGAAATCTGATGGAGTAAAGTTTGCTCACCATCACTGAGATGAACCCTGTGTAGTAGTTTATCTATCTTGGGGCACAGGTGAAACCATATACATTTCATGAGATAGGCACCAAAAATACAGGTTTCTCCTCTGATAATTTACATCCTCTTACACCTTCCAGTAAAATGTGTACAGAGACATGCAGAATTCTTTTCTGGGGGGAAACTATTTGCCCTTCATGAGGATGCTGCCTATGGGGAGGAAGCTTTTGGGAGATCCATGTACATGGGAGTGCCTGGCCTGGCCTGGAAAGTTGTTTACTTTGATGCCGCCCCTTTGGCTCCAGCAGAAGACCTGGTCAGGCCTTCTTTCTATCTGTGAAAGTGGTTTCTTCCTCTATGGAAGAAGGGTATAGAGGCAACAAACAAATACATAATGTAAGTTCAGGTAGAGAACAAAGTGATGGCTTTTCCAAGACTGGGTATGAATGAGAACTTAAGGTAGTGGGGGAGGAAAGAAATACCCTTCCTATATACTTCAGGTAGAAATGGCCATCCAATACATTCTCAGAATCATTCTAAGATAGGCCCCATAGAGCTGGCCAATGGGACTTCACCTTCCACTGAGATTCTGAGGTCCAGGTCTATACACTGCCTGATGTCCCTATGTGACAACTTCCTGGCCCCTCACAAGCGCCTCTCATACCTTCTGGTGACAGCTTATGTTTTGTGAAATAATATATTCCTCAAGAACAATCATTTATTGTATGTTAATGTTTGTTCAAGAAATACTAAATGCCCAATATCCATTAAAGGAGATTCAAACAATATCCTTGACCTCAAGGATTTTTCAACTTTATTGTCAAATATGGAAGAATGACTAATGGGTAGGGCTGGGGGAATCTAGGCCACACAAGGAGGTGGGCAGTGACATGGTCACCTCTCAGGCGATTGTCTAGTGGGTCACACCTGTGTATGACCACTGTGCCCTGCACTGGAGAGGAAGGCAGAGGCTGTCTGGATCTAGAGGGGAAACCATTCTACTGAATGTGCACTAGTGGGTGGCAGTCAGTTACCTCTAAAATGCCACTCAGCTGACATCTTGGGGTTTGAAAGGAGAGGAGAAGTGGGTGATATTCTGGAAGAATAAGGGCAACACTGCAGGCCTTGAACACATTTTGTCTTTGAAGCTACACCCTAGAAGAGCTTCAGAGGGTGATGGAATTCTTTCTTGGGACACAGGCTAGGATTGCAGGAATCTGGGCTCTGTGGGTGCTGGAGGCTGTGGATGATGAGTCCTCAGCTTGATACTCTCATTGCAGCTACTGTGGTGGGATATAGAGAAGAAAGCTTGAGGGCCCTTCAAAGTGGGAGAACCAGAAGAATTCCTCCAGTTACATCTGTGAAAGCTGGGCCACTCTCCCTGCATGACTTCACAAAGGCCCATCTTGGGTCTGAGAGCCAGGGCACATAACTAGATTGGGCCAAACAGTGCTACTTTGGCATTTTTAATTCTCTCTCTCTCTCTCTCTCTCTCTCTATATATATATATATATATATATCCACAAAAGTAAGTATGAAATAATGGATAGATTGTGAATTGAATCCTTCAAAAAAGGGCTGTTTAAATAAGTGATGGATGCAAACATCCCATTCATTATTGTCACTCAATCTTTCTTCTTTTTCAGCAGGAAGTATCAGAGTCTTACAGCAGTATCTTAGATGACCTGTGTGTAAGTACTAAATCCCATGTATAGCCCCCAAGTAATCTAGGCCTTTTCCCTTGGTATTTTACCTGTCTCATGGTCACCTTTCTCTGCAGTGTGTTCACACTCAGTTGGAATATGTCGTTGTGTATTTTGAGCAGACAATAGGAAACGCATATGCATGCAGGGCAGCTGTGTCCTTTACTGGGGCCTGGTATCCACCCTCAAAGGAACCAGCAAGGTGCTGAGCTGGAGGTTAGGAATAAAACCACCACCACTTAGCAAATTTGGGCATCTTTACTTGCACTAATACCATATGGCTGCCTGCTTTGGGATCTGTCAAACCCAAGGAAGATTCCACTGTCTAAACTAAATCATTCATTGATTTCTTTCATTGTGACAAGATGATGTGCATTTTAAGTAGAGTCACCTCTGCATAACTCCAGGGGACAGCACTCCATAGGATGTGATGCCATAATAGTGATAGAATACATCCATAGTGGAGGAGGGACAGTCAAATAGTTCTTCATAAATTTTACCTCCAAACAATCCCCTGAAAGGATGTTGATGTGATCCCAACGGATTTTGATCTTCAGCAAACCTAGGGAATCTTCACTTATCTCAACAGCCCTGGGGTCCAGTGTTTGTGAGGCTTATTTTGGGTGGGTGTAGACATAGAGGACTAGGTCCCACTGCCCAGGGCCGAAGAAGGAGGAGATGGCAAGAGACCGACCTGAATTCCTGTCAGTCTCTTTCCTGGAATCGACATTACAGGCCAATTCAACATCGACTTAGAATAGCCCCCTGCCTTACTCACCAGACTCTGCTCAGTCTAAGTCTCCACTTAGTTGCACAGTGGAGTCATCTGAAGGCCTAGATTATCCCCTACAGGAAATCTGTTTTAATCAACCTGTGGTATGACTTGTACATTAGGATTATTTAAAAGTCCCTGGATGATTCCAATACACAAAATTGCCCCTTTTATGACTCCCTGAAGAATACCAATGCCTGCACCCCACCCAGACCAAGTGATTCAGAATCTCTGGTGTCCTAATATCTTATACACTCTCCTTGAAAGATTCTATAGTGTAGCTGGGCAAAGATCCACAGAGACACACACCTGTAAAGATTATTCTGTAGGTAGATTCTTAAACATTGGTTATGTTTGTCATTTTTTTTCTTTTGTTGTTTTTTGGAGAGAAGGGTCATCAGTTTTGGAGAATGATGCTGGTAGTCTGTGAGTGTCTGTACTTGCAGGAAGAAATATTGGCCAAGCCTGGCTGATAGAGCATCTCAGACACCAATGGGGATGTGTGTCAGGACCCCCCAGGACACTGAATGGGAGCTCTTGGCAGGACATTTTTGGGGCTATACTCTCTCATATATGACCATTTTTAATAACAAAAGAAATGCCCAGAATTTCAATTTTTCAACCCAACTATTTTCACTGAAAAACCCAGAAAAAGACTCAAAATAATTATGAATTAATGCCTTTTCATCTTTTATTACTTTGTATACTAAGAAATGTTTTCCATGTTGTCAAATTCTCAATACATTACCCATTTTCACTATCCACCCAATAAATTATGCCATTGTGTTGTATACAAACAGGTTTAACACTATTTCAGGAGCTGATTTTATCTGCATGGTAATAACACTACTCAGATTCCCATGAAATCATCCTCTTGTTTTGTTGCCTGTCTTTCTGTGTTAAAATCACTGGTTTTACAGGCAAAACTTCTCTGGTCTGATTATACACACCCACCTCCTGAACTTCACGGTATTCCAAGAATTCTTCTTCTGAATCCCCCCACTCCATGCTGTCCCCTCACAGCTCAGAGAAACACATAAGAGTCCCTGCAGGTTCACACAAAGTCTATGAGTCCTAGATTCCCACAGTGTTTGTCACCAGGAGCTCATGGGGATGTGGTCATTGTTTCACTTCCTAGCTGAAAAACTCAGACGTATGTGAGATCTGCCTCGATGGAGGAACGCTCTTTTGCTGTGATACTTGTTCCAGATCCTTTCATGGGTACTGTCACCTTCCACCTGTGGAGACTGAGAGGTTTGTGAGGTGCAGCCCCCTCCCTTTTAGGGACGCTTTCTTCTGCCATGCACACTTCCCTTGCTGGGTAACTGCTTGTGACTTGATGGGGACAGAATATGCTGGATGTGCAAGTCCAGCAGTATAATCTGGGAGCCGTTGAAAGATGCTGGCAGCAGGAGGGTAATGTTCCCTCTCTCCTCTGGGAGGCTGAGACCAGTGGCTGCATCCTTAGCCTTCATAATGCTACTGTCCTTTCCAGAACTTTCCCAGCACAGACTACTGTTTACAGGATTGGAAGTGCCAGTTGCTTGTATTCTGTGCGTATTCAGAAAATGCAGAAAACATGGCCTTGTTTCCTCAATTTACCACCTTCCCAACTGGCTGATGAAGGCCTAAGGTCCCCATGGGTTAAGGTCCCATCTCAGACACTCCATCCTGGGGGACAGGGCTCCCTGTGCTCCCAGCAGTGCAGATGGGGAAAGGAGAGCTCACCACTGTCACTGACAAAGCCCTCCATACACTCAACCTCTACTTTTACCCTTTATGGTCAGAGGGTCATCAGCTCAGACTGCCCATGGGGGTCTTACAGCCTCTGGGAGGTATCCCCTGCATGTCCCTGCTGTGCCCATCAACCATTCCTAAAAGAAGAACTGAGGCAGCCAAAGAAATGGTGCCTGTTTCTGAGACTTGGTCTTGCTCACTTTTCTTGACCTTCTAGGAGCCTGTGGAGTTGCATCTTCTGCAGGGTGAAGGAGTCTTCAGGAAGTCAGCAGTGCGTCAGGGAATCTGAGGTCCTGGCAAGGCCAATGGGGCCTGAGGAGCAGCTGGTGAGTCAAATCCAAAAGCCAAGCCTTCTCCTTTATGCTCGATGTGAGAAGTCAAACAGTTGCAGGGTGAGAGGAAGGGTATAAAAGCACAGCCATTCCTCTGACCACACCTCACCCACTCTGAAAACTCCCCAGAAACTGTTTGCAGGAAAAAACCATTCAGCCATTACATGACTGTTTCCTAGAATGAAAGCTGTTTGGGGAAATTTCCAGAAGACTGGTATATATGGGCTCATTTTCTCCAAGTTGCCTTTCATTCATATCTTCCTTCTTTTGTAGAAATGTGAGTTCCTGCTGTTGAAAGTATATTGCCATTCAGAGAGCTCATTTTTTGCGAAGATCCCATATTATTACTATGTGAGTAACAATAACAAACCATGAATACAGGCTGCTATGTTGTTACCTGACCTTGACACAGGCTGTTGTGGGCTTTGTGATCTGAAGCCCCTGGGAGGCAGACACAAGCTGTCTTTATGTTCACCTTGGATTTCTGTTTGGTGTGATGGGAATTCACAGAAGGCAGACAGTGAACTATGCCAGTAATTCTCTCAATGATATTTTCCTCCACCAGATTAAAGAAATTTCTCAAAACCTCAAGGAACCCATGTGGTTGGACAAAATCAAGAAGAGACTGCTAGAGCAGGGTTACCCCCAAATAGAGGCGTTTGTGCAGGACATGCGCCTCATCTTTCAGAACCACAGGGCATCATACAAAGTAAGTGTCTGTCCTGTTTCAGTTTAATTTCCTTTCAATAGACTCACTCTGCCCTCATTTCCTGGTGCTGGGAAATTTTAGTTTCCCTCATCCTTTATAATGAGCCTGTACCAGCAGAAGTTCAGGAATTGAGTGACTTTTAAAACTCAGAAGCTAAGCCAGAATGCTAGCCCCATGAGAGCTCAATCTCCTCGGAAAAGGTGACAGGTGCCCATTGGGAACAATCATGTCTTCCCTGCTCCAAACCTCAGGAAAAGATTGTGCCTTAAAATCATGTTGTTGTCCTCATCTCTCCTCAAATGTACTCAGTCAGACCACTCAGAGATCCCAACCTGCAGAGTCCTTTGCAGTGAATGTCCATATAGTTAACAGTGGTCACCAGAGAGGAACAACATGACAATGTGCAGGGAAGGTCACTGGTTGTATTTAATATTGGATATTTGCAAATAATATGTATTACTGCTCTTCTGTTACTAAAATAAACAACCTGAGCCAATAAGGAAGATAAAAGGCTAAAGAAGAATAAAAAATAAATAAACAGCCCCAGAAGCTTCACAAAGCAATGAAAAAAAAATGAGTCCCCACGTGTGGTCATCATTTCCCACTTTTGCCTAGTTAACATGAATTAATTGTGCACTTGGACACAGAAGTTACTCTTAACCATGTGAGTTTTTTACCTTAACCTGGTTAACGTAACTTCAGTGTTTAAAGCAATGATTCTTGAATGTGGTGTTTCCAAACACTAGGATGAGTGCCATTACTTTTGTTGTATTTATCTTTTTTTTCCCCCAGTTCCATGACTTTGGCCTAATGGGCCTTAGACTGGAGGCGGAATTTGAGAAGATTTTCAAGGAAGTGTTTGCTATTCAGGAAACAAATGAGAGCAGTTCGGCGCTATAGTGGATGCTGCTGGTAGTTCGGAAAATCCTCTTTGGGGGCCTACTTCTCATTTCATGGCTGCTGTGGGGGTTGGCTGCCAGTGCTCCTCTGAGTGGCATGATTCATGCTCCCCACTGGGCTCAGGATGCACCTAGTCCCAGCTGTGGCCAGCTTCTTGCTTAGCTTTCTACCATGCTATCCTGCTTCCCTTACTGCTCCTTCTCCTGAGAGAATTATTTTTTATTTTTTATTTTATTTAGTTATTTTTCAAGTGCAGTTTTTTGTCTATTTTTCCCATCCCAGCCTTCCCCGGCCCATGCTCCCCACCTCCCTCCCATTTCCACCCCCCTTAGTTCTCGTCCCTGTGTCCTTCCTATTTGTTCCTCCAAATCCCTCCCCTTTTTTTCCCCTTAAATTCCCTTCCCTCTCCCCTCTGGTCACTGTCCCCTTGTTCTCTATTTCAGTCTCTTTGTTTTTTTCTGCTTGCTTGTTTGTTTTGTTGTTTAGCTTCCTGTTAAAGGTGAGATCATATGGTATTTGTCTTTCAACAACTGGCTTATTTCACTCAGCATAATGCTTTCCAGTTCCATCCATGTTGTTGCAAAGGGTAGTAGCTCCTTCTTTCTCTCTGCTGCATAGAATTCCATTGTGTATATGTACCACAATTTTTTGATCCATTCATTTACTGACGGGCACCTAGGTTGCTTCCAACTCTTGGCTATTGTAAATTGTGCTGCTATGAACATTGTGGTGCATAGGTTCTTTGAAATTGATGTTTTAGGATTCTTAGGATATAATCCTAGCAGTGGAATTGCTGGGTCAAAATGCAGGTTGATTTTTATTTTTCTGAGAAAATTTCATACTGTTTTCCATAATGGTTGTACCAGTCTGCAATCCCACCAACAGTGAACTAAGGACCCCTTTTCCCCACAGCCTCTCCAACATTTGTTGTTTGTTGCTTTGTTTATGATAGCCATTCTGACTGATGTAAAGTTGTATCTCATTGTGGTTTTAATTTGCATCTCTCTGATAGCTAACGATATTGAGCATCTCTTCATTTGTCTTTGAATCTTCTGTATGTCCTCCTTGGAGAAGTGTCTGTTCAAGTCCTTTTCCCATTTTTTAATTGGGTTGGTTGTCTTCTTAGAGTGGAGTCATCTAAGTTCTTTGTATATTTTGGAGATTAAACTTTTGTCTGAGGTATCATTGGCAAATATGTTTTCCCATACAGTTGGTTGTCTTTTTAATTTAATACTGTTTTCTTTAGCCATGCAGAAGCTTTTTATTTTGATGAGATCCCATTTGTTTATTCTTTCCTTTACATTCCTTGCTCTAGGGGACATATCAGTAAAAAAGTTGCTGCGTGAAATATCTGAGATTTTCCTGCCTATGTTCTCCTCTAGGACTTTAATGGTGTCACAGCTTATATTTAAGTCTTTTATCCACCTTGAATTCATTTTGGTATATGGTGTAAGTTGGTGCTCAAGTTTCATTTTTTTGCACATAGCTGTCCAGTTCTCCCAACACCATTTGTTGAAGAGGCTATCTTTACTCTATTTTATGTCACTGCCCCCTTTGTCAAATATTAATTGACTGTAGAGAGTTGGGTTTATTTCTGGGCTCTCTGTTCTGTTCCATTGGTCTATATGCCTGTTTTTATGCCAGTACCAGGCTGTTTTGATTACAGTGGCCTTGTAATACAGTTTGATATCAGGTATTGTGATCCCTCCTACTTTGTTCTTCTTTCTCAAAATAGCAGCTGCTATTCAGGGTCATTTATGGTTCCATATAAATTTTTGAAGTATTTGTTCTACATCTGTGAAATATGCCATTGGTACTTTAATAGGTATTGCATTGAATCTATGTATTGCTTTTGGGTAGTATGGACATTTTGATGATGTTAATTCTTCCAATCCATGAACAAGGTATATATTTCTATTTGTTTGTGTCTTCCTTGATTTCTTTCTTCAGGGCTGTGTAGTTTTCTGCATACAGGTTTTTTACCTCCTTAGTTAGGTTTATTCCCAGATATTTTATTTTTCTTTTTGCTATATCAAATGGAATTTTTCCTTGATTTCTGGTTCTGCTGATTCATTGTTGGTATATAAAAATGCCTTTGATTTCTGGATATTGACTTTGTAACCCGCTGTTTTGCCAAATTCATCAATTAGTTCAAGCAGTTTTTGGGTAGAGTCTATAGGATTTTTCAGGTACACTATCATGTCATCTGCAAACAGTGACAGTTTTGTTTCCTCCTTCCTATTTGGATGCCTTTTATTTCCTTTTCTTGCCTGATCACTGTGGCTAAAACTTCCATTACTATATTGAATAGAAGTGGTGAAAGTGGACACCTTTGTCTTGTTCCTGATCTTAGTGGAAAAGCTTTTAGTTTTTGCCCATTGAGTATGATGTTGGTTGTAGGTCTCTCATATATGGCCTTTATTATATTGAAGAATGCTTTCTCTATTCCCACTTTGCTGAGTGTTTTTTATCATAAATGGGTGTTGTACCTCATCAAAAGCTTGTTCTGCGTCTATTGATATGATCATGTTGTTTTTGTCTTTGCTTTTGTTTATGTGATGTATTACATTTATTGA